TGTCGAAACACATTAACATTCATTCGTCAGATAAACTCGAATGCTAACCATACCTAGATACGAAATGCCTCCCACTTTCATTTTCACTTAACCACTATTCACTAGTCGATTTATTTCAACCTTGACACGGTTCTCCAGATAGATAGCCTGTCTACCTCTAGTTCTTATTTTATGTCCTACATGAATAGGCAACTATTTGATACTTTCGTTTAGAAATTCAAGAATTTGCAAATCCTGATGCCTGCGAAAAACTTCGTTGAATATATTAGTTTTTCTAGTTGCCATCCTTCAACATAATACTTTTGTACATCTATCTCTATGAAAACACAGTAGATGAATAGTACATTTGTTCTAAGTATCTGTATGCAATATGATTTGTTCGCAGATAATAAGCCAAATATCATTTACCTAGTGAAGGAAATATGTGAACAGGGTATTGACGGCCGTTGCATCCATTCGCTTAATCTATCAATGATTAATTTATAGAAAAAAGATAAAATCTAGTAATACAAGCAACTAGTAAATGAACATTTTCATCCTTGCGCAAAATGTTACAAGTGTCGTTATTACTATTCGTTTTTCATACGTTCTCGAGTCAAAGAATCTAGCTTGTGATTAGGTTTTGAAATTCAACAGCATATTTGAATAGAACACTGATTCAAATAATTCATATATAACATCACTTTCTTCACACCCATCAATCCAATCATTTTTACTTCGAATACCTCCAATAAATGGATACTGGGCTTGGCATTTTAGTGGTGATCAGCAGATTTGGAAGATCACAATACATCTGTTACATAATCTTCGTTCTCAGACAATGAGAAATATAATGTTTGTGAGTGAGTGAAGCTACAGAACAAAATTATTGGGTGGCAATGATTCGTTTTTTATCTGATCTTGACTGGTTCCGATATGTCGAACGCCTTCATCAGAGTAGAATTATCATTCTTGAATGTTATACATGCAATAAGAATAATTTCAGTTTCATGTCATCGGTTAACAATTCAAAAATCTATCGTGTTATTGAGAACGTATGACATAGATGATCATGGTCGTTATAAAAACTGGGGAGAGGCAGATAGGAACATATTCGTTAATTTCTTATACTATCGCACTGACAAAGAGACCACCGATATATTTAGTTTCATAGCCTGCAAAATAAGTGCATGCGGTTCGCTTTGGTATATACTCATTCATTTACTATAACATACGTGATTACCTACACGTATTACATGTTTTTGTACGAAATATATAAGGCAGACAAATGAAACACTGATCGACTTTGCTCATGAACTACGTATCTTTCTTTTATCGTGCTTATTACAAATCTTCTTTTTGACGCGAGCAATGTTAAAAGATATAATATTGGTTCGACTAGTTTCTACAAGATGTAATCCTTCATGAACTACTCACACCGTCACCTCCCATTGCAGTAGAACACATATATTTGAATAAGAAATTCGTGTGACTAATTCCTCTACAATGCAATTGATCAACATTGACTGAATATCTCGCTTGTTGCAACAAGTTGGGAACATAACCGAACAAGAAGATTACAACACTACTGTTCCTTTATGTAGTCAACACTTTTTACCCCTAAATTATTATTTTTAGGTTACCACAGAACATTATTTTTGACTGCGATACGCTTTGGTATTGGTCATTTTTCACATGATATTCCATTTTCGCCTCGAATCATAACTAGAAACCAACACCACACAGAAAAATGAACTCATTCATTTCACCAAGCGTTATCTCTATTCTTTTGCGGCATCCTTAATTACTCCTCAATCAACACAAGACCCTTCGACTTTAAGCGAAGACGATACATGAACAAACTCCTTCATACTATGCATAATACACGTGCCACTCAGCACGTTCTACGATTAATCGTTCAACGCCTTTCACCAAAATATCCGAACATACCGTTCATCACCACCATCTTTTAACCCCAACAAACGCAATTCAGTACTCAACATAAAGCTAGCCTCGCACCATTCACACAGCATCAGAATATCTGATTGGTTACACCGATCCCTCTGCCGCATGTTCATTGAGTGATTATCTAGTTTCGATAATTTGCAGCGCGATTCACCAAACAAACGCACTGAACCTTGCAACTTGATACGACGATCACTTCTAATGTGATTTCGTGTGATGTGAGTGAGATGTGATGGTTGTTTGTGAGTGAGGATGAGAGGCGAAGATATGTGTCTTGAGGAATATTCGTTAGTGATGTGATTTCGTGTGGTGCGAGTGAGATGTGATGGTTGTTTGTGAGTGAGGATGAGAGGCGAAGAGAAGTGTCGTGAGGAATGTTCGTTAGTGATGTGATTCCGTGTGGTGTGAGTGAGATGTGATAGTTGTTTGTGAGTGAGAATGAGAGGCGAAGAGAAGTGTCTTGAGGAATATTCGTTAGTGATGTGATTTCGTGTGGTGTGAGTGAGATGTGATGGTTGTTTGTGAGTGAGGATGAGAGGCGAAGAGAAGTGTGGTATGGAATGTTCGTTAGTGATGTGATTTCGTGTGGTGTGAGTAAGATGTGATAGTTGTTTGTGAGTGAGGATGAGAGGCGAAGAGATGTGTCTTGAGGAATATTCGTTAGTGATGTGATTTCGTGTGGTGTGAGTGAGATGTGATGGTTGTTTGTGAGTGAGGATGAGAGGCGAAGAGAAGTGTCTTCAGGAATGTTCGTTAGTGATGTGATTTCGTGTGGTGTGAGTGAGATGTGATGGTTGTTTGTGAGTGAGGATGAGAGGCGAAGAGAAGTGTCGTGAGGAATGTTCGTTAGTGATGTGATTTCGTGTGGTGTGAGTGAGATGTGATGGTTGTTTGTGAGTGAGGATGAGAGGTGAAGGAAAGTGTTCTATGGAATGTTCGTTAGTGATGTGATTTCGTGTGGTGTGAGTGAGATGTGATGGTTGTTTGTGAGTGAGGGAGATAGGTGCCTAGCCGGATCATTTGTGTTTGTGCGACATGCATTAAGTTTGTATTGGAAAATATATGTTTCTTAAGATTTTTATGTGCGTGTGAGGCTTTTTTTGTGTCAGGATGAGGGTGTTTTACTGTTGTTTGAGTTTATATCAATAAATGAAAACCTTCAACTGCAGAAAGATATCTGGAGGACTGACATATGGTATATGTGTTTTAGAGAGAAATTTGAACCTATATTTGGTGAAAATATGTACGAGACTCGGTGTCTAATATCTTCTTCGAGTAAGACATATAGGACGGATCAGTAAGTGGTTTTGACGGAAGGATGAGTGATGATGGGCTCATTTATGTTACAAACGGTATTTTTTTTATATAGGTGTCAAATACACTGTGGAGGTAGGAGCGTCAGCACCTGTCGATAATGTCGGTTATATGATGATCTCTGTAAGTCGACTCTGATGTAGATTTTGCGAACAGAGGAAACCGTCTGTATGGATGCCCGGATACACATGTTGATATATATGTCGAATGTTCCTCACATAATCCTCCGTCGTATTTTTCGGTATGTTTTATGTCAAAAGTCGCCGCGGAGCACGTGAATAAGATAGAGTGAGAAAGGGCAAATGACATACTGACGAAGTCCAGTGCACACGCAGCATGTATTAAATTGTCAAGGTGGATGCACCGTTCAGTCGGGTCGAGTCGTCCAATCAAGCAAACCTTTTCGCTGAGAAAACGCAAAGTTTCATTTTCATGTTAAATTCTTTTTCTTTCGTGGAACACTTCATCGTATTCTATCAAAAATGTGTAGTTTACATCATATATTTCCAGCAGGCAATAGATCAAATATCACCCTGCCTATATCATCTTTTAGCATCTGAACGACACTCCGTGGGCTCAGATTACTACTAACGCTCTTCGCCAGAACCTTCAATAGTCATTCTTTTAACAACACCATTATCCCACCAGTCGAGTGCATGACCAGCTGAATGTCAATGCAAAAAAAAACAATATCACAATAGCAGACGTAATCCAGCGAGTGTTAACACTCTGTAGGAGATGTACATGTCCAAACACTCACGAAGTTGATATGATGTGATTGTTGAAGTGGAGTTGAAGTTGGAAAAATATCCAGGAGTTTGTGTGGGTCAATATTGAAATTATATCAGCCAGCTAATTTTACATGTTCCATCACGTTGGTGACATCAACTATAGGAATTTTAAAAAGAACGATAGAGAGCGTTTGATTCGTGTACCAATTAATATTTTAATCATTCTATCCAAGCTTTATAGAGATCATAGCTGTGTTAAACTATTAAGAAAAATAAAATGGAGTTTGTTGGAGTTGTAACTGAAATAAAGAACACCAACGATGGAGATCAGTAGATTTAGCCTGATAAAGTATTTTGAGAAGTTTGTGCTTCGCGGATAACATTTATATGGAATGTAATCAGTCTTAGTGAATGATAAAAGCATATACGGAAAATAAGGATAACCGGATGTGAGTAACTGAACTCTGATTTGTATTTTTTGGCACTATATTTACTTCATCTGAAAGTACTGCAAGGTAATGAAATTCACTGCATGTAATCGGAAGACTATTGTTTGCATAAAATCTGCAGTCGATATGCATCTAGCTTGAGCGCTCTTTAGTTTTTAACGTGTGATTACTGAAAGCCTGCTTGTCTATTTTGTACAGCTTCTAGAATTGTGTCATCCGTTAATGAATTAATATTATGTAGAATCAGTCTGACAGAGCGGCTGTGCCGGTATTGTTGATAAATTTTGGAATACGAAAATTGAATTGGTGTATTTTATTCAATTCCACTGATTTTCAAAAACTGCGAATATAGAATAATAGAAATATCTATCAGATTTCATAAATGTTATGCCAACTAGTAGTGTTTCCTAATCGCGCATATGGATGTTAAAATGACTAGAGCGTGATATATACTATAAAAGAGTCATATTTTACGTATGCGCTACGTCTCCACTTTTCTAGGCTGACTAGTCTTACTATACTGGTCAGCTAATCAACGTGTGAAAAGTACGAATTCATTCCTTATTAATGAAACTTCAATGTGGAGAAAGTTATTAGCCTTGTCTCGGATCCAAACGATCTCTGCTTACTAGCTGTTAATAGGTTTGGTGGATCCACTAGAAAGCTATAATCTGTATTAATTATTTTCTTTTAGTTATCAGGTTCCTGCTTTAATAATGATTAGATAGGAGCCATTTGAATATAGGTCGTATGTTCGACTGAAGCAGTGCGATAACTTCTTTAAATAAAGAAATAACCAAACGTGACAAAAATAAAATAATGGGAACAATTAAACTGATGAGAATTTGTTTATATGTTCAATAAGTTGCTCGAGAAGATGTTGTGGAGAAGGCATGACTTTTATTACGTTGACGTGCAGTCATAATAATTAAAAAGCATGCCGAAAATGAATTAAGAGAACTGTCGAACTATAAATTTATATATGATTTGTGAATAGTGTGGAACACAGAATTCGTTGTTCTTCTTCATCATGATACATATCATGATAAAGTGACCCATCAATAATAGAAACCGTAATGCAAGTGATGACTAATAAAATAATCAATTTAGCAATAGATTTACTTCTTGCTTTATTCAAACGAATTTCAAAAAGAACTGGAATTGCTCGTTCAATTGCAACATATACATTAAACTACATATCTATATAAATCGAACGTTTTAATAAATATTTGATAAATTTGCAATCAAATCGAAGAATTATTTGATTAAGGATACAATCAGTTTGAAATAAAATTACAAACCAAAGTTTAATTTTTAAAAAATCATCGTAAAAATTGTGATCATTGACAAGCTAAATAAATAGAATCCACATCCGACTTGTTGCGATCGTTTTCGATGAAAAGTTAAAACAGCAAAACTTCTATTGATAAAATCAAAAATAAACATAAATATTGCAATACTTACACTTGCTTTGATTGTTGAGAGAATGTTAAATAACGTTGAATTTCATAGTGAAGAATATCAATAAGCTCATAATTTCGTAAGTGGAATACAATATGTGATATTCCAGCAATGACACTTATTTTCTTCTTGTGATACATGACAATCGATTATATCATCACTCTTTTGTTCTAATGACATCTCGTATAAATGCAATTACATGGTCAATATATTGACAATCTGTTTCGTCACTATAAGTTTCTTGTGGTACAAGATGGTAATACCGTTACAAGTATGATGAAAATGTATTTCATTAAAGTTTTGTTTTTGATTAGATACAGTACAGAAGAAATTATGATCAACACTTGGTGATCAGCATATTTTCGATTGATCATTGCATTTAAAACGATATTTATTATAACGAATATAATTAGGTAATAGAGCATTACCGTATGACAAGTCGTGTAAATAAACATTGAATAAATAAATTGCTTTCGTTTAGCATTACCTAATTTACTAGTTCAATTCATCCGTTGATACATGAATTGCTAAAACGATTGACACAACTCTTAAGATCAGATTGAAATGTCCCCGTTGGTTCATCAACACAATCGATTTGTCTATTACATATTTCATGCCAATTAAAACATAATGGAAATCCACGATTGCAATTCAGATGAATATAACATAGTGAACCATTGGTCGGAATGGTCATATCTTCAGCTAATTGCTTTTTTTCGCGTCATATAATTTATGAATAAAACTTTCAATTGTCTTTTCATTTGTAAAAAGAAACATATATTCACATCGAGAATCGCATTTGACTGATTCACTCGATCAAATTCAATAGAAGTACATTGGTTAGCTAAAAGAAAAATCAGTGATACCCGCAAAAATAATGATATTTGCATCCATCGTATCCACATGGCATTCGTTCTAGATTTAAACAATAGAAACTAAATTCCCTGGATTGTTAAATTAATTACAATACCTACTTTTGGGTAAGGGTATGTCAGTATATCATTTTTACTTCACCTATGTCTTGAAAAAAGTACAAAAGTGTCTTGTAGTGATGGAATATGATCGTATTACTGGTGTATCCCCACGGCATCATGCATAAACAATATCCATTTTATATTTGTATATTGATCATCTATCAACGCTCATCATAAGTGTACATCAAGCATTTCTTTTTGAATTAAATTGACCAACATCTTGATCTGATCAAGATCCACAGTCTTTTGTTTCGATAACTCTTCTCCACAAACATTTTCCGATGCTGTTACACTTTCATCAGCATATTTTGAAGGTTGATCTAGAGATAAAATATCGATCCATTTTTCGTAGTTTACACCTTTTCGAAATTTGTCTTGATCTTCGGACGATATTAGATATGGTGTTGTATAAACACGTTCTTGACGTTTTCGTAATGCATTTGTACCATCTGAACGTGGAATAGATAAAGGTGTTTTAAATGTATGTGTTTTCGCATCATAATTCTGTTTGATTACGAAACATGCTGAATTTTCACATTCTTCGGCATCACATGGCGTTTCACCTAGAGCAGCATTCAAATAGGCAGTGATACATGTGCATTCTTCATCAAGTGGATTCGCTAGAATGCAAGAAAAGATCATATGACTAATTTATTTTGTTTTATTTGAAAATTACTTCGCACAGCCAATTCTCCTTTAGACACTTTTTCGATTAATTTGCATTGACTTTCCTCATTTAACTTTTTGATATCGACTTGCAATTCTTTTAGTTTTGGTAAATTATTCAAAAGATTCAAATCGATTTCCGTATCTTCAATCACAAGTTCTTCTAAATTATCTAAACCATCAAGTGCATGTGGATCAATATCGTTTTCAGTTGAAATAGATAATCTTCGAATGATTGAATATTGATGAAAAGCCTTAGCTGGAATCCTGTACATAGTGTAAACACGTATTTCATCTAAATTCTTATAATTCGATGGATGTTGAGGATTAAATTCGCTGACATAATACGCATTAATAACCAATTTATGTGCTGGATAAACAGGAAAGTATTCAACGCTGATTACCGAAGCTTGTTTAGCTAATTCTAAACGGTGAATATTGCCTGTAAATCTTTGAGAAACATCCGAGCGCATATCAACACCAGATAAACGTAAATATTTGATATTCGCACCATCGAACATTTGTTGAAATGTACCATTAAATGGATATGTTGCATAAAGTTTTAAAGTATCAATAGACAAGTTTTGAAATAAGTATGGATTATCATTTGGTTGAACCATAGGATTGTAGATTTCGACAGCCTAGAAGAAACAACTGTCATTCATAGAAGTTCCAGAAATGGGAGGAAAAGACTTCTTTCTGAACTTACCATATGTTTTCGTGTGTTGGGAGATAAATTATCGGGAAATACTCGATTGAAAATACCAGGTGACATCAAGTGAAGTGCAGTGAATTTTTCGAATTTAATACGAAACTCAGAGATATTCGCAGTGAAGTCGTATAGTTCTTTGATCGGTTCAAATGTACGATCATCAATAAAAATATCTTGTTCTTCACTGATAGTTAATTCCACGGATTGATATTTCGATTTTTCCGTGTCTAAAATTTTCACTGGAACACTAAATGGTTGAGTAGCGGTACACTGAACTAGAGTCCTGCACGGGTGCACTTTTTTGCACCCTCAACCGACCCGGCACCTTTTTTTACTGCCCAGACCCGAACCGACCCGGCTAGTAAGGCACCCGCGCCCGAACCGGGACCGGATAGAAACACCCGGACCCGAACCGGCTCCTTTTACAGTTTTCAAAATATAAGAACATTTCTAAATCTTTATTTCATTCCAATGATATACTGTGTATAGTTTCATACATTAACAACAAAGAGAAAGATAAATTATCTAAAATTACGTAAAAAAACAAGTGAATCGAGTGACTCAGGATGTAGTTGTTGTCGTCGTGCTTCTAGAATACGACCAGTTTCACTAAACACGCGCTCACTAGCAGCTGATGAAGCCGGAATGGAAAGAAGTGAAAGTGCTAAGCGTGATAGTTGTGGAAAAATAGCGGAGTGTTTCTTCCACCATACGAGTATACCTTCACCTTCAGGATAATTGATCTTCAATTTCATATATTCCACCACTTCGTCATAATCTTTATTATCATCTTCATCATCTGTAGAATTCGACACGAATTCTTTCAAAACGTCATGAACTGATATGTCATCGCGTTTAGCACGTTTATTTCGGTTTTTTTTCTTAACACTATCAGGAAATAATGTTAAATCATTTGATACGTCAACAATCCCTATTGTTTTCATTATTTTCCTAACGGATTGAATGACACCATTTCGGTCTGATTGTGATAATGTCTAAAAAATATTAATTAACGTAGAATTGTATTCAACTTCTAATTATTACCGAAAGGGATTTCGTTTCCGGATGAAGGAAAGTTGCTATATAATGAATATCAGTCAACCAAATTTTATTATCTAATTTGTCCAATATTTTCTGTTTCAATTGACGAATATGTAATCGATCGGTATCTTTTGGTTCACAAGTTTTTTTTAATTTGTGAAACCAAGGCAGAACTGAATGTAGAGTAGGAACATGATCAGCAGATAATTTTTCACTTCCAATTTTGAAAATACCAAGTAAATCTGTAATATCTTTGATCAAATACCGGTCAATCTTTTCCAAATGAGCCATTTCATTTCGAGTATCTAGTATTTGCTCAACGTCATCAAAACTCAGCCAAATTGACCATAAAGTATCATAGGTAGAATTCCATCTGGTGCAAATATCTTGTTTTAATGTTAATGGTAATTTATTTTGAAGTTCACATCGTTTAAAATGTGATACTAAATCACGACATTGCGATATTAATAAATTAATCGCTAAACATTCTTCCAAAGCTTGTTTAATAACTAAATTAACACAATGGCAAACGCAACGTATGTGAGCTTCTCCATTTAATGCAGAAATCAAATTCGAACCGTTATCAGTAACGTATATAATGTGAAATAAATCAGGATCTATGCCAAATGATTTTAAAATGTTCCAAATCATCTTCTTCGTATTTGCTAAAATCGTGAGTAAAAAATAAAATATGCTTGGATAAAATCCAATACTTACCACCAGTTTTCGATTCATCAAATAAAACTGTTTTTAAAACAATATTCTTCATGTGGCCATCTTTATCATAATGTAAAGTAGTGGTTAAATAACTGTCAGAAGTAAATTTGTTTTTCCAGTAATCAGTAGAAATTCCAAATAATTTTACGACGTTTAAGTCACTTAATAATGTTTCAATCAGTTCTACACGACGTTCTAAATATCAGAAAGGTATTTTATGAAAATGAGACGATTTATTCTAGCTTCGCATGCCTTCAGCTAAACTTTTCACATGTCGTGATACAGTCGTTGAATCACATATAAGATCTTTTGCTTTGATTTGAGAAGAACTTTTATAAGCAATGTCTAATAGACTTTGGCAAAGTAATTCAAAACCATTACCATTAACTATTTCATATGGACGTAAATCATAAGAACAAAATGTAGCACATGCATCAGCAAATAAACGTTTTGTTTCAAATGGTACATGCTTTTGTTTGTTCATCATTGTAATAATATCTTGACTTTTACTACCACTAGGATTGGTACCACCAAAACATGATTCAGCGTGTGCTTTATGAGTGCTAGAACCCGTCTTATTTACATCGTAAGATAGAATTGATAAACATTTGATACATTGCACATATGGTAGAATGTGATCGTTATCGTCTTGAATTCGAAAGAAATTATTCCACCAAGTCACTGTTGCTGTATTTGGTTTTGGACATGTTTTAAAAATTCCTTTGTCTAATTTAGTTCGAATATTTTCTTTGTCTTTTTTCCAGCTGCTCATATTCCAAAGTTTTTTAAACGAAACAATCAGATTTTATCTGAAACAACAAAAATAAGTTCAACTCTTTTCTTTATGAAATGTTTCAACGAATAAGAAATCGATAAATCATTACCAGATCTATTTTGACTTCTTCTTTTGTTTTCTGCACAGTGATAGTGCTAAATCATAGGCTTACAAATTTATTGATGTCACTAGTTCCCGGTTCGGGTCCGGGTAAGCAGTTGTACCCAGGACCCGAACCGAATTCTTTAATTATACCCGGAACCCGATCCGACCCGACAGATTTTACCCGAACCCAGATCCCGGTTCGGTTCGGTTCCGGGTACCCGGCCGGTTTGCAGGACTCTACACTGAACCGAATGTTCCCAACATCTACATTCAAAATTTTCTACTGCACGACAATTATACGGATCACTACTATCGTATTCCAAAAAATAAGTTGAAAACATTGGTAAAAGTGCAAATAATACCAAAGATACGAACATAACACGCAGCATTTTGTATAGATATGAAGTGATACTCTTCGAAAGACGTGTTTATATATCGATCACGCTTTACTCTTTTTCTAAGAAATTTCTCCCCAGGGATTCTCTCTATTCCCTTGACGCATCCCCACTCATTCATTTTCGTTGATAACGACGTGCTGCAATGGCATGATGAAATACAACTATCAACTGTAAAGGTTTTTTTAGGAACAATCAAGATAAATACAGCGAAAGAAGCGAAGCAATCGAGCCCATGAGACACCGGAGTAGCTGAGAAAATGTAATTAGTTAGGCTTTTGTAGTTTTGCGGCAGATAAATCCAGTTCGAAAAGAAAATATTGATCAATTAATTTGTCTGAATTCCTCCACGACCAAAGTTTAACAACGAAACGAAAATATCCTGATTCCAATTTTTTACACTATCAGCAGCTATGTCACAGAGAGATGGTTGAACAACAAAATAGATTTTTACCCACGAATACGAAATTGATTTTCTGGCACATCTGACCAATTACCATCGTCAAATATACTCGTAATCCAGGTACCTTCAATGAATGGATTCGAATAGATTTCATGCAATCGAACACTCAAATTGACAAACGATTCTAGTTGGAACGGATCTTCCGTACACGGACATCGAAGGGATGTGCTATAATCATCAAAGAGTTGCTGAACTATTGTTTCAGTTGGCCAACGAACTTCTATTACCTATTGGTCTCATCGGTTAAAATGTCTTACAGAAAAAGAATAGAAAAAAAAACAGATACCCAAATGATTATATACAGTCGCGTCGCTCGGTGGAAATCGTCAGCGGAGTTGATTTGATTCGATGAATGTCACGTATCAAACCATAAACATCAACATGACCTTAAATGTATCCTACAAGCCAATAAATGATATAGTAAAGAACGGATGTCAATAAACGCAGAGCAACGCTCAATCCACTGTAGATACCCATTAAATATGTGATAATAACGATATACTCATCAAAGTATCGTTTGTCTTGAACGAAACATCATGCAGCACTTGAATTTAGATGAGATGGAGTAAGATTAAAAAAATAGGCTCTACCTTTCTAGAATGAAATTAACTAAAGTATAGAAAAAAAGATTTGAGAATTGAAATGAAAAGTGTTGTTCACCTGATCGTAACGTTCTTCTGAATACCAACAAGCTAAATTTGACAGTAATGTTGATCGAGATGGTGAAAACGTCAATCGAATTCCCATGATTTCATGCAATAGCTTTAACGAATTGTTTGATATAGTGTAGTTGTAAAAGGCAGCATTAGTAGAGCATGTGTCTGGATTTGTAATACATGAACAATTGTAGAAACGATCAGCTTCGATTACAATCCTTCCATCGACAGTGACATTCGTCCTGCAAAATGTACTGATGGTTGAAATGCCATATGATTTAGAAAAGAGTTGAAGGATATCTGAGAATGTATGATTGAGATACAATTTAACAGTGATAGTGGTGGCCATTATCGAACTATCAATCTGTGTTTTGAACGCAACTGGACTGAGAACGTACATGAAGGAGATGAAATCATATTGTAAAAAACTGATATAAGTAGTTTGAATGGATCCTATAATAAACTCACAAAGTACGCTGATATGTGTAAAGTAAATTGCACTCATTGTCATGAAATCGTGTGTGTTTGTATTAACGTGATCGAATGTAAGTAGTGGTTGGATAAAATCCCAATTGACAAAATCACTCGAATAGATCTGATGGAATAACCGATTATTCAAATCCGAATCGAATAAATTGATTTCTTTGATTTTCTTCAATAAATCCAACAATTTTTGTTTGAAGGTCAAAGCTGAAAAACCAGGAATCGTTATGGATTATCTAATGATGGGGTTGGCAGCAGAAGAAGATCGTCATTTTCTCCCAAATTTCATTAAAAAATCCATAACAAGTGGAATAATGAGACGCAGTCCAGTATTCAGACCACTAACGAAGCCGATAATCGCTGTAACAACGGTTAGAAAGGAGTTTCGACTTTTATACGAATATACACAAAAGTGAGATGCACGTTGAACATGATACGCCTCGAAAGAATAGCTGAACGAGAGTTTTTCCACCATAGTCATATTAACTATATCAGAGATGGTAGCATTACGCAGATATTGACTCTCAAGAGTTGCATCTAATGGCGTGAAATTTGAAATATTCGAAACGAAGAGTTCGAGACACGACGAATCGTAGAAACATTCTCTTGGTCAAAATTGCATTTGGATTTATGTAAAACTTAACATATTGTCTCACACACTGTTGTTGCCCAACAATAGCAGATATAGGCAGGATTCCGATATATGGCTATGGACAAGGTGAGCTGAGCTGCATCGATAGAAGAGAAATAAATCGCAGCATTGGTGTCGAGTGCACTGATGGCCAAATCATTGAAAAAGCGTACAAGTGTCCCCCAGCAGCCTTAATTATACTCGACGTGGAATCGTGAGACTTTAATTCGGACTTTGTATAAGCTTCAGAAGAAAGATCATAACCATTGAGAGCGACATCAATTTGAGTATTGACACTATTTTTGACTTATTTGACATAGAAAACGAAGACCTTGAGCATATCTAAAAGATAAGATATTAATTCTATATTCGCCAAATAATCAATATGAATAGGAATGAACTTTTTCTTACCTAATGAAAAGTCGAATCAATTTGGACAAATGTCGATTGTTGAAACGAAGTAGTTGAACAGATGGATAACTCCGTTGTAGAGCTTCTATTCTAGCAGAATAATGTAGATCCAGGAGAAACAACGTTGAATTTGAATCTTATGCGACGAATCCTTTGTTGTAGCCGATCAACACATCGAATTATGATGAATTTTAGTACTTTTCTTTTTCTTTCAATAGTAATGAGTAAAAACCATGCTTTGATTGCAATACTCGCACAAGTATTTCCGATCTACAAAATATGATCATTTTCAAGGCCGAAAATAATACTTCTTCAGACAATTAAAACGAAAGAGAGAAAGTGCGTCAAAATACAACTTTGCACGGAAATATGGTGAAAGTATATCTTATATTGAAACTATTTTCATACCCGGTGCAATACTTAATCGTCAGAGCATCGAAAAGAAAATTCGGTTGTGCTCTGTTTCTTTGAAAATAGTTCGAAATAAAATGAAGAAGAACGACATAATTACAAAGACAGATAAGTATGTAGAATAGGAAAATTAAAAAAAGATCTGTATCTTCACGTAACAATACAATTGTTGTTTGTATGGTGGCATCATTACTTGCTTGGTTTGCATTTTATATCATCAGAATTATTAATACATTTGTTCCTTATTCTAAAAGTCAATATATCGATGAATCTACACAATACTGATATGATAAAGATCTATTTCGATCAGCTTTTTGAACACTGATACCCAATTGCGTACTGGTTCTTCCATTTCTGCTGGACATGTTACATGTTTTTGCTCAATTATGATCAAACGATTATTAACGACTAGGAGTTTAATATGACTATCAGTTTTTTGAGATTAACAAACTTTTCTTCGCATTCATTTTCGACATTGAAGCTCTAATTGCGAACATATTTGAAAATAATCAATTATTGTCTCTCTTTTCCTCGACAAAAATTTTTAGAACCGATGTAATTTTCCTTATTTAACTTGAAAATTCATTAGACACATCGAATCAAATGGTAACTTTGCTCGAATTTGTATAAGTACTGTTTACCTAGTACTGAAAATCAACAAAAAAACACGGTTTGTTACCAAAATATATCGTTGGAATCTTTGAAAGTAAAAATCAAATTTAATCCAATCGTCGTTTCGAATTGATTCTCTTGATTAAATTATATTCCATTATCGGATAGATGACTAATATCGATAAAAACATACTCCAAAAGAGTTTGATATGAGGAGGTACAGGATTTGGAAATTCTCGATTGGAAAACTTCAAACAAATCAAACTCTCTGTCCAAATATTCGATACCATAAAAAATGTATGCGCACCTAATTTATTATGTTCAGGGTCAATATAATAATGATAAATTTCTCGCAGAGCAGGTGAACACACCAACGAAAACACCAGTAATCTCAATGAAACTAAATAATGTTCAGGAGGAATCCATAACAAATATTTCAAATAAAAAACATTCAATTCGCATTGAAGAGTTGACCAAATGATAAACAACAAGCCGAGATAATGTGGAAACGTTCTTCCTGGTGACCAATTGAATAGATTCGACAGAAAATCTTGATTTGTTTCTTCATGACAAGTTTGTTTGACTTCCTTCCAATGAAATTGTTCAAGTTGAAAGTATTGACAAGTTTTCATTCCAAAATAAATCCCCAGAGCATTACAAAATGCCACATCCAATATCCAATGATCCCACCAACATTCAGCAAAATTCGGTAATTGATGTTGCAAAGAATATTCGAAGATTTCGAACATGATTGACAAGATCCACCATATCCAATAATCGCGAAATAACAAAGCTTTGATATATGAACCGAGTATATGAGAAAGAACAAAACCATCGAGTTGATTTTTCAGAATACTCCATCTTAATGAACAATTCTCTGCATAGGAACGTTCAGGTAGAGGAATTCCTAAAGATGAACTGATATATTTTAAATTCCTCGCTTCGGCTTTGCTTTTCGTAAAGAAATATATTAGAAATATTTGATACGACACTGATATTCCTAAAACAATTCTCCAGAGAATAACTTGTAATCGGATACTCCAATTAGGATTAATTGATTCCATTTCAAATAAAATAAGAATTGTAATCGCGTTGTCTTTCAATCTATAACAAATAGAAGTTTTTCTAATCCGAAATGCATCATCATCATCATCATCTGTACAAAAGTATACTCGTATTGTAATAAATCGTACTCTTCGTAATTTGCACTTGTTGATACCCTCAATGATGTGTATAAAACAAAATTGTTATTGCGTTTTATCAAATGAATATATAAACATTTCGCGTACATGTGTTTATCGATCGTTCTCTTCTTTTCTTGTGACGTCAGAAGATATTCGTATCCTATATTTCTTTTCATTCTATCTTCAGAAATACCTGTTCGGTCGCAAAAAGAAACAATGAATCGACGAGAAAGGTGTACACACTGAAATTTTATGGATGTTTTCAATCATCTTCGAAATAAACATATCTTTTTAATACGAATGTACAACATGTGATCCTTCGATACGATATGTCATATACATACAAGGTTTTGCACGTTCTCATACCCGAGATATATGTGAAGCAAACACCATGTGCTTTTTTTTCTGTTTTTCTCTCGAATAAAGGATATTTTTACAAGAGGAAACGCCCTTCATAAGAGGACGTTATAAAACTCCCCACTCCATATGACAGTTGTTTTCAATGGCGGAAAAACGTGATTTATCTCTCCGCATACAATACCGATCGATTTTGTCTATCGATATCACGTAAGACTGAAACGATTTAAATATCTGTGTTGACTTCCATTTTCTCCCTTCGAACAGATATCATTCAGTTTTTGTTACATAGAAAATCAAAATATTGTATTTTTCTCGATTTCATATGTATTTTATCTTTATAGATTCTTTGTTCTAGACAATAACAACATTGGATATTGGATCGAATAATATCAGAGATGAAGAAATGAAACATCTTGCATTTGCTCTGTCCGTAAATCAAGTATATAATTTCTATATGTTCGATTAGTATGTTGACAGTCCTTTCTTTAGACTCTAATTGAATTAGATCTCTCATATATTCAAATCCATGAACAAGGAATGCGATATTTGAGTGATGGTTTACGAAGGAATCGATTGAGGTTTCCGTTAGCTCGATTTTTAGTTTTTACAATGTGAATTCGATTCAGACGCTTATCGAACTTGTACTTTCATATAATCGTCTCGGTGATGCACTTCGCGAGAACAAAGTACGAGTACTTCATGTTTTCATCGATTTCACTATTTACTTTGTTTATTTCATAGACATTAACTATACTTCTGATGCGAAAATGTAGAATAGGTATTGAAGATACACGAAATTCGACTGATGACCTAAGGGAAAAATCTGGTAAAACTTCTCTTCACATCTCATAAACAAGAATTTGTTTTTTAAAGGGACTTACCAGTCTTGCTCTACCGGAATGTGAAATTAATGATCGAGGAGTTCATCATATTGCAAATGCCTTACGAAAAAATCGAGTAAAAGATCTTGGAAATAATAGACGATAATTTCCATAATGTCATATAGACACTCACTTATATATGTTTAATGGAAAATCAAATTGGGGATCAAAGCGCACATCATCTTGCTGATGCTTTACATCGCAATCAAGTACAGCAGTTTTTTTCAGAATTCTGTACAATTCTAGTGTTGTAAACTATTTTGTGTAGACGCTAACAGAATTATTTTTCTCAAAAAATCGAGTTGGTAATGAAGGGTCGCAATATCTCGCTAAAGCAATAAGAAAAGCTCTAGTAAGATCATTTCTGTCTACGCACAATGTTTAATATGTATGGAGCTTTCTTAGACATTGCAAAAACTGTTCCTCTCAGGAAATCGCATAAGTGATCAACGAGTACAACATTTTGTTGATGTTGTCCAATCGCGACAGATAACACTTATTTTTACATTTACATTTTCAATTGTCGATTCAGACACCAATCAAAGTATATCAGAACACATTCATATTGTAATGGACAAAAGTATTTCTCTTGTAAAACGCAATTGTGTATCCTTTATTATTTGATTTAATTATTATCGAAAACTTTCCGATATTAATTTGGCCCAATATGGACGAGGTATTTTCATACCCGTAAGAATATATGTTCGATTTTCGAGAACGCTTTATTTATTTGAAGAAATAAAAAATAATTAGAGTTTCATGAAATGTTTATTTAGTTTCTTGAGGGTGACTATACCCAAGAAAAACTTCAGTATTTTCATCCACATGTATAGATACCTGAGTCACCAAGTTGACCTCGTTTTTCTGATTCAATTCCTTCATCACGATTGCTCAATAAATGTAAAAGTCTATCTGCTCGTCAATCCAAATCATCTTCTACATTCGAATCGAAAACAACTGCACCTTGTGCTATTTGTGTGACAATGAACACAAGACATAAACTTGAAAATAGTCTTCATGGGCATTTGTCAATATCCACAAAATAATCCAAATGTAAACTGGAAACGAACTGTTTGATATGTTGCTCTTTATATACATTAAGATGTGGCGTTGTTTTTCATCTGTTGGCATTAGCGATATTCGCAGTCGTTCACAATGATTAATACTGATTTTTACTAAGAAATAAATGAACTTACTCTTCAAGTGACTCTTGTACTACGTTCGACAAGCATATATATATAAGAGATGGTATGTGGAGCGTCTTGAATGGAAAGTCGACGAATATAGTTTCTCAAGATCATTAAGTTGATGTTCCTTGGGTTTTATCTGTCGATTCATTCGCTCTATGTACTGTAAAAACTAACGGAGCAATGAAGCAAATGAGAAACTTTTTGAGCCACACTCTTACATTATTTTTCTTACTAATAACGAACAAAGATGTGACAGTGTTGTATAATCATTTGTTTCGATAAAGGGTATTATTAGTTATCTACTTCTTTAAACTATTCCAAAACATCATGGACCGCCTTACATTTTTATTCTCGTCTTCGTCTCGTATGCAATCTTTATGTTTTTACTCGACCAAGTCTCGGAAATCAACCATGTTCAATATACTTTTTTAGCTGATCATAATCAAGGTATCTGTCGAGTGTTTTGCATTTTATGTCATCCGCGTAGCTGCTAATTGTCTGCACCTGTGTTGATCGATACTTACACAGTTCGCCCACCATCCGTCTGCGTCAACTGAGTACGATAAAAACAACAAAATTAGCAATGGGGTTTGGTATTCCTTATGTCCATCATTGTTGATGCTTCTCTTCGGTTGTTTAACATTGCATCATATTCGCTACCGTCGGCGAGTTCAGCCATCGGATAGTCAACATTATCATGAGATTCACCGTACGAATCGTCAGTATCATTTCAACATCACCATTTTATCTCTATAGACTGCATAAAGGCGTATTTTTTCCATTCGACTTCTTCGTTGTAGTCGAAAGTACAATGGAAATTACTTGAGTATATTCAGCATTCTAAAGGATGCACAACGTTGACAGTATGCGATCGATAAATTTATTGAAGAAAATAAAAGCCATACAACTTTTTGACAACAACGGCAAATTATCAGCAGAAGAAAAATATTGTCCGCTATTAAGTTTTCATCCTCACGCCTCAAGTAAAGCAATGACACGTATTCAGAAAGATATCTATGGTTTTAAGTCCATCAGTCACACTGATTATATCTTGACAATTATCATTGTTAAAATCTTTTACATCAGTCCAAACTTCATCACTGCCAATTTCATTCGAATAAATAGTATGTGCTCGAAAGTTGCCATTTCCGTCTCCAAGAAAACCATGGATCATATATGGGGAAAGGCTGGTAACAATGATGTCTGGATAATTGTCACCATTTAAATCAGATACAACGGCTGATTCAGACCGTAACTCTGACTCTAAAACAATCTGTTCGCGTGCATGAAAAGAACCGTTACTGTATCGATATGACATGAAGATAGTATTTGTCCAAGAGCGGAGAAATACAATATCAGATTGATTATCTCGACGGAAGTTACCGTGCACAATATTAGAATGTTGAAAGTTCATTGAAGTGAAGAACCATTGATGTAAATGGAAACTTCCATGATTACTTCCAAAAAAAACATGCATAAAAGCAGAATGATAATCCATTACAGCAATATCGAGATGGTTATCCTCATTAAAGTTAGGAAGAAATATCTTTCCAGGGCTACTTCTCCTTCCTGCAAATAGTTTCGATTGTAACGAAAAATTTCCAGTACCATCTCCAAAGTATATATCAATATATTCTCGAAGGCCTGTCAGTATAATATCCAACTGATTATCCTGATTAAGATCAGCTAAAATAGAATGAGATATGTAGTGGTTCGTACTTATTGATTGTCTGTGTTGTGTTTGAAATGTTCCATTACCATTCCCGAATATAGGGACGACATTTAACACATAAGTATTATAAACTAAAACCAGATCGAGTCGAGTATCATTATTTATATCACCAACATGAATATCTACCACTTTGGAAAGCTCAAATAGGTAGACGATCGGTGTTTGAAATGTGCCATCGCCATTACTGAGGAGTACATTTATCGTATCATTCTCTATGCAAACTAAAATCAAATCAACTCGACTGTCATTGTTTACATCAACAACAGTAGCTAGATCTCTTAGTGACCCTAGACATAGCACATTCATTGACAGTCGATTAAATTTAGGGGGGCATATTGGTTCTGAAAATAGGAAATAGAAAATATCAAAAGATGATATGTGTTATAATCACCTGATGTAGTCGACGACATTGGCATTATTGTTGAATTGGAACGATTATCTATTGACGCGGTTGGCAACGAATCTAATAAGGAAATGTTTAGCGATTGTTTTCATGAATATCTTTACCTCGTCGAATATATTGTACTGAAAAGAGTAGAAAACCTCCGGATATACATAGGAATAGTATAATTGTAAATGTGACTTTGATGAACAATCGACTATGAAGCATAATAGAAAAGTTTTTCATAAAAAAGTAAGAGAGAACGTATTACTGGCATATTGAATTCGTTGGTGTTGTCTTATTTTCGTCGGAATTGGAATTGATATGAGACGAATCTGCAATTGAATCCGTTGCACCAATAGAGTTCGCTGGATTCTTTCGCTTGTTATAAATCCAAAATCCAATTCGTATAAGTTTCGGACAAATCCATTTGAGAACAATCGACAACCCACCTTGAAGACCCAGTACGGCAGCAATGATAGAGAAGATATTGAATCGTTGAACACTGATATAAAAACATATCGAAGGTGAACATTGTTCATAATAAGAAGAGTAATTCACGTCCATCGACCAGTTTTCAATAAATAAATTTATTTTCAGCTCATCTATGGTCGTGTTTTGTGAAAAACTACCGTTTGACGTCTGAAGAGGTGTTATAGAGAAGTTGTAGTTTGTATGCGTTTGTATGAGATCAAGGCATGATTGATTATAAAAGCATTGAAGAGTTGAAGCAAGAAATGATTCACTTGGAGTACATCCCATCTTCATGCCATGGACAGAAAAGTTTCTTAATGGATTTCCTTCAATAAAAACTGCTTGAGTTGTGCATGTGGGAGACTTTCCACACGAACATTGATCATCGTACACAATACCTTGTGTGGGTAAATATGAATTGTAAATTTTATTCGCTGGAAGAATGTATTCAAAATTTGTTTCGTAAGTCGAAATCAAAGCATTTCCGTGGCTGAGACTTTGAATGAAGGACAAAAGACGAGAGACTAAAATAGGAGCCCTGGATTTACTCTGCTCAATAGTTGCATTCAGATGATTGTCGAACTGGTTTTTGGGGAGAAGTTCCACAGTGACCAATAATGAGGTTAGAAATTCATTGATCGAATGCTGCACCGATTGTTCAGATATATTACATAATTTTTGAAGATAGTATAAATGCGCCGGAAGAAACCGACGATAATCTCTTCGATTAAATACGGTAAAATTAGGAACAAGTCCATTCACTAAACCCAGGCGCCATTCTTCAGAGACGAAATTACTTCTACAAACCTGAGAAAACAAATAACGCAAAACACGGTGATGGAGAGAAGAGTTCAAATCTTGGCTGCGTTCCTTACCGAATGGAATATCGGTTCGATTTTGACGAATCGATCGTATGTCGATGCTATTTGTGAACAGGAACATTTCAATTGATCGCCATAGATCTCCCTCAAATGATTATAGTAAAACAAATCTGGTTTGAGATAAGTTGTTCTTGATGTTCGTTGTTGGACTATTGTGTAAAATATCAGAATAGTGTGGCTAGCAATGAGTAAAAGTATATAGAGACGAGTTGCCCATTGTCCGTAACGCTTTGCCGTTTCCCGATCTCTATGACTTCCAAGATCGCGTAAAGGAAAGATATTTAATGTAACTAACGTAGATCGTAGAAGTTTAATTAAATGGCGTATCCACGTCTTCAATTGATCGAGGCTGCGACGAGGTGCTAGAACTAAAGTTTCATTGTGTTAGTTCTTCTAGATTTTAAACATAAAAAATAAAACTCGATTATGTGTGTATATCTCGCATAGTCTAAAAAAACGAAGTTTCACTCTGATACTCTTTTCCAGAAAGCATATTGACAAAAGAATATCACCTAAATACTGTTCTGTTGCAATTTTATCAGAGAAGTTCATACCTGGTTGTGTTTGTCTTGTCGTTTTATTGAATCTAGCGAGTATTTTGAAAATGGCTTGAACAAGACGCGGTGTTAAAAGTTTCAATACAATGACAATACTACTTATCATGGATATCAGTATTATAATTACACCAATGAAATTATTATTACGAATTTTTTCGGGATAAGAACAATAATTGGGTGCACACGATTTATAGAACTGTTCGTATGTCAGAGAAGGATTCCATTGTTCGATCATTAGTTCCTTAATGATTGTTGAAATGGATGTGTTCGGAGGATAATGACTCGTTTTTGGATCATAGAAGAGAGGTTGTAGACGAAATGGTGAAGATATCTTGCCGAGCCCAGTTTCTCCTAGTTGTATATGGTTCATGAAATTCAGAAAGTCGTCCGAATTCATATACACAAGTTGAAAAGTCGAAAGTAGGAGAGAATCAAGAGTGAAGCATCCTTGCATCCAGCCAGGTATATTGTAAATATCATCCTTGCCGTAATTTGTCCACGCAGAATTGTATATATGAGCTGTATCTCCACAGTTTGGATTGATAGCACAAATACAGATAAACCGCCTTGAACTCATTTCTTTGATTCCATTCAAAATAAATTGCACCTAAAAGTAAGAGTATTCACAGTAATATTTTTGTGTTAATTGATTCAGAGATAAGACTCGCATCTTACATAATTTCAACAGTAGTCTAAAATGAAATTGCACATAAAGATACATGGATTTATGTTCTCAACAGTTTGTCAAATCGCATCCTATTGTGTAAAGCTGCGCAGATAAAACTAAAGAGCTCATAGCTACGTATACTGCGGAACAAGCTCCTGTCATCTAAAAATGAACGTACTTGAAGTGTGTGACCGTTTGTTTCGTTAATTAATGTATGCATCATGAAATCAGAATGTACTTCGTTTTGTGACCATATGATATCACCCATACACGGCTGATCAATTTGCATAATAAGATGTACAACATCTTTCAGCAAATCAAAGTTGTAAAACGTTGATTGATATAACTGAGTAAGACTCGTATTTAATTGTAGATAAAAGTTAGCCTCGTTCAAGGCAGAAGAAGCGATAAAAAATTGTAAAAGATATTGATCAATCGCATCGTTTATTGTTTCATTAGCCAGTTGACAAAGATGAGACAAGATTGCGAACTGCATGTATGCTAAAGTGCTCCAACTGGTATTGGCTACCCTGTGTAGAAGAGCTTTTAATATTGTAATCCAATCGTCAAGAACGAAACTACTACGGCAGATTTGATGAAGAATGGGAGAGAAGGAAATGAATGATTGATGAGGTATCGCTTGATTAGAACACGGACATTGAAGTTCTGTGGAATATTTGACATCTAATGATTGAAAAGTTGATAATGAAGGATTTAGTTCAATTACTGTCGTTGTTGTACTGCTTAGCGATGCGAATAGGCAGAGAGCACATATCGAACCTAGAATATTTCAAAGAAACATATTTGAGTGTGTATATTGACGTATCCTAGGCAATCTATGTAATGAGAATAAGACTTGCCAACTAATAAAATAACATATACTCGCGTGGTGATTCGTTGCTGTTTGATACTGTTTTCTGTTCGATCATGGATATGATTGAACAAATTCAACTCTTTTATGAACTGCACAGGCTTGAACATATTTATATGTTGGTCATCTATAATGAAAATAAAGCTTCTATCGATGTCATAGGATACATTCTTGTGTATACTCAACTCGAATTTCTGATTGACTTATCTGAATAAGACTTCCATTTGATAAACAGATCGATGGTACATGATGCAACGAAACGGAGAATGATAATAACACCACCATAAAGACTAATAAGAAGGGTGATCGTATACGATAAATTCATTTGATCTTTCACTGTGTATGTGCACGTAGATGGTGAACACTGATGGAAATACGTTGGGTGATCCACGTTTAATGACCAATTTGTAACGAAAAGAGCTTTGAAATAATTATTGATCGAAATATTTTCATTCTTTGTTGATAAAATCGAATCGGACCAAGAAATATTTAGCTGAAACGGAGAAGAAAATTTAACAAACTATCGCATTTTTATTCGACATACTTGATTTAGTTTTGGGAAGGCATGCAACAATAACTGAATACATTTATGATCGTATAAACAGTCCAATGTGCTTTCAAGAAGTGCTTCGAGAGGAGTACATCCCGCGAAGAACCCTTTGATAAGTTTAGAATTAGGCATCGGCTCCATTACAGATCTACGCTCGAATGGAAAGCGCACTTTTGATGGTGGAGCAAAAGTAGCTGGAATGACTGAATTGGCTTTGCTGCATGGTCGAGAAATGCCCTTTTCGATAGAAATTCCTACATACATTCCTCTGATCACTAACTTAGGAGCAAAGTTGTCTACGATTTCAGTTATCCAGTTGGTGCCGAGTGCTGAAACCAAGTAGTGTTCTTGACTTATTGTATTCCAGTAATTCAAAAACGACATTGCCAGACGAGAGAAATGGCTTTTACGAAAGTCAACCAGATCATTAACTTGTCGATGAACTTCCGCTTCACAAATGAGTTCAATGCTTACAAAATCGGTATTGTTAATATCATTTTGAATTTGATCAATATTGTCCTTCGCAAAAGAGCACAATGTTGACAGAAGTTGAAACTAAATGAAAAATACGATTCTACACAAATCCAAAACTGAGGTGGATTACAAAGAGCAACGGTGACCCGAGTTCCAAATCGACTTTCACTTACCTGATAATAGGCTGTTGTTCGAAAATCCCACACACCATAAAGACTTGCATTTTCCAGATATAATCGATCCACCCATTGACTATCGATAAAAATACTCGAACAGACCGGATGTATTGTAACATTAATGAAGACAAAACTTTTGTATGGTATTGTACTTGTTCTACACGGACATGAAAGTGTTTGGTTATATTCAGAATATAATTCATTGAATGTCTCCAGTGTCACTCCAGAAATAAGAATCGTTTTAGATTCCACATTGAGAAGAGTAACATAGAACAGTAGGTAGAGACAAACTACAATATTACATTTATATGAAACAATTGAGTAGAAGATATTCATTTGGAATTTCTTACCCATAAGAAGTACAACATACAAACGAGTTTTGTACTTTTGATGTTTAAGAAGTACAGTCGGATCTTTGGTGTTGTCATCGTCATAATCATTTTCTTCTAATATGAAAAGATTATAATTGGATATCTTCTTGTAGAGCCATTGAAGATAAATTTTCATATTCATTCTGCCGAATGGAGTTTTACAAAGCGATGATTTATTCTGAAATGAAATCAATCGAAAGAGAAGTATTTGACGGTATTCTTCTGCAAGAGATGCATAGAAGCATACGCTCTTGGATGGAGATCATTCCCATCTACTTGACTGCAAAGTTCTCTATTATAAGAACAAATGGCGAACATTATTTTTTATAGATGAAGTTCATTTTTATTCATAGAGCAACACAGGTTTTGACATTCTCTTGTTTATGGTAAATTTAAAATAGAGAAGATTGATGCTTATAGATATATTATTCAATGAAAATCACGAGCAGAAAATGTTTATTCATTATTTAAAGAAAAAAATTATTGAATTTGTTTTGCAAGTATTTGCTTAATATTTAATAAATTTAGCCCACTTCGAGATGAGAGTAGTGTGAACTGAGAGCAATAAGAATAGCTGTTGAGTGGATTTTTAGTTTTTCTTCCACATAACTCGTGTTGTCGTGACTATTCTCAATCAGTTTATGTGTTGCTGTTGAAAAAGTGATCGAGGGTGAGGGTGGTTCCAAAGGAATTTCCGCACGCGGATATTCTAAAAATATTTTTCAATTAAGAAACTCTTTCGTATTAAATTCTACAAGCCAGTTGTAAGTTTATCCTCTTCTTCAATATCATTTATAAGAATATCTTGTAGCGAGTAGCATCGTTTCTGTTCGTTGTGTTTACGTTTTCGTTCATGATCGATAACGTTCGAGTCCAACAACGAAATTTCAATTGTCGAAGGAAAAGGAAGGAGAAAACTCACCTCGAAGTCGAATTTCATAGCGACAGGACCGTTAATTTTGGCGAAGAGTTTTACGAGATAATCAACATCATCATCGCTAATAAACGATTTTCCGAAAAGAGCGTTAAGTACTCGCAATGTCCCAGCAAATGTTGAATCATCGTGTAGAGCTCGTGGAACATCTTCTTCGAGCGCAAAATGTAAACTATATCGATCGTTCTGGGATAGATCAGCTTGAATTGGAATTAACTCAGTTCGTAAATCCAAATGGTTGTTAATCTAAATAGAAAAACTTCACTTTTGAAAAGGAAAGATGTTTCCATAATTGAAATTTTGATATAGTGACGAAATCGTACTTATTATCGATCAAAATAAGAATTCAATGCCGTCTTTTCACTTAATTCACAAATATATTCTCATCTTTTTTTCGGAAAAGAAAAAACGAAAAATGCGGTCATCAATCAGTTCATTTTCTTTTTGTTGTGCGTTTAAAACATGAAGCAATTGAAAAACGCTTATCTTTTAACAAACGGTTTTCTTTCTAACAGAGTGGGGAAAACTAAACCGTAATACTTCAACATATGATTATTTGTCGATTTCATTAATAAGTGAAAGCGTCAGTGGAGAAGAGATCGTCTGACGAAATCAAATATATGTCCATTCTCGTCCATTACATCTCTCAGGATCTGTAATGTGATCCAATACAAGGATACGAAATATGTAAACAATGTCGATCTTATTACTCAACCGGTTAATAATGATAATGGAAATACTATGAGATAAATTCTTCGAAATCGTCGCATACGACCAGTTCATCCGTTTTTGTTGAGACAAATGAAGAACATAATGCTATTAGTCATCGAGTCCAAAGAATTCGAATGCCGCAGACATCTATTTTTTCAACCATTGATACCCTTAATAAAGATATTTTATTTGAAAAAGTGACTTATTTCTAGGCAGAAATAGTTATGTAGTCTTGAGTCTTTCAACAGTCAGAATGGCTTTTAACATTTCCATCCACCGCTACATCCTTCATAGTCCCCATTCGTCCTCTTTTTCCTCCACATGTATAGACACCTGTTTTTCTGTTTCAATTCTTTCATCACGATTGATCAATAAATGTAAAAGTCTATTTGCTCGTCAATCCAAATCATCTTCTTCATTCGAATCGAAAACAATTGCACCTTGTGCCATGAGTATACTTCTTTGACATATTGCTCTTTATATTCATCAAGACGAGACGTTATTTTCCAATCGACGTGAAACAGAGAACAAATTATCCTGCGTAAATATCAACTGGAAATAGAGTTTTTTGTTCAACAGCGCAAAGAGTAGTGTGAATACATCAACTTGTGTAATGATATTTTCTCTACCCATCAGTTCAGTTTGAAGCGTCTATATTTAGTCGTACGAACTGTATTCAATTCATATTTTGTTGACATTAACAAAACATAAGGAAAGCAAAGCAAAAAAGAATGTTCTCAAACGTGATATAATGAATGAGTTTACAATCGAGAAATGAACAACGTTTGTTTTCGTATCGAAATAGTCAAATGAAGTACATATAATCACGAAAATTGTTAGTTGTTCTGTACTACTTCATCCCATGTTCCATCTGAAAGCAATACAAAATTTCCAAAGAATCTTCGCGACATAGCAGCTGATTTGGATCAATTCTTTCTTTTTGACGATAACATCATTTTCGAATAACAAATCTCATGACAGCAAACAAAATGGTAATCTAAGTTAATAATATCTGTAATATACTAAACAGGAGAATAGTTTCTTTTTATCGGATCACTCGTAGTTTTTGAATCACATTCACCATCGTGAAACTTCTACTCAACGTACAAACGTTTTTCGAGCTTTTCAATGAATTAACGCAACTTTTCAAGTTTCCTATCGAAGAAAACTAAGACAATGTGTAAAATATAATGACAACTAATATCGTTGCCGCTCTCACCCACACCCACACCCTTTGTTCGAATTTCAACTGAATTATCAAGACAAACAACATTATAGTAAAACTCGACAACCTGTTCTGCACTGTGAACAAGTGCAAATCATGTGTTGACATTTGTGATTTACTTTACTCATACTAACACGATATTCGTCAACAATTTTTTCGTGATATTTCAGTATGTGCAATATTACTTTTATGAAAGATTTACATTGTTGATAATAAACTTTCGGCTGTAAATACGTAAGAGCCGATCTCGACAAAGGTGTTCGAGTGTCTCTAAAGTACATTGCACATAATTCTTATTTATGATCGTTTCCTCTACAATCTTCAGTTTGATAATTTTTCAAGAGAGAAAAGAATTTCATTTCAAGTCAAATTCAGTGTTTTCATCTTATTCTCGAAGATTTCTCTTCCATCGAATACAAATGTCAAAACTTCCAATGAAAAAAGTGGCGAAGAAACGCAAAAAAAAGAGGTCTGGTATTACTTTACTATAATATATATGCAACGAGATGTTTTTTTTTGCTTGAAGGTAATGTACATTCAATGTTGTCCGTCCTTCACTTTTTTTCTCTTTACCAGAAAGCGATCGTTATTTTTTCTTTTCGTTCTTCCGATAGAATAATAACCTCGATTTGCTCGTGTTTGACAAGCAATATTTGAAATAAAAATATCAAATGAGGAAAGAAGACGAACTCGGTACGCTTTTAGTCGATCGATCTAAACAAAGACCTTCCAATGAAAATCAATCGACATCGTGGGTTCAGACTTTAGCCGGAAGTGTCGTTGCACCATCAACTTTGAGTTTAGTCATCTTCTTCCTTCTTCTTTTCATTCCAATAACTGCACTTGTTATTGGAATTTATTATCACGATCCACGTTATTGTCCAATCGAACCTCGTCTTAGTATTTTCTTGATTGTCAATGGAAGTGTTTCTATCGGATGGATTTTACTTATTATTTTCGCTACGATATTGACCATTATGACAGCAAAGTATCCGAATTCATCTGCATTGGCCACTCTTGTGATTGTATTCAGTGGATTTGTCATTCTTTTGCTGATATTTTTGATAATATGGTTGATATTTGGAAGTATATGGACATTTAATGTTTATTATTGGGTGAATTATTATTATGATGCGAGAACGAATTTTTATCCGTATGATTATTGTCAACCGGAATTTTATCGATTTACATTTGTGTATTTGATTTTCTCGTATGTGTTCATGTTTTTTCAATGTGCGTATCATTGTTTTAATAACAAACTCGTGTCGACGGAATGATCACGTTTTCTTTTCTTTTTTTCAAAAGCAAAATGTATATTATTTATTGAGATAATTTGTTTTTCTCGTAATTGTAAATAAAAATATTCATTTCAAAGTGTATTTATCATGGAAAAACAATTTTTCTAATAACAAAATCTTCTTTGTTTTCCGCATTTCTCCGTATTATATCACAATAACTCCAAAGATAATAGTCCATAGAATTATATGAGAAAATACAGAGTACAAGTTTAGGAAACATTGTCGAAGAAAGATATTTGTTTTTCTCCAATCACCGAGTGATCAAAACGTTTGGAAAGTGCGTTAAATTTCAGTGGAAATCACCAGTACTCATATTTGGAAACGTGTTGAAGTCATTGTTACGAGCCATATCGGTCTATTGCACTTAGTTTTCGAGTTTGAATTTAATTATAGATGAAGTTATAATGTAAAAAGAAATAGTCATCAGTTGTGTTTGAGTCGAACGCATTTTCATGGAAATCCATAAAAATCTAATTTGATAATGCATTTCTCTCTGATAATTTTCCAAACAAAAACATTATTCACACAGATCATGACTTGTGAATGTTCTTGTCTTGTCTTCTAAGTGAATCTTCATCATCATATTCTATTCTTTTCATAATGACACTTGATATGTCATTAAAAAACCGGCATATGTCGAAGTCCGACCAAAGGAAAAAGAAAGATTGTGACAATTAACAAATGATCTCGTTTACACTTATCGACATAGCATTGTATGATGAAGTATTTCACAAAATAGAAGAGATCATAGATGTAGAAAAAGAGAAATCTCTCGTTAATTCATCGATTAGTTCAGTGAAATGAAGTCTTTCACTTCAAACATGACTTAACAATGAAAATACCTTTCAAACAAATTCACCATCAACGTCATTTCCATAAATCAAATTCAAATTTCGTAAACAACTCTGACGAGATCTTATTAATATATCAGAAAGGTCTAAATCTTATAATTCCGATGTTTATCTTTGTGATTTATTGTTTCCTACTCTCATCAATATTTTCTTTCATTCGATGAGATGATCCATCATACGTTTATGATTAAGCACATTCATACACGATCGTTTACGTCGTTCTTATGTTTTTGTTTGTGACCGATGAATTCCTATTCTTTCTCTTTGAATCGTTATACTATCGATAACAAGAAAAGAAAGATTTACAAAATGCGAATTCTCTCTCTCTCTGTTTTCATCTCCCTGGAGTTAGATTATATAAGAAGTTGTTTTCATCCGACATTTGCACTGGATTCGTTAGAATATCTTTTTTTTTCTACGGACTAACCTTTAACCCTTTCATTCCCTAGAATTTTTCTCGTTCTGTCCGAACACGAAGAATCTTTCTCTCTCTCGCTTACGTTCAATCAACTATATGTGAATTTCATATGTTTATCGAGGGACATACGATCTGGACGAGAGAAAGAAAAGAAATATCTTTCATGTCCTACGCAGTCCGAAGTGCAAATGAGGTCATCTATGAAAATACAATCGACCATTTTTCTCCATTCATAACCAATTCGATAAGAAAATCTTTGTCGTGATAAGATTTATTTCAAAGGAGAAGAAAAAGCTTTATACATACGATAATATATGATTAATTATATCGATGTTCAAAAAAAAAAAGAAAGAAAAATTATCCGACAAGACAATATCTACGATTCGGTTTGATTTATTTGAAAAGAAAAAGAAACGTAATCTCTTGTCGAATCTCAACTCTTTTTTTTTATTCCTTCTATGATCTTTTTTTTTCAAATCAAAGCATAATAAGAATATCGCGAAGAAAAAACACACTCATTGAATTGGATTTACTTTCCACCAGTTGTACCCATTCCTAACGCTGTCTTGAATGTATCGTAAATCCACCATTGAAAACCTGTTAACGTTCCGATCATGATAACTCGAGTGCCGAGCCCTTTCGTGCAAAGATTAACAACACCGAATCTCTTAGCAATTCGTAGAATGGATTTGCCTTTGTATTCCGGTTTAGCCATTAGTGAAACAAGTGAATCAGCTGGATGGGAAACAATGGCACATACTATTCCAGCGATATAACCGGATGCAAATGTAATGCCAAGTTGTGTGCTCTTCGAATAGCTCGTTTTCGGTTGGGTAAAGATATTTGTGTAAAAATATTGCACAACCTACAATTATTCAAGGTTTGTTTAAAGAAAAAATGAGAAATACTTAACCTTAGTTGGTTTCTATCAATTCTTTAGATTTCATTTCGAGAAAAACTTTAGTGAAATGAAATTTAAGTAATTCATAGAAAGAAGTTTTTAATTTCCTTAATAATCGAATGAAATACAAGCAATGAAACTTACCTAATCGATGCTTCGATATGAAATTTTTACAAATATCTCAGAGAAAGTCATGTGTTTTTTTTCCGAAAAAAAAGACTGACCAAAAGGAATGGTTAGATAAATCATTAAGAAAAGAATTTCAAAGCATATGTGTGCGTGTCACACTACGTTTTCTCAATTGATTCAAGTGAAAATAAGCGGCAGGTGTGTGTGTTGAATAGTCGAAGATCTAAATTAATTATGATTTCATCTTTCGACTTATTAATTAATTCAAAATGGTATGCATTCGACTTATATCAAGATGTAGACGATTTCCTATCCATCCATTTGTTGATCAATGCCAACTGTTTAGGTATGATGAAGATGTTTAACGTCGTCACTAATTAATAATAACAGACAAAGACGAAAAAAATTACAAAATTGGGCAATGAGAATTAATGGGAGAATTTTCTAAGAGTTTTGTTTGTTGCAATTCAAAAATGAAAGTTCGAGGGAGAAATGAATGAATGCAATTACCTTTTCGAACGTGTAAAACTTTGCCACAGTGTATGGAATCTGTCGTGACCAGAGAGGAACGATCGACCCATAAGGAAATCGTGTAGCTTGTCGATTAGTATTCATTTCGATGACAGCAGCTCCAAGACTTGTGGGAAATGTTCCGGGAACACTTGTTTGAACTTTAACTTTGACCATTTCCATTGGACAAAGTGCAATATCGGCAACGAATTCAGCGGACGCTGCTCCAGCACACCAAATCCATCCTTTGTACTTTTGTGAATATTCTTTTCCCGCCATGCTTGCATAAAGATCCTTGAATACTTCATAAAGGCCGTATTTCAGTGCACCTTGGGGAATATAACCTAACAATGTCGGTGCCCAGCCTTTCCATACAGCTCGAGCACTTTCTTCCGTCGCGATGATTCGTAATCCACTTATCAAACGTTTGTATTTTGTAGGATTGACCTTGAAGAAATCAAATAGAACGACGTTTATCGCGAAAAACCTTCAAACCTGCATGTTACACTTGGTGACGTCGAGTGGTGTTATTCCAACGTGTGTTAAACCACAAGCTAAAGCACCACCGATGAAACACTTGCCATAATAAACGTTGTCATGAGGAACAACACCCTCAGTGCGTGGATTCCACTTTTTATTTTCAAGAATCTTGCTGTTCGGCATCGAAAATCAGATGGAACGATAGAAGATATTGAGATTGACGAAGAGATTTATCTAAAAGCAGACGTAAGGGGTAGACTTTTATTGCAAATGATTTCGACACTTTTTATAAGAGAAGATGTCGAGGTTACGGGTACAAAAAGAGAGAGTCAACTGCTACAAGTCTATCGAAGAAGAAGAAGAGGAGGAAGAGAAAAAGAAAAAGAAAAGAGAGAGAGGGAGAAATGGTCGTTCGACTATGGTGGTTGTACGGAGAATGCGTGATTTCACAAGGAGAACCGCATGACTCACGCATGTCATAGCGTACTTTCATCCGACTGTTAGTTGTTCTTTCTGCGCTTTAATTACAAGCGGAGGAGGAAAGAAAGAAAGAGAGAGAGAGAAGAGTTGTCCTTAGATACCATTGGCTCAAGCGCTTCTCTATATCATGACTGAACGAGAAGAAATCGTTCTTTTTCAAGTTTGTTAGGGTGGTGAAGTCAATGGTTATACTTCTGACAACATCAACATATCAGAAAAATGCTGTGACTGTCTTGTCAAGTTAGTTGAGACAACGACAAACGTTAGTCACGGCAAATTCTGTCGAGAAAAACAAAGTGTAAATAGAAAAGTTTCCACGCCCAATCTTGGCACAGATAAAGATCGTTGAATATGAAGATAAAAAACCACATTCGAAAGAAATTTGAAAAGAAAATATGTCCTTAGAAAGCTTATTTATCGGTTCGAATATCAAATACCTTACGATGACATTTTTGTTGTCATCATCGACCGATCACGCCTTTCGTCAGATACGGTTTTTTTCTCTTTCGTTTTGTTTTCAATGAAAAAAACCGATTGTATGAATGTTTTGCTTAGTATGACTTGTAATTAAACTCGAGAAAATGGCGTGATGAAACCGTTTATATCTGTGAGAGCACAGGTCCAGAATTTGACGTATGTCGACACAAGTATTCGAATGATTCTGTTAAAAAGAACGTTAGAATCAGGAGAAATTAGACATTTTTTCCACTTTAACGTTAATTACATGTTGTCATTTTATTTACGGAACAAATTATTGTTTTTTATATTAATATTTCGATATTTTTTCATGTTAAAGAGCGAATCTTAATGTTCAAACGAATCAGTCGAATGAAAAAATGTGATCTTCATGTGGCAACTATTCATTTTAATCAAAAAATGTCTGTAATGATACAATAGGGAAATCTCATCTGATAATCGCTGGTTTTTCTTGTGTGTCATAATCAGCAGCAGAGCAGTTCGCACTGTACGTGTTATCATTTATAAGGATGAATATGCGTATGAGTCATTGATTTTTATATTGGATTGGTTCTCAGGAAGATTCAATGTAATACCGAAATTTGTATTGATTAAGAATGTTAAACGTGTATGAGATAAAAAGAGATTTTTTTCGTGGGAAAACATAAATTGGATTTGAATAAATTTCTCAGTTTATTTCTTTTATGCATCATTGGTACCTACATCGAACATCTGATCGAAAAAGAAATCAATCCAAGTATCTAGATGTTCTTCAAAATGAAGTAAAGAGAATTCTTATGTCACATTTAAAAAGCTGATCAAAAATTGTTTCGATTAAATAAATTTGTATACGATCTTTGACTTTCAGACGCTCAGAATCAACCAAAGATGAATTAATCAATAAAATCAGTTGGGATTGATTCTGAAAAGAGAGTATAGTTCTGGAATTTGTCTAACACAAGAAAAAATTTGCAGCGCCATCTATATTCGATTTTCGAAACGCTCAGTTTCTGAATTGCATTGGATGATCTTTATGTTACCGAAGAAAAGAACTCGAGATTATCTCAAAATTTTCACTTTTGACAAATTTCGAAAAGGATGAACTGGCTTCATGGCAATTCCTTCTGTAAATACATATGATTTTTGTATATGGATTACATTTAATCAAAGCTGCGATGAGAAGATTGAAAAATATTCAATTAAAACTACTTTTAATTACTCAGATTATGTTCAAATCTTAGTGTTCGTTTTTCTGAATTATTTTTGAAGTTATGACAAACAGATTGAATCTTGAGTTATATTTGAACGCACATAAACGCCTGTTTAGAGACAATATTTATCTCGAACTTTGCATAAATTATGAAAAAAAAGGGAAGGAATATAATGTGACGCAGTTTTGTTTTCTATCGGGAATATTTATCAATTTAATCTACTGTTCAAAGTACTGTGTCTTTTCTTCTTGTGTCAAAAAACTACGTGACATTTTGTCGAACAAATCCAACCATTTGTTGTTTCCTCGAGTTTTTACTTCCAGCGCTGTCAGGTTACTTTACATACAACATCCACAATGTTACTTTATCTCAATCGCTTTGGAAAAAGTAAACAGCGATCTACTTTGTCGTTGTTCATTAACTGCTGAAACGGTGAAATAGATACAGAACTCAGATCTATATCATTTATAAAATCAAACAGAAGATACTGTTCTGATGAATTATAGATTGTAGAAATCTCAATCCAGGTAACTAACGATTCGTATTGCTACTCTCATAGTGATAAGTTTTTTGTTGTGAACGTCCTAATCGGGGAATTGGGTGTTTGCAATATTATGTATTGGAAAAAGTTTAATTGATTAGGTAGCGTCGATGCAAAGAAATGTGAAGTGTGTTGTTTTAGGTATTATATTTGACAGTTACAAACAGTAAAAAGATTATAATTATCCTGCAAATTGTCGCTTCCTTCACATTAAAATCTGAAATCAATTTGAGGAAATTGAGCAGTTACAAAAGCTGTCGAAATAATTTCAATAGAATCGTTGTAGAAAACTACGATTACAATGAAAAGTAAAAAGAGAGAAGTTATTTCAATTTTGAAGCAACATGACGAATGTTTTGATCGATTTCGATCACTTCGGGGTGCGTTGACGAATACGAATGATGAAAAATATACGCTGATTGTTCAAAGTAAGTCAATGCTTGTCGATAATCTTTCATACTTTGATAAATTAAACCAATATTTCTCAATGTCGAACCAATTGAAGGATGTAACGAAGGACGAGATTTCTTATAAATTTCCAAAGAATAATTCAAATAAGACAAAGCTTGTTCATAATGACCTAAACTCGAAAGAACATTTCCAATGTTCTTATACGAACTTCCAATATTCACATGATCAGCCGGTAGATTTTTCTGCAGAATAACCAAAGCATTTTCATAGAATTGCAGAGCATCTTCATACATATTCATTCCCATGTAAGTATTTCCCATGTTATTCATACATGTAGCAACATAAATGTGTTCATCTCCACATGTTCTTCGAAAGATTTTCAATGCTTTTTCGTACGATTCTAATGCATTCGGAAAAGCTTTTTTCTTTTCATACGCATTTCCAATACTATTATAACTTTCTCCAATCAGTTGACTATCCGCTTTTAATGTTTGACTTCTGATTTCCAATGCTTTGTAATGCCATTTCAAACTGGCGTCTAAATCTCCCCTTCTATAGGCTAAACTTCCAAGTCCAGCATAGCATTTATCAATATCGACCTTCGTCGACGAGACTTTCTGTAAATATCTTTGATAATATCTTTCCGCATCGTTCCATTTACTCATATCTGTTAAAACATCAGCAAAATCTAATAAATTCGTTTCTCCATTTGTCCCACGTTTGTGCATATGTTCGTAAAGTTCTCTCAGACTTTGATCATTCATTGAGAATAGTTTCATTTTGATAACCAAAGTACCGTGTTGATCGGTGTTGATTTTCACCAATCGAAAGATCGAACCAATCATAAAGAGAACTTCTCGTTCACCGGGATAATAACTTACTCGCGAGACATCACAAAACGGTTGAACATTTTCAATAGTTGGATCAGCATCGATGACGAAGCAAACTCGTTTATATCCATTCAAATAATCAGTTTTGGAAAAAAACGCTCGAGCGTTATTATAATCGAATGACGTCGAGAAAAACGAGTTTATCGAAATAAGTTGACCCAGAGAATTCTGTAACATTTCAATTTCATCGTTTGTCATTAATTGTGCACGATAAACACGAATTGATGTTTGACATTGATATTTGACTAATTGCTTCCAAATATGACGAATTAAAAATCGACAAAGATAAAGTAAATGAATATTTTGTACTCGAAGAGCTTTGTTTAACATTTTGTATAGAAACGAATCTCTTGTGTACCACCATAAAGCATGTTCAGATGAATATTTCTGTTCAAATTGTTGGATCTTTTTAAGTTCTTTCGGATTTTTTCTATATTGTTGTTTGCATATTGTTATTAATTCTTTTTTATCCTCTTCAGTCGATTTCATTTTCGATAGACAATCAATTAAGATTTGAAAATGTAGAAAATCCCCATTTAAATCGGTCGTTGATCGTTGTTGGTCACCTTTATTCGCACGAAGGATAAATAGCGGTAAATATTCATCGGTTTCAGTCGTTTTATCATTACGAATGCGTTCAATTAACTCGTCTAACTGAGTCACAACAGCTTTCACCTAATTTCACAAAGAAAATGTTTCGAAAAGCGATTCGTTCCGTTACAAACTCTAAGCTAATGAGTCACGAAGGTACCAATGCAAATCGTTTGCATTGATTCATTCGTTAGACTAAGAAAATTCTCTTCATACCTTATTAAATTGATTTGCCCACAGTTGATTTTCTTTTTTATTTTTACAATAAACATAAATCGAAGTGAGTTGTTTGAATCCGGTAAGTTTAGGAACGACAATAGAGCCGAAATGTCCACTAACGATGAGAACAATTCGATCGTATTTGTCTATCGATCGAATATATTGAAAGAACTCTCGTTCATTTTCAAATGTAACTAAATGATTGATCAATGTTCGAAGTTGTTCTTGTGCTTGAACATTTTCAGAAGAATTATTCACCGATTGGTCAAGCCAAATTAAAGAATAGGTTTCGTAATTTAGATTTTGTTCCATAGGAGATGAAGATTGACTTAAAATGAATGAAAAGAAGATTTTCGAAATTGTCTTTTATGATGAATTTTTTCAACAAAGAGAAATAAAATGCGAATAGTATTTTTCCATTCTCTTCTATTTACAAAGAAAAGAATCGCAATGAAAACAAATGCGTTTGTCACGATTGTTAATGTATTTTCACTTTACTTCTGAAGTGTTTGACCGAAGACAAAGTTCGTTGCTCTCTGTAAGTGACATGTACTTTTTCCGCTCAAATGTAAGTCATGAAAGAACGAATTACGTTTGGAAATATTCTGAACACATGTATCGCTTTTGTTAATCTTGAGAAATGATTGAATTAAGCAAATTTTAAGTTTGATTAATACTCATTTGTATAATTAACAGTTATACATTGAGATAAAAAGAAAGTAAATGAGAACTTTCCCTACGCAAACCATATGTATTTATACTAATGTTCACTTTCTGTTGTTTTTGATTGCTGAAATGTTCAAAATACATCGCGTTTGTGAACTCGATTTCAATAACCGTACTAAGTTAATCCGTAACTTTTTTTTCCGTTATGTCCGATTCTGCTGATAATAGTCGCATTGCGAGTTTGAATCTGGTTATATTCCGGACGAATCAAATTGTTCTACTTATTCGAATCATCTGCCGAGCATTTGGAAACTTTTCGATATTTTCATCTTTACTCGTCGTACTTTGAGGAGGAATCTATGTTTAATATATTTCTTATCTGCTTCGATCAGCAATTGGTTCCAATTATGTTACTAGATATTAAATTGAAGCATCTTTTTAGCAATCAGTTGTATAAAGAACTGTCTATATGTGCGAACTCGAAAAGTACTAATTTATAATAATTAACATACGAATATCCAAACAAAAGGAAATACCGTTCATTCTATTCAAAGGCAACAACAATCGATGGCAATTTCACCTGTTGTCTAGACAAATCTCTTTTCTAATTCGTTAGTTATAATGATTATTATTGTGAGAACATGAAGATGATTTATTTTTTTCTCAATTCATAAAAAGACAAAGAATTCAGCCAATGACTGATCCTAAATCCGAATCTTCAAAGATATCATTTTGTGCGCCTTCGAAAAAGCCCATTACTTGATTGTAGGTTGGCATTTTCGGAACGTTGAACACATTATTACCGTCTTTTTGAAAATGAAAAATCATCTGTTTCGCTCCCTTTGTACATCTTGAAGGATTATTTTCACAATAGACAGGCGGTTTAGCAACAGCAAGCTTTTTTGTCGAAGTTGAACCGGTAACTATACATTTATGACCTTGCATGTACATATTCGGTTGTCCACAGCCCATAGGAACCCATCTGTAATGAAATCAATGCATTCTGACAGAGAAGATAAAGCGAACTCACCCCCAAGCGCACGTACAACCACCTGGAGGACATGGTGGTAAATCTTTTGGCACATCGTAAGAAGTAAGTCGTTGCCAAGGTGTTTTGTATCTTACGGTAAAGACGACCAAGTTTTCTGGTGTCACTTTATCGATACTATTTTGATAAGAAATAGCAAAGATTGTTCCTGGAGCTGCAGTTTGATTTGGTGTGTGTAAATTCGGATATGAAACACAGCCCCAAGGCGTATATTCGAGTTCTTGTGGACCGCCAAAATAACCGTTGAAATTTTTATCGTGACCGAAAGTTGTAAACGCACGATTAGTAGCAATTTCGACTGTGAACGAGCCTCCTGCTGGTAATTCAAGGTAATCTCCATCTGGTGGTGGTTCTCTGTCACACCCTTGAAAATGTTGAAACCACCAATCCTTCTTTGTCAAATCTACCAAAGGATTGACGGGTAAATTATTGTTCATATTATTTTCATTTCCACGTCCCTATAAGAGATATGATGATCTACGTTAATCAATTTCTCTTTACTATACTTTCATACAGTACATGCCCTTCGACCAAGCTGCCATATGAGCTACAATCGTTGAAAAATATACGATTTAACAAGAATTTTGAGAAAAATAGACGAACTGACCGTTTACGGTATAAACCAAAGCACATAGAAGTGCAGACACGAATAAAATTTTCAAAAACATTATTGTATTGATATCTAATCTGATTTTCCTCTGAATATTTATACAACTATTTTTAATCTTTTACAATGAGAAAATGTCAAGCTGATAGATGCACTTTCTTTCATCTCTTATGGAAATACTTTCGTTTTTTAAAAAATAATATTTATTCTAAACAAATTCCTCCTTTAACTCAGAAAACAGATTTTATAATCGTTCAAAATCCTTCTGTTAATTTGTTCTCATACATATATAATTGTTTCAACGAAGAGTAGTTCAATTCACGTGGTGCTTTGTAATTCAACAAAGACGATTGCGTATTATTCGGTAACTGATTATAATTTTGAAATTTCTCCAAATCAACTCCGCTTCAATCAATCTCTTCTCGAATTTCAACGTAATTTCATGACGATTCGTAATAAAATTCTTTCATAAAATAAAAATTATAACCTAACTACTGCTACTAAATCGATAGCAAGAAGATTTAGTGCCGACAGCTATCAATACACTCGAGAGAATTTTCGCGAAAACCGAAATTTGATCAACAGAACTTTCAATTTTAATCAGGTAAAATTGCAAATCTTGTATCTTCATCCAAATGAATTTTTCTATAAATATAATCAGTTTTTGAGTATATATTCTGCCTTCTTGAGGATCAGGGTGAGAATTAGTATCAATATTCACCCTCGAGAGTCAATCATCGATTAGTAAAACCAATAACACAAACACAGGATCAGATAATTTCGATTTACTTATTCTCGTACGATTATAATCAATCACACTTGAATTAAAATAAACCCGTAAACAAGAGAAATAACTGTTTCTTTTGATAACATACAAAGCACATAACAATAAGGAGAAGAAGAAGGAATAAAACGGTTATAAAAATAAAGAAAAGAATAAACTGTGTAGTCCATCGATAGTTTGTTTATACGAAGAATGACTCACTTATTGTTGTTTGACTGGTAATGTCAATCGTATCGTCATCATCCTCATATTTTTACTTAGTTTAAATACTTGAAATGAGCTATTCTTATGAAGGATCATACAACTTTTGTTTCAGATTTCATTTCCAACGATGTTAATCAGTTTGTCAGTCACTTATATCTGATTATTCAGCTTATACGTAAATCTGAACGTCTGCCTGTGGGGGTATTATGATAAAGTTAAACATCATTGGACAACAAAAGATTCAACTGTTTTTTATCCTCGAAAATCATTCACTTCAAATCATTACTTACAATATTTTATTTTAATGAAAACATCAACCCGCACAAGTTGATCATATCAATGCTCTCCGTCATCATTATCATCCACGTCCTCAAAGTTAGTTTATTGTTCATTTTTTCTGAATAGATTCTACTTCGACTGTGTTTTCTTTGATTTCATTATCTAGATCAAAGAAAACTAGTTTGGTTGGATGAATACATATATCAGTTTGAAATCTAATTTGATCCATATCGATCATTATCTGATGTCTACCAGTTCCAGATGGAATAGTAACCATAAGAGTACACATCGTAATCATTAAAGTTAATTTTTTCAGAATTCGTTCAATTATGACAAATAAAGGCGAAAGAGTTCCTCGTTGATCAATACAATAAACTCCTAATTTTTGTTTAAGATCGTTGAAAGTGACCCATTCATTGATAAATGTTTCATATAGATATTGATTGAATGAATGATCCTTAAAACACAGCATACTTTTATAGAGATAAGTCCATACGGAGAAATAAAATGATTGATAAAGATATTCAACTGGTTCGAAGCTTCGTTGACTGTTTTGAAAGGGTAAATTAAAGAAGATCCTTAAGTAGGTATTATCCAACCATTCTTCTTTTTCTTTAAGGAACATATGAAGATATTGTAAACGAATATTTAAGCATCTATTGGTATCGCGTATAGGACGAATGGCTTGACGGAATTTCCAAAAAGTAGACCATTGTAAATGTTCAGTTTCATAGTTCGATGTTTTCACTGGTATCTCATCGAACGAAGAGTTGTTCGCTTTTTCCTTTGTCAATGTTTTCGAGCAGTCAGATTGTTGATGTGATGAAAGTCTCTTGATTCGATTTTGCAAGGCAGAGATCGTTTTGTGATCGGAATGATTTTCAACTAACTGTAAAGCTTTTTCGTAACATTCCAAAGCGTTTTGATGAAAACATCCACATTCTGCGTAAGCATCTCCAGCATGTTTCAATGATTGAATGACATCATCTGTATCCAATTCCGAGAAATTCATCTTTCGAAGAAATAATTCGTATAGAGTAATAATTCGTGTTGGTTTCCCATATTTCATTTCGTCTATAAGAAAAATAGGATCAGAAAAATCTTTCCATTTTGAATGATTCTCCAAATGTCTTTTGCGTAATTCAATTGCTTTCATCAATGACTCTGGATCACCAAAGCATTCATAAAGAGTCACCACAAAAGGTTCACCATCTTGTCTCCGTGCTCCAAGTTCACCTGTTAATCGTTTCCACCAGACATCCCAATTGGTTGGTTTGTTAGCATATTTTTCTACAAGTTCGAATAATTCTTTTTTCATTTCATCACTTTCATGACAAACCATATCTTTAATTTGATGCCAACGAGAATCGAAGCCGAGATAATCCTGATAGAATTCTAAAGTAATAGGAATCCATGAACGATTTTTCGTCGGACGACCAACGTATTTCACTCGAAAGCGACTCATTACCGAAAAGAGAACTTCTTGTTCATGAGGCATCGAAGAAAAGTTCGAAATATTGAGAAACATTTGCGAATGATATGAGAATGCCGAACCTTGATTACGATAATAATAATCTGGAATAATAATTTGAAAAAAGCATGAAATATTTTCTGGGTGATCACTCTGAATGAAACTCATCGCAATTCGGGGATCAAGAGTAGTGGAACCAAACATACTAAGTAAAACACTCCCTTGTCGAGATCGACAAACATTTCTTAATTGTTCCAATTCTGTAGGAGTGAGATATTGACCTCGATATACAATTCGAATAGATGGCGTTGTTTTGCGACGTTTTAAGTTCAATACATAAGTTCGATAATGTTGATCCAATTGTTTCGATAAATCTTGAATAAGAGGATAAAATTTGTAAATAGTATTCATATGATGCGTTCGTAAAGCGGAATTTAGGATTCGATAGATGAAATTGTCTTGTGTATAATAATCAATAACTTGTTCACGGGTATATTCTCGTCGAAAAACATCAATCTTTTGTAAAGTGACGACATTGTCTTTGTAATACAATTGACATTCATTGAACATTTCATTCCAATCATTTTCAGAACAAGGTAAATACAAAAGAACTTTGATAAATAATTGATACCATCGAATATCATATGCTGATGCTTTTAAAAATGAATTTTGCTTATCAAATGTCCATTGTGTGGTCAATTGTTTAACATCATGGGACATTTGAGTAAGTAGATCGGTTTTCTCATTAAAGATTCTTCGAATATTAGAAAAACATTTCCTGTATTCAACATGATCAGAATGAATAATATAAATATATTCGATATTGTTCATCTTCGCAATTTCATTTTGATGTTTTTCTTCTAATGAATCAGATATAATCAAGAAGATTTTGGTCATTATATTCATTTGATCAATCCAATGTGTCATTGAGTGAATATCATCAAAACAAAAGATATTTTCATTGGTGGATCTTTGAAGACAATCAAGAAATAACTGAGAATCATTTCTGAATCGTAAATGTTCATCGATGAATATTATATAATAATCATTGAAACGCTGAAGTTGTCGTACTTCATTTCGAAAATCATCATGATTTTGTTCCATTCGAATGAATGTCGTTAAAATGAATGCTTTTTATGTTTATTTTTCAAAATTCTTTGTCACATGTTTCTCTCTCTCTCCGTTCGTCATTGTACTAAAAATAGATTGAAATGAGAAAGAATAAATTATTTGAAAGTATTTCAGATAACATTCTTATGTCGTAGAGATGAGATCTGGAAACTATTCATTAACATCTGACTGATAAAACAAACACAAAACTTTAAACTAAATGAGATTGAAACTTGTTTAGTTCGATAAGATGTCAGATAAGAACTATGATCATGCATGAATCTTATTTCATATTTTAAGATGTGAAGATTTCTCTAATTTATCAATTTTTTTTCTTTTAGCCTATTCTTTATGGAGATTGTCTCGTAGGCGACGGATGGAAGGTAAAAAAGACGTGTATGAGAATCAACGAACTTGAGAACATATGGAAATCTAAATTTAATTCTCAGAAAAAAAGCTTTTAGTTCCCATTGAGATATATTCTGGAAATTTGATTTCATTCGAAATAATTCTTATTGATTGTTTGAAGAAAACATACTTGTCATGTCATTTCTTACGGTTAGATTCATTCATTAAAGAATCAAAATTTATAAGTTGTCCGAAAAGTTCGTGCAATTACTCTTCTGTTTCAACTGTCAAGTATATCGTTTTCATCGTTGTATGTAGGGAGTCTTTTAGAATATTTTGTAGTTTCATCAAGCATAGTTATCTGTAACACTTTAACTCATCGTAAATTCAAACCTGAATATTGTCTTTTGTACTTTGGAGTTTCTCAAACAGATCCCTTATTGATAATTGATTGCAAAATTTGTCATCTAAAATATAAATAGATTCAGTTATGAAAATATCTTCCGTCTTCCAAGATAAAAATCAAATAATTAGTTCACGGACACTCTATACAACAATGGAAATCATACAGTTCATGCTTGAAATAAAACAGTAATTGTAAATGCTGTTTTGACAATCTAATATCTTTAAAAATTCAATAAATGTCGTATTTGACACTTAACAAGAGAGATGGTCATTCATTTCAAAGTCACAAGAATAAGATGCATTTTTTCCAAATATAACATGAAGTGCTTTTGACAAGAAAATACGGTTGGATGCATCTGTATTCGATATTAGTAGTAAATGTCAAGAAAGAATCGATCTTCTTTTCTCAGCTTGAGTATGTTCTATCATCTGTGAAAGAAAGAAGAGATTTCTTTAACAAATATAAAAAACCCTTTGTTTATGCATATTTTGACTATCTTTTATATATCTTCTTCTTATTATTATAATGTTCTTAAATCCATAATTTTATTTTATAATTATTCTCAATACGCACAACAGATCATGTTGTTATTAAAAAGCAATGAAAAATTGTATACAAACTCATCTACTTTGCCAATTCTCATAGTTAATCATTGGTTAGTTTTTTGGTTCTTCTTGGTATTTGACATATTTGGTGTTATCTGTGGTATATTTGTCATTTATGAATTATTAAGAAAACGAGATTTACGAGAAGCTCTTCATAATCATGTATTGATTGTTCTACTTTTAATTGTTATCATCTATGACACGACCACTATGCCATTACATTTGCGATACCTTAGTACAGGTGTTCTATATCCATCGTCACCTACACTCTGTCTAATTTGGCAGTTTTTAGACTGGAGTCTTTTTTATACCATTACAATGTTACTCCTCTTCGGATCAATTGAGCGTCATCTTCTTGTTTTTCACCACCGATTATTCAACACAATGAAAACCCGTGTTATTTTACATTATTTACCATTGACAATGATTCTAACATGTATGATGACATTCTATAGTGTAGCTTTATTTGCACCAATTTGTGAAAGTACATTTGATTACACATTAGATTTATGTGGTACATTTCCGTGTTACTCAACAATACCATTTTTTCAAATATGCGAACAAATTTGCTTTGGCCTCGTAGCACCTTTTTGCTTGGTCAGTTCTAATTCTATTCTTCTTTTTCGCGTTCTTTATCAGAAATATCGAATTCATCGATCTGTTGAATGGAAAAAGCAACGCAAAATAACCGTGCAGATGATATTCACGTCAACAATTTATTTGATTTTCACTTTACCATCAGCAATTCTTTATATTATTCGTTCATTTCAATGTTATGATTGCGGTAATGACATCTTACTATCAATCTTTTATTATTCATATTGTCCGGTATTTTTAATTCCATTTGCATGTCTTACTGCATTGCCTCAATTTTGGCACATCATTGAAAGAATAAATTCAAGACAACATAAAATCGTACCACAAACAATTCCTTTATCATAAACTTATTTATCTTTCAAAACTCATTTAGCAAAATAGAATATAAACAAGAAGAATTTGCCTAATGTCAAAGCAAAAGAGCTGAATTATCAAATTTCCGTTGACCTTCTATGCTTATCTGAGTAAAAAATGCGTAATATGATAAAGCAGCAAAAACGATTCACGAAAATCTACATGGTATTTTAATACTTTCTCCATCAATACAAACTTCACAAAATGAAATCAACAATTACTCTTCTCTTTCTGTTCACAAGTCTATTTCTCTTTAATTTGACGTTCAAATTGATTGATGCCACAGATACTTTGATGGAACAATCGTTAGACTCTGCCTTCAAATCCCTTGATGAAAATCCACTCAATGATGAAATTGTACACGTCATGCAAAAAAGATCTGCTCATGGATTTCGACCTTCCCGGCATCGTCATCACCATCATCATCGTCATTACCCTTGGCATAGTCCAAACATTATTCCTGCACAAAATCCTTATGTCAACCCTTTCGTAAACACATGTCCGAATTGTTTGCCGAACTCCTACCCTGGCTCTTGGCTAAATACATATCCAATGGGAATGTCACCTTTCCAACCACGTTATCGACGATCATTATTGACACTCAACAACGAACGAATGAGTAGAAATAGGATTCGCCGTTCTAATTAATGAATATTTTTTCTCAATTTCTATTAAAGTAACTGGTAACTTGAAAATAAAGACTTTCGGTACTTTTTGTTTCGCAATAACTTTTCAATAAGTACTCGTTCCACAAGATTTTCAAGTCTTTTCCTTCACAATAATAAAAATCATATGACGATTTCAATCGTTTGTTGTTATTTTTCTCTTTGAAGACGATACACTCTTTTCTTGTTACTACGCACTCTTAGTTCATGGTGCGCAAATAGAAACTAATTCAATGATGCCGCAGTTTTGCCTTTCAAAATATTTTCTTTCGATTTGAAAATTCTTCAAAGAAATTTTCCGTTGGAAATTTTCACATTTCCACTAAAAATAAAACATACTAGTATGATGTTTCTTTTGAATTCAAATGTCGAGTAGGAATGTTACAATGAGACTTACATCATCACTGTCGTCTATTACCACTGCATGACTCTTCATTGAATTCAAAGTAGAGAAAGTGTGAATGACGTGTATTCTGCTAATTATACTTACTAATATTGAAGTTTCGGATGATCATAGGATTCATTTTAATCAGACTTTACGATTAGAAATCATCAGTACTTTGATGACTATTATTTCGATTAGAGATTTAACTGTGATCATGGAAAAGTCTTGTCCTTTTCTATACTCAAAATAATCATTTGACTTGACAATTAGTGCACAATTATATACGAAAAGATTGTTTCTAAGTTTGTATTTCTTCTTTTTTCATTAGAAAATAGAATAATAAGTGTGAAAAAAGTCCGACGAAATCATCATTTTCTTCTGATTTGTTCTACAAAGCAATGCTATACTCATCTGTATTCATCCTGTCTATGATCCTTATCATAACAGCATCTTCTACTTCATTTATTCGACAAACTCGTGTCAGTATTACTCAACAACATGCTTACATTGTAAATCATATAGCACATAAAATTGGCTTTGCTATTTATGCAAGAAATGTCCATTCATGCATTTACATTTGCCAAAATAATGATTTTTGTCGTACAGCTGTTTTTGATTCTCAATTATTGCTCTGTGATCTCTTTGAAGAATGTAGTGCCCAAGGACAAATTGTATCTGATCCGAACAAAATTCTCATCTCCTTTCTGCTCTGCAATGGCGAACCAGACAATGTGATTTTTAGCTCATCTTCAATTCAATCGATTCCAATGCAAACTGTCATGGCGAACCTAACATTGATCACACATTTTCCAGCAGCATCAAACACTTGGTGCCCGTTCTTTATAAACAATTTAATCTATGTACCTCTTGAAAATGTTGTCAATGTTTATGAAACAGATACCTATACACTTGTTCAAACGATATCAATTCCAGTTTCATCGTCCTTAAGTTACCTACGTGCTGATAGTCAAGGTACACTTGTTTATATGCAAGTGAATGATTCGACCATTTACATACATTCTTTGAATACGAATCAAATCAATAGTATTAATGTTTCGTTTACAAATACATATTTATGTTATTCGAATAGTTTTATTGTTATTCTTTCGACTTGGTCGAGTGAGGCTGACGTATACCTTCGCACATTCACAAATAATTCAGCTGTATTTCTCTATCGTATCAGTGGTTGGGGTCAAATATATCATTGTGTCATCAACAATGATCAAGAATTAATTGTTACAGTGAGTAACGTTGGTTTTCAAATGACGATGCTTAGTACAACAAATTATAATTCAACAATCACAACAATAGCATTGAATACCACCTATTTACCAACCGGTGCCATGTTGAATTTAGATGCAGGAGGTCGACTCTATGCAGCTTCAAATGGATCTTGGCAAATGTCAACAGCATTTTCTATAGACGGCAGATTAATCGGTACTCATACAGGCACATTAGATTGTGTTGGAATGAGTAGCAAATATAAGTTTATGCTTATGACAACTGATGGAAGTCGAGTATCACTCTTCGAATATAAACCTCAATATTAATATTTAAAAAGAGATTCTTTCCCCACTCAATTAGCAAGAAGCATTAATAACGTTGCAGCTGTACCGAAAAAAATAAAAATTATATCGACAATGCACAGACCAGCTGCACTATCTAAATGTGGATTTTGTTCCATTTCATTTCCTCGCGCATCAATCAGAAATACAACCTGTGTAGCTAATCCTTGCTCCATTCCGATAAAAATACACATGAATAGAAGAAATTTGTCCATTGAGAATTACATCAGTGATTTACCGATATCAACACATGATAAAACTAAGGCAATTCCAACGATGGCAAAAATATCTATTGAGTGTTTTCAGTCTTGAATCATCTATTGATTTGTTAATGAGAATTTTTCAATGAATACATCTTGATATGTCAGACTATATTTTTTTAATTTAAATCTAATATGTTCTCAATTTGAAATTACAGGTACTTTTGTCGAAAGCTGACTGAATCGCTTAATCTGATAAATATCACTGAAATTGTTTTTGTTTTTTCTATCAAGTAAAAGTCCGTACTGGTGATATCGAATTTATTTAGGCCAATAATAGCACGAGGGCCATCCTATTAATCGTTGCACCTGTTATTGATGAAAGCTTATGAGAAAATTAATGTCTAATCGGGGATAACAATGAATATATAAAGAGGAGATTTTTATTATGTCGATAAAAAAACTTGTCTAACAGTGTGTGCGTCGAACACAATTATGAAATACGCTTTCGCAGCCATCCAAACCATTCTATTCCTGTTTTCTATCGGAAATTATGCCGTTGCTGACGTTCCTAATTTCGTCTCGAGTAACGGTATAACTTTCCAAAAGGCAGAGAGAGTGAACAATGAAATGTATGATGTGTTCGTAACAACAGGAGAAGCACGTGGTGTACATAAAATTCGTATACTTTTACCACTTGACTATATGACTAGCGGCCCAAATCGTCGATATCCAGTCCTTTATTTATTACATGGAGGTATGGGAGGTGCCGATGATTGGACCGCGAAAGGTGGCACAGCTCGATGGACAGTTGGTAAATCACCATTAATCACTGTTATGCCTAATGGTGATAAATTTGGATGGTATACAAATTGGGTTAATCCTGGCGCTGCCGCACCGCAGAATTGGCGTACGTTTCATAATGAACAATTGGTACCGTGGATCGATGCCAATCTACGAACAGTTGCTAAAAAGGAAGGTCGAGCTATCGCAGGACTCTCTATGGGCGGATTTGGGGCTATTCGTTACGCTGAAGTTTATCCTCATCTTTACAACTATGCTGCCAGTTTTTCAGGTGCACTTGATCTACTGGATTGGCGCACTCAATCAGTTATTCTCGGTTCTGAAACTATTGACAACAAACAGTTAGACGGTCCATTCGGTGGTCCTTATCTTCCATGGACATCAAGTGGATGGCGCGAACAAAATCCCATAACAAATGCAGCACCATTACGCAGTGTTCATGTGGCGATTTATACAGGTAATGACGGTGTTATGGAGATGGCAATGCGCGATGCCGCTGTTCGAATGCATGACATGTTAAATCATTTAAAGATTCCTCACCATTACAATGATTATGGTAATGGTAAGTCAATCGGTCATAATTGCCCAGGACGACATGAATTTGCATGTTGGAATGCAGCACTTATCGACGTCACACCACGGATGATGGCTGTTTTAGAGCAGAAATATTAAGCAGAAAAAGACGTCAAAATTAAATCAAACCTTTTTTTCCAGTTTTTACTAAAGGAACGTCGATGAATCATCATAAAACAGAATTATTAATTATTCAATAAATCATTTGCTGAATAATTCAGTAACATTCAATTCTTCTCTTTTGCAAACGAGATATCAAAAGTGAATTTTACTAGACAACACGCATCGCACTGACGAGGGAACACGTTTAAGTGTTCAAACAATTTAGATCCCATCTTTTCGTAGTAAATAGATCTCAATGATGTAGGAAAAAACTCAAAAGAATCCGTGTTCTTGTTCATGAGTTATGATCGTTTTATTCGATTTTCGACTTGTTGCAAGGTGTTTTGGTAAAATGCCAATGACGTATTGTGTTGTCAATGCTAGATTGTTCTACAAATATCAGCTTAACGAACGAATATCTTCTTCAGATAACCGAATTTTAAAACATCCTCTATTTATCAATCATTCGAAGAAAAAAAAACTGATCTGCCTTGGAAATTCGCTATCACGTGAAGAAGACATTCGTTCGTTAAGCTGATATTTATAGAAGAATCTCGTGTAGATGATGCCTATCGATAGACAAAATTTCAGGTCGAAAATACGTCATTGGCGTTTTACCAAAACACCTTGCAACAAGTCGAAAATCGAATAAAACGATCATAACTCATGAACAAGAACACGGATCCTTTTGAGTTTTTTCCTACATCATTGAGATCTATTTACTACGAAAAGATGGGATCTAAATTGTTTGAACACTTAAATATGCTCCCTCGTGAGTCTTATTTTCTCTTGCCTAGTATTGGCATCCAGAAAAAAGGTAGCTCAAAATAAAATCAATTCTTTTATTTGACACCTTTGCGGTTGTACTTGACTTATGAAACGCGTCTGACTTGTCCATGTCTGTACTTGATAAGTAATTACGACGTGTTCATCACCACACAGACTCTTCTTTCAAAAAGCTTCCAGCACGGTCCCTAACGAGGTGGACAATTTGAACACATAGACTATTCGATTTATTTATAAGTACGCGATTAAAAAATAACATACCATTGTCAATAACAATGTCCACTGCTATTTAACAAATCTTTGCTTCATCAGTCACATTATGTGACCCAATTCATGCGTGCCGGTGTAACGAACTTGCGAATGGAAATGCCTGTGAGATAATTATAGACAGTTTGTTTGGCTTTTTCACGTAACAAACTCTCTCTTCATTTATAAAATGCACAATTCTTCAAACGACAGAAAACAATTAATATTGGTTACGGGCTAAAGGGTAGGCGACAACGATAAATCCAGTTACAGTCGATTATGGTCTATGAGACCAATGAATAGCGGATGGAAATTTTTCTCTCTTTCCTAAAATTTTGTAACATGTTTCTTCAAAGCATGTTTCATAAGAAAAACATCCGTTGTAGAAGATAGTCCTTACTGTAAATAGAGTATTAAACCTTTGTATCTTAACTGATAACGGTCTGCATTCCATTACCTTTAGTTTGTATTTTGTATAATGATAGCATATCTTTAGTAGCAGAGATATGAAATATCTGATTTGTTTATAGCAATAATACGAGCAGCAATATTTTTCACAACTTTGCCATCTTTTTCTCTTTTCTTTTGATAAAGATAAGCAAGACAATGCTTAATTACCCATCAATTCTAATCTTGACCGAATATGTGCATAACATATCATGGTATGTGGCGCCTCCACAGAACAGAATTTCTTATTTGTTATTGGTTCAATGAATTCTTGAATCATGGGTATTTTATGGAAATGAGTATAAATCAATCATTTCACGATCAAATATGACGTCCAATGCGTTCATTGACTGTTTGGGTGGAATCTTCGGTAAAAAGCAGATGATATTTCAATAAAATAATACGGAAAAAATTCTTGAATAAAGGTGCAGTGTCTTCGGTTTATGTTGGACAACCGTTGGATACAATCAAAACTAAATTACAAACGTTTCCGACTCAATATCACAATTTTTTAGACTGTTCATATAAAATCTTTTCACAAAGTGGTATCCGTGGATTCTATGCTGGAACTGTTCCATCTCTAGTTGGAAATATTGCAGGTTTTATTAATTCTTTTTGTCTATCTTGATGTTTATGTAAATTCTAGAAAATGGAATTTTATTTATGGCCTATGGTCAATGTCAACGTTTAATTTGTTCATTAACCAATAAAACAAACGCTGAACAATTGACAGCTGTGGAGAACATGTTCGCAGGAAGTGTCGGTTCGATATTTTCATCTTTAGTCTTATGTCCAACAGAATTAGTCAAATGTCGTTTACAAACATTGAACGATATGCCAGCGAGTAACACATCAGATTATGCTGGACCTCAAAAACATAAAATAATGTTATTATGATATTTCTCAAGTTAAAATTGGAATATTTATCTTCTTTTTCTTTATAAATAGTTCACCGATAGATGTAACTCGATATATACTTCGTAAAGAAGGCGTATTTGGTTTGTTTCGTGGACTCACAGCAACATTAGCACGTGAATGTCCTGGAAATGCGTGCTTCTTCGGTGGTTACGAGTTGACACGATCATTTTTAACGAACGAAAATGAGAAAAAAGTCGATATTGGTAGAAAGAAATTTGTACCAAGAAGTTTATTCCGAAGTGTTTTACTTTCAATGAATAGGTTTTTTCAAAACATGGATAGCTGGTGGAATGGCTGGTGTTTGTTTCTGGGTAGTTATGTTTCCTGTTGATGTTGTCAAATCTCGTATACAAGTATTTAAACCGACTCTAAGCTTTTCAAAATATACATTAGAAATTTTAAAAAATGAAGGTAAAAATCTTTCAACGTTGACACATTTGACGATGTTATATTTTCAATCACAGGTTTCATGACGTTCTACGCAGGTTTACTCCCAACACTTATACGAACTTTTCTCGCTACGGGAACTTTATTTATAACTTATGAACACACTCGATATTTATTTTGCGATGCTCTTCTGATTTAGAGAAAAACAAACAAACAATGAATGAAAATCCTTTATTTAGGATAATGTTTTTGACCATTTTCATCTGTCCAAAGATTACCAACATATACTTGAGGCATAATCTTACGATCCCTTGTTATAATAAATGAACGATTTGCTTCAATTGTATAATTAGGAATCAACCATTTCGGTCTTGGGAAATAATTGTCAGAAATTCAAATGACGTTGAGCGCTGTTGTTTGTGAACAGATCGATACATAACTTTGTGCAATTTGTAGTTTGTAACATCTTTCCAATGATCTTCCATGGAAATATTGAATTGTTGTTTAATTGCCAAACGAATCTTTTCCAATGACAACACTTCAACATGAAAACATACATAAATCCATTGATTTTCAGACAATGAATATCCATTGGCAACATGCGTTACATTACTACCAAACCAATTATTGAAATTGTTAACAATAGAAAATCCTGCCGAACTTCTTGGATTAATCTGAAGAAACAACAATGAAGAACTTGATGAAATTCTTCCTTTTTGACTTACTTCATACACAACCTCTAATTCCTGACTTGTATTGGCTTTCGATTTACTATAATAGAAAATAATTCTTGTCTCGTATAAATATAACTTTGTCTTAACAGTCGCGACTCACCCTTCTTCCTTCAAATGTACAAGAAAAAAGCGATTATCAAAGTTTAATGATTGACATTTGGGAGAAACATGTGTACCAGGCATGAGAACAATCTCTTCTTCTTCTGAGAACGTGGAATATTTTGAAATATCTTTCCCATTGATAACATCAATAGCAAACACAGTACCTGTTTGTCCCAGATACATTTCAACCACTCCGAGATTTTTCGAACAAGAATTAACACTCCACCAAATACGTTTTTGACCGTCAGAAAAAACTGAAGCAACATCACCGGCAACACCTCGCCATATAGTTGCATTTGTTGACGGAAGTTTTTCGAGAGCATGGAGAAATAATTTTAAATAAGCGAACCAGGGTTTAAGTGCTTGTCGATCTTTTTCTCGAAGAGCTTTGTTAAGACAGCCAAAGAAAGTCACTGGCATTGAATAAAGATAAATCGATGCTGTTTCATCTTCAGTTAATGAAGTCGAACGTCCCTTGGATTCACGTTTCGCTGTTGCCACATAATCTTTCACATCGGGAACTGACTGTTCGATGCTTTCTACCGCTTTTTCTAATGTCATAAGAGATAAATTTTCATATCCAAATATCGGATTACGATTGGCATCGTCAATTTCTTCGTAACTTTCATTGATAAAATGTCTACTCTGCATCATGTAACAAGAAATGATTTTCGTCGAGAGATCCACATATGACTACAAATGATTGGCAAGTTCTTCTTTCCTATGATATCAGTATACGTATCTGTGTGTTATTCGATAGAGGTAGACAGATTTAATTACATACAGAAAGATTAAAGATGATTTGATGAATTTTAACGACTTTTACAATATTCGTATGAAAATTAAACAACAATTAACTGATGTTCTATGAGGATTTACAATTCAACATGTTATTATCGAAATGACGAATATTATCCAGGCAACACTTTCAAAGCTCGATTGAGATATTCGAGTGCTATATTATATTCGTTCATATTCCAAAACATTAGCCATAATGACGATGTCACATGTAGATGTTCTTGAAAGATTCTCGTTTCGAATTTCAGTTGATATTTCCGCGATAGAGAAGACTTTCTAAGTAATGATTATTATTCAGAATTCCAAACAAGATATGATTGAATATATATCCAATAATGGATTCCTTTCATCAGGGTACGTTTTATCTCGACAATCCTGCATAATCTTTTTTTTGTATAGAATTTCTATTGATTATCTATATGAGACATTTTCAAACGCTGAACAAAATATTTCCATTTTTCGTGCTCATTGTCGATACTATATTCGAGATAGATAAGATAATTGAGGACCTTTTAGCCAAAACCAACAGATATATCTGTTGTGATAAACTTCATAACGAGTTAATAAAGAATGTGAAGTTTCCCGATCGATCAACAAGAATAAAATCTGTTCAAATATTATCCAAAACTGAATCATATGATTATTGCTGCAATGCATCATCTATATAGGAAGGACAAAAATACTCAATATTTCTCAGCTCCTTCCTATCGTTTCGATAATAAGCAGAACAGTAATTGAGCATCTCACGTTTTACTTGATCGTCAACAGGAATTTTCTGAGGATATTAATTAAAAGCTGATTCTTTTGTTAACAGTCAAACAATGATTTGGATCTAACAAAATAATATCTTTTGAATGAAACTATGGGAAGTTTTATTTTGTGATAAATTCAAGCTCTTAGAGACTTTTCGAGTAATCAAGTCGGCATATATATAGACATAAAGAAGAAGTTAATGAAATTAGTGGTATACAAAAAACACACGTGAACTAACGATTAACAGTCATTTCGCCGATGTATTCATACTGAATATGCCATTTTCATTCTTCAGGATCATTGTCATAAGCAATACTAACTTTTCAAATACGTATCTTAAACAAGTTGGAAAACTTCAACAGAACAAAACGCAAAAAATCTAAGAAAACGAGCAAAAACAAAGCACTAAACGATTATTTGAATAGTATAGCGCAGCACGCTTTCTCACCAGCAAATGCAAACGTGACATATTTTCAAATTCATACAATAAAAGCGATAAGAAATCGAATGAGAACATTCGAGTATATAGCCAAATATTATCGTAGAAGAGTAAAACTTGCATTCAAGTAGATGACACACTGGTATAACTAAACTATCAGCACGTTGAAAAGACGCACGCTCGTTCATGAGAAACTTTAGATGAACTAATCACCAGAAGACTGTAAATGTCTTTTCAAACGATAACGAAGTATTATAGTGAAGATCGAATCCTATCAAGAAATAATAAAATATCGATGAAGAATAACCTTTTCTTTTCTTTCATACGTAAAACCGAAAACGCATCAATGGAACATTACGATTAATCTAAGTTGGTTGACACCTCCAAGATTGATTCTCTTCTCAGCAGTCACAGTAGATTTTCCATTCGATATCACGTGTCTGATGTTGATAACAGGTCAAAATTTATTTAGTTACGAAATATGCAACAAACGGATTTACGGCTGACGACGATGGGTCAACCAGATCAGTAATCCTGTGTTTATTTTAGAGGAAAAATAAGGGTTATTATTGTGTCAGTTGATTACTGATTATACGTTGATGATTGTACATCCTTAAATCTAATTATTATGCATGTAAAGTCTATATGGTGAACTTTTTGAAAGTGTGTCTATTTATATTTAACAAAGGAGCAAAAATAAGTGACTGTTCTTAGTTCCTTTCACTTGAGTACGAGAAGAAGGTTATCGAGCATTATCTTATGCTGAATTGTTTATTAATTTATGTCTAGAACTTTCCTCTCTCAACTAATTAGAAAAAAGAACGTTGCGCGTCTTCATTCTTCTATTTCTTTCTCTCCGTAGATCATTCGTTTTGTCAGTAGAGTCATTATGTCAAATATCACCAGTTCAAACAGTACTGATGATTGGGATATTAGTCCGGAAATTTCCTTACCACGTTCAATACGATTTTGGCTTATACTACTCTTCGATGTTCCTTCACTTCTCTGTAGTTTTTGTTTGCTTTTCCATATCCTAAATGACCGTACTCAACGTCATGCATTGTACACTCACACTATTCTTGTCTTATTAATCGCCAATTTACCCATTCAACTATTGGACGCTGGTCTGTATCTCTCTGTTCTTCATAATGGTGTTGTACAGCCCTCGGAGCCCATCGTATGCCTTTTTTGGATGTTTGCAGATAATGGATTTTACGCTTTAGGAATTAATCTGTTGACTTGGTTAGCTATCGAACGACATATTTTGATCTTTCATGATCGATGGGTAGCTAATCGACGAGGACGCTTCCTTTTCCATTACTTTCCTTTATTTTTTATCATAACATATATTTTTCTCTTCTACATTATTGGTATTTTCATTCTACCCTGTGACAATGTTTACAATTATTCCGCTTTATATTGTGGTGTTTATCCATGTCTTGAATGGAATGATTTTCTTAATACGTGGGAAACGGTTGTTCATTATTGTGTTCCAGTTATCTTAGAAAGTATTGTTAGTACTGGTCTTCTTGTGCGTGTTCAATGGCAAAAACGGCGTCTCCGTCAGTCAATTCAATGGCGAAAACAACGGCGTATGATCATTCAGCTATTGTTGATTTCAGGAATTAACATTCCTTTGAATTTACCTTTGTATATCATCTACATTGCTCAGTATTGTGGTTTGCACTGGGACATCAGTCTTCAACCAAAACTTTGGTTCTATTTCCTGAGTTATTCAGTTATTCTGTTCTTTCCTTTCGCATCATTATGTCAATTTCCTGCTCTACGCAAACAAATGAGAAAAAAGTTCTGTTGCATAATAGACAGATCACCATGTCATCCGCCCATTAATCCTCAACAATAACGATTATGTCAATGAATAAATTAATGAAATCTGGCTTCATACATAATTATCTTTCTTTCTGAATGATAATAAGTAACTGCTGACACTATGGAATCTAATTATATATTCCCGTGTTATACGACACGGGATTATTCTCATTTCGAACCGATTTATTCAAAGAATGAAATTGTTACAATTACTCTTATGTATGTTGTATATGTTTCCTTTGTACATTTCTTCGTATATATTCTAAAATACAAACTCAGAAACAAATCATGTTCTTTTTACCCTTCGGTCACATTGGTTCATGATGATCGAATACACAAAGATAACTTATTGAATTACGTTTTCTCAAGCATGTTGAATGATATATTCGTATGTCAATCCTTAAAAAAGTCGAATGGTGATATTCTGAAAGTGAAGGTGTGTTCATCCCATGAAATATCGTCAAAAATCAGCTAACGAAGAGTGTCGTTCATTAATCATGTAACCGCGATCATCCTTTCACATATACATAGAACAGTTCAAAAATGATCTAACCAAATCATTCATTCTAAGGTTTCATGAATGAATTTTGTTCGTACTTTTGGGATCGAATCACTTATAATCTAATTGGTCATCTTTTTCAGTGAACTCGATACACACCTATGTATCCTGAACAGCAGAGAAATGCACTGCTTTGTAGATTGCAAGATATTCTCTCTATGATTTTTATATGTACAGCAATATTTCTGAAGTATTTGCGTTAAAAATATTCAAAATTAAGGCATGTGTACTTACTCTCTTTGGTCAGATCTTTTTCAAGTCAATGATATTAATTTATTTATATTTTTTCTTTAGATGTACGTCTTTTGAAAATTTTCTAATGCACAATCAAAGCTAATCGCTCTTTAATGTATTCGCCTCATGCAATGTCCCCTGTTACTATGCTGGTTTATATTTCCAGTCAATAGTTATTTTTGAAACTCTAGGAAGAGACACATATTTCTCGTCGCTTATCATAGAATCCGGATGTTGTTGATTCTATTGTGAGAAGAACTATAGGTCATACTCAGTTGAAACACAAATATATTTTATTATTGTTTCCTATCGCTTCTTTGTCACGTCCGAATTCATGATTTCTCCTAAAAGTAAATTTAAAAATAAGTTGATTGATGCGCGTTCTACAAATGAAAACATGACATCCAGTTTTAACGCGGTTGAATTTTTCTTTAGATTGACGACGCCATTGGTCGACATTTCACCCGCAGATCAAAGTGAGGGTAAGAGCATCAAAGAATATCGGTGCTGCAGTGTCGTTAATCTGAAGAAGTATCGGTATGTTAGATGTTCACAAATGTTTTTGAAAATCTATTTTAACGGTTTCCAGTCTATAGAACAATCAACTGACACTCTCAGAAGATTTGTTGTCAAACATTCTTTCTATTGAATGAACGTTGTCGTTTGATCGGATGTAGACATCGATTAATATCTAATGTATTCTTTCTATTTCAAACATCATTAAAGATGTCCGTAGCCACTTTTGAGTTACCCATATATATATAGGATCGACCAAAAGTAATCTAACAATAGAAAAATAAAAATCTTTTTTAGATTACCTTTCGCCCATCCTGTGCTGTCTATTCACATGCTACTCATTTTTATATTTTAGAGAAGAAGTTGATAATATGATTGCCTTGTGGGTATTTCTGTTAATACAATCGGTAGATTTGTTTCAAATTGGTGTCTTAAATAATCGTATATATATGACAAATAATATTTCAGCAGTATTATTAAATAAAAGTCGTACTGAGTGTATTTGTTATGCATTCGGAGGGAACTTATCATCAATTATGTTAATCAACGTTTTTATAAATGAAAGTCGTTGTGAATTGTTCGATGCTTATCCCATATCATCAGCGATGCTAATATCGAATAACTATTCAACTGTTATTTTTCGTCCAACCAATGCATCATTTCAGTCAGGTACGATATATTTTGATAAATAATCATTTACTCGAGGATATCACTATATGTACCAAAGAAGTTGGATTATTTTTTTGCAAATTCTAAATTCTAGTTGTTACAAGTACAAGCACAAGTGTATTATCGACAATAACCAGTATTCTAGGTTTGCTCTCTCTATTTCTGTTGCGTTTTTTATTTATCAATTTCTTTCATGTTAAGCTTTAGGATCAACATGCTCTACTACAGTTTCTGGAGGAAGTATTTTAGCCAACTTTTCTGGTCAAAGTCGGTCAAGCAATTACGAAAATTATACATTTTCTTTTCAAGCACCGTCATCTACTACTAAGATTCTTTTCTCCTTCTCAGCTCATCATAATAAAGGTTGGTATCTTGATGATGTGTCTGTTCGTAATGCGAACGGTGACGAGCTGATATTAAATGGAAATTTCTCCACAAGTAATTTGACAAACTGGACTGAGGTATTTTCTTATCATAGAACCATATACCAACAAATAATATACGGAGTTTATTTGTTGATAGTTATGTTCAATGAATTGTTCTGGACCCGCAACGCGTAACACATCTGGAGTGACGAATAGTTGTGGTTCAGGTTCGTCAACACCGTGTTACTATGGTGAATGTGATCCACCAACATACATTTTTCTACTTCAATCTGTCTCGACACTCAGTGGACATGTCTACACGCTTCGATTTCTATTAGCTGTGAAAAGTTCAGAAGCAAATAGCGTGTTCATCACTTCAATTGCTTAAATTCGACAGAGATACGATAATAAATGTAAAATTGTAGATGCCGGTAAATCTTGTTTATATTTAAAGTGTCTTTTGTGAGAAACGCTTATTGAGAAATACGCGTAGAGTGATCAAAAAATATTGTTTGTATATGTCTTTTCAAAGTCATGTGCGTCGTTATGAAAATAACATCACAATATGTACAGAATGTAACTCTTACCTTTTCTACATGAAATAATATTAATGTGTTTCATGTCAGTATAAATGAAACTTCGTAGAGAAAGAATGATCATTATTTTGACTTCTCTCGGGATGTCATTCGAAAAAGTACATTGTAAAATAAACAGCGAATAACACAATCGTGCGATAGAAGAGAGAAACCTTACATAATTTTGTTATTCGAAGGACGTTGATTTTCGTGTACAAAGTTGGATACATTCAATTGACGATGCAAGGTAAAGAGTCACATGGCGATGAAAATATAGACGATCAATGTACAGGTGATCCCACAGCGCCATTCAATGAAATTGAAGCATTTAATAATATCTGGGAAGCTTTGCGATGGAAACAAATACGAACACGAGTGCCCATATGCTTCAAAAAGACGATACGCAATCGTTATATGCTTGCTAATTTAATTTATTTTGGTTATGCTATCGGAATTCTTGTAATTGACTTCAATCCGGTTGTTAATGGAACAGCCGGCACTGATAATTCTTGTCCGGCAACCGGTGTCAGTCTTGACGATCCTATAACACCAAATGATGTGACAAATAAGATGTATCTCGGTAGAGTTTGACAAAGTATTTCTGTTTGGAAGCATTGTTTGTTTTTCCCATCAAGGTTTGGGCGTTGTTCATCTTGCATCAGCCTTTTTATATTGGTGGGCATGGGATAATCGATCATGGCGAGATATCATTATGATACCAGAATATTTGAATCATATAGAAGCAGCATTATATATATGGTCAGCTGCTTGGTATCCAAGAGAAGATACATATGGAGGTTATTACACTTTGGCAATTCATAAAATTGAAATGACAGCAGCAACTGTCGAGTTAGTTGCTTCATTCGGATGGTAAGTATCTGTTTAAGACTCGTTCGAAAATTTACTTATAACAATCCAAAACGAATTCAATCTGTTTGGTAGGATAATGTCTTGGTATATGACTTATACACGAACACTTGGCCGTGGTTTTACACTAGATGATCCTGATGTGATTGGATTCTTAGCAACAACGATCTCGTCATTCATTTATATGACATACAATATTCAAATCAACGTTGATCCAACGCAATATGGTAACAATTATTTGTATACCTATGGAGATATTGTTTATTTTGTTGGTGCGTGTTACTATATATTCGCTTGTTTACGTGATGATCATTGGTTTTGGTTTCTTCCATCAAGTGGACAGTACGGTATTGCAGCAGGCAAAACTCGCGTTCAACCAAAAGTTTTGCCACAATTTGGAAAGCCGCCAGTATTAATGTGCGGTTCGTGTAGAAAGCGACCGAAAGTCGCTGTCATAGATGTCAAAGAAGAACAAGCATAAACTGTGTCATTTGAGTTTCTGATCATAGTGTTAGATGACTTTAAAAAGTTCTTGATAATTGGTGATACTGTTTGTGATATGGGAGATTACGGAAGTAAATCTGGCGCTCTTTTGAAACTGTACACAGGATATGAATATGAAAGCAAATGTTTGTAGGATTCTAAAAGAACTTGATATTTTGGCGAAGAAATGTTCACGCTTATATTATTAGCACAAACGCAGTGATTCGAGGTACCGATAGTGAAAAATTATACTAAAAGTGTATTTATTGACGAAATGAAATCATCCAGGAAAATTGTTAATTATCTGTACAGAGAATTGATGTATTACGTATTTGATAAAGTTGGACATCCATCGTATGAACGTATATAAAAGTGCAAAAAGAAAGCAATTATTATATCCTACCATTCAGAAGAAATTGAAAGTATGGGAAATCAGATGTTAAGAGAAACAAAAATTCAGCGCTAAATACAAACTGAAATAATTATCACATTTGTGGTTGAGTTTCCAATGTAAGTTTTAGATAGGAGAAAAAGGCTTAGCGATAGAGTTGCTTAATTAATGTCGCACTTCATCAGGTATGCCTGAGAATTGGAAGGGATTCGATTTCGTCCTTCGAAAAATATTGTTCTCTATATAATAGTTCACTGTCTGTTATCAGTACATGCATGAAAACTTTAATCGATCTATCCTTTTAACCTTTATAGATTGCATACTAAACAATATCTTTCCCTAAAGATGTCTCTTGTTTGAGTCTATAGTAGAAAAATGTACTTTTAAAAGATATGTTCCAGTTCACTTATTACAAATGCATGGATAACGGCCTGTTTCACAAGTAATATTTCTTATCTGTGGTCAATGAATACACGCAGAGTCATAAGCATTTATGTTCAAGATCTTTGATTCCTTTGTGAAATCAGCCAAAAAGATGTTTATACTGAAATAAATAATACTCTCAATATTTTCATAGTCTCTGTCAAAACAGTACCGGAATCTGTTGATATGAGAGTGAGTGCGCTTAGCACGAATAGCATGATTTATATGTCTACTAGCACTTCAGTCAAGCCTACATTGACCTTCAACGCATATCGAATGCTTGCCGACGGTCTTATGTCTGGTACCTGGGTACTATTTATTCTAGTATACTATCAAGAACGATCAATATACTTTCCAACGATGACGGTGGTACATTTATACAAGGTATGCAAATAGAATGTTATCCATACACAGTGGACTACTTGCTTCGACACTCGAGTGTTATTACAATGCATCATGTCTTCAATTGTTTGTTCCAAATAGTTTCATATTTCAACCATCGAAAACGACTTTACCCAGCAGATTTACCCCACAAGGTACTATTGCTAATGTAGCCAATCAGTCGTTGACAGAAATACTCTCTTATAACTTCTCTCATGCAGAGTATTACATGCAATGTGCTCCTAGAGTATGCGTGTGTTCTTATGAATATCGTAGCTCAGCACTGACTATTGTCACAACGATCATTGGTGTCCTCAGTGGTCTGAACAGAGCACTTCACCTTTTTATTCCAATTTTTGTCAAACAGTTAATGAAATTCTGGAACAAATTTCACTCGAAACCTTGTATCGTATTGACCGCAACAACATCCGTAATTCCCTCATGTGAGCTGCTGAAAGCAACTCATTGAAAACCTATAAACACCATATCACATTCACGGTATGCCTTAGAATCATCTGGTGCTTTTACACCTCACTCGCAAAGGAAACTTATTGGAAAAAAACCTTATTAATTGATCTGTTCAGCTCAAATTCAAATGATGCATTGTTGGTTGATCGAGAGCGAAAAATGACTCGTCTGTATACTCTTCTACTAGTAGTCACAACTGTGTTTCTTGCCTTCTACATCAATCTATTCTCTACCGAGAAAACTAATGCTGTCAACAATCCATCACAAGATAAATATCAGGATCTCTGCTACAAATATTCTGATATACTCAATTGTCCTTGTTCCTCCAGTGCCAGAATTACGTGTAGCGATATCATGAAGGTAAAGGTGACGTATCATCAGATCTGTTCAAATGAATTCATTTCGCGCTCTTTCTTTATTCGGTCGAGTACTTTCGACAAAGACAATATATGTCAATATGATTTTATGACCACGAGTGGATAATATTTTCTACACATTTCTCTCATCTGTCAGTTAGTCCAAGCATACGTTCGTGATTCTGACAATTTCTACCAAGCCGATGTATTCCCCGTCAACACACTGACTCCTGAAGATAGATTCAACAATAGAGCAAATCGCGAAACGATCACTAAATATGTATTTTTCAGTACATACATGAGCCATGCGCTGCAGGATGTGCTTCAACTTTCTTCAACGTCGTATGCAGTTCCTAGATTGTATACTTATTTCGATATGAAGATCGCTTCTGATGGAAGTATTCGTACAGGACCACTCGATTCTTCAATTGTTCACGTATTACAAATCTCGACACATGCTCAACTGATGTTGCTTGGTTAACCTGAAATTGATCGAAATGTTAAAATGTCGAAAGCAAAAATATCGAAAATCAAACCATCGAAAACAAAAATGAGAGTGCAGATAGATGTGTAAGATTGCGGGTGAGGGTGAAGATCAATGCCTTTCTCAAACGAAATCATTCTCAACTTGTTCATCTTTCGATGTTTGTATAATTGGCGCATTCGATATTTTTTATTTTCGATCTTTTTAAATTCGATATTTTTACTTTCGACATTATTCAGTAGAATCCAAGTTATATCTGAGAATGAACTCAACTCACAAACCACGTTGGCTGTCGGTCATATTAAAGAGTGGAATCAAAATCATTTTCACTCTGTCTTGAATGTTCTACGCGGAGGTCTACAAGCAAATCGATTGATCAATATTTTCTTTTCGAACTGGTATTATATGGCACGGCAACAAACAGATCCATCAAATTACCGTTTCTTAACTGCTCATGCGGTACGTCTTCGGCTTGCGGTGAGCCGGTGTACGCCAATGACAGTATTGTACCTGGTTTTGTTCTCGGCTGTAATCCAGTAGAATCACTCTTTCGATCAACATGGTCTTACTTGTACGATCGAAGTGTAGTTATTCTGTGTCAGAACGAAAATCCGTTATAGAAGTGATTACCATTGTGTTGAGTCTGTATGGAGGATTGACATTAATATTCCGTATGGCTGTGCCTTGATTTTTAATATGCTTAAAAAACACGCTATTCTTTATATTTCAAAGACGTAATGACCATGATCATGCCGTTCTCTTAACAAACATTTCGAGACATTAAAGAATAGCCTACATTTAAGAATGGTGAAAAATAGTGAAATCGATGTCTAAAAAACTCTCTGTGTAAATTCATTCAATGTATTAAAGTTTTTGTCGTTCCAACGAGTGTGACCGAATTCGGTATTAGAAAATTTCCGTATACAACTTCGCGTTTTGATGTGTTTCTTCCGAGAAAAGATATTTTAACATATAAAGCCATTCGAAGTGAAATCGACTCTAACAATTTTACGCAGCTGTTTTCGCTTGACTGAAATAAAGCTTTTTGTTGTTAATCAGACGTGTGAATCCTTTATACGACACTTTAAAAGTCTATTTCATGCAGGAATTTCTTCCTCATAGATTTATTTTCATTTCTTGTATAAATGTTGAGTATATTATGATCTAGTTCGGAATCCACCATCTTTGGTTATCATCTCCTCTAATTTGATGAACTAGTATTGAAAGTTGGTGAAGATATTTTAAGAATATTGAAGCAGAATTTTCAATTAATTTAACTGGCTTCACTAACCCGTTTTCTTTTCACATTTTTGGCGCACACTGAAAAGCTAAATGACAAAATCTACTGAAAACATCGTGACTTTATCTTCAATGAAAGCGCTGCTGACTTTTCCTCTGATTATCCTCGCTCGACTAGACAGAAAATTTGTTTTGTTGAGTTCCATCCATTAACTACGTATACCGACGGGCTCATTATCATTTTTTGCTGTTTCATCCAAAAGAAATTGCAAAGTTAGTTCTAAAATAGCTTTTTCAGAATTACAATATGAATAACATTACAATAATCATTACTACGGTTGTTCCTGCAGTCGATCAAACTCAATTGGTCGTGTTGTTGAATCTTTTGATTAAAAATTTTTCACAATATCTGGATTGTTTTGCATGGATCGTTGGTAACATCGGAGCAATTTGTACCTGTATCGTTTTTCATCAATCGATATTTCGCAAGAGTCCTTGTGCGATGTATTTCATTGCTTCAAGTTTTTCCCAGCTATTTATCTTCAATTTTGCCGCTTTTACACGAATGATTCAATATGGTTATGGTGTTCAAGTTAATTCTGCTCCTGCATGGTTCTGTAAGCTCCGTTTCTATATATATTATGTTTCAATGGCTAGTGCTCGTTATAACATCATTTTTGCATCCACTGATCGTTACTTATGCAGTTCTCAGACTATTGCTCGTCGTCGATGGAGCTCACCAAAGATCGCTCTTTGTCTTATCATAGGGGCTCTTATTATTTCTCTCGTTGTCTACATTACCGTTCTCGTTCTCTTTGATGTCAAAAATGACAAATGCAGAATTCATTCAGCAGCTATTTTTACTGCTTTTAGTTATTTTATCACATTCGAAAATGGATTTTTCCCAATAATTCCGATGTCAATCTTCGGATTGCTTACTATTCATAATATTCATCAAAGCAAACGACGTACAGCAACAACGCAACCAATCAACAAAAGTCAACATGGTCACACCGAACGAGCAACAAAAAAGGAAACACAATTGCATAGGATGTTGGCCAATCAAGTAATTGCTTATTTTATTTTCAACATTCCACTTCCGGTGTACAGTACCTATCGATCATATAATAATTTCAATTTGTTAACAGGATGGCGTGCTTTGATGGACACGCTTATTAACAACCTTTGCTTTGACATGATTTATCTCGGCTATGCTCTAACATTTACGAATTTTCTTTTATCATCGGATATATTTCGACGAGAAATGAAAAAAATCATTCAAAGACGAGTACTTCGACCATGCCGACGACAACTCGTACCCGAGAATTGATCAAATTCTAGCTGAAAAAGACAGAAAACTTGTCGTTTAACATCTTGCTGTAAATTGCTCATCTACCTTTGTATTTCACCTAATAAAAGAGAGTAAACAATACTTGTCTACATAATAAGTAGTTGCACAGAAACAAAAAAGGAAACCAACGAAATGATAATTGATACTCTTATATCTACTTGAAATCTTCTACTCGTTTACATTAGTATCTTTTCTTTTTTTACTTTTCAAGGACACTTAAGTTCACTCATATCTTTTACAAACTATATTTTAAATAGATCTGCTTTTGTTTGCTCTCATCATGTCCGATGCAAATTTGAATTTTGTTTTATTTTGGATCAGCCATGTCATTTCAGTTATTCAAATCATTTTTGGGACATTTGGAAACTTTTTTAACATCATTATCTTCACTCGTCGTACCTTACGAAGCAATCCATGTTCAACGTATTTTCTAGCTGCTTCTGTTAGTAATTTATTTGAAATCTACACTGTCATACTTTTCAATTATTTTGGAATCAATTGGAATTGGTTTCCATCGAATACAAACGATGCTTGGTGTAGAATAAGTCACTTTTTGATCTATTCTTTCGTTCCTCTCGTCTTATGGTTCATTGTACTTGTTAGCTTTGATCGATTTCTAACGAGTTCACTGAATGCAAACACTCGAAAGATAAGCACTCTATCGCTTGCTCGGAAAATGACAGTGAGCACTATGATATTGTCTTTTGTGATGTTTGGGCATTTGGCGTTTCTTGTCAAATCGATTAAAGTCGATAATGACAGTTATTGCACTGTTCGATCATCCACCTATACTATATTCTACAATGTTATGTTCGTTATCGTTGGGAACGTTTTACCGGTTGTATTAATGGCCTTTTTTGCGATATTAACAGTGCTTAATATGGGCAAAGTTCGGAGCCGTGTTACTCCCAAAGTTAACAACATGCCGAATCAACGACTGCGTTCTCGAGATCATCAATTTATGAGAATGTTGTTATTTCAAGTGTTAACTACTATTCTGATTTCAATTCCATTTTGCTGTGTTAGCATGTACAACACATTCGCTCGTATTCTGCTTGAGCAGCAACTTTCACCATCAGAAACAGAAATCATCAATTTTACAGCGAATTTCTTAGGCATACTTTACTATACCAACTCTGTCACTGGATTTTATGTCTATACTCTGACTGGTCATAAATTTCGTGTTGAATTCAAAGTTTGCATCAAGCATGGACTAAGTGTCATTTCGACCGTAATTTGTCTACCATTGAAAACTCAACAATTTATAAGTAAACATCAACGAGGAAATCATGTTCGTCCTGTTCAACAGCGACCAGCAGTCATCACAACTACTGTTTAGAAAGAAAGTGCCTACTGTGTGTCACAAAATATTGACCTATGTTTCTATGAATTCTCATCATACGTATTTTATATAAAGAATTTTATTCCGTTACGGTTATAAGAATCAAATCAATAAAAGTGTCCTTATGATCTTATGATTCGTTCCATTCGTTGTTTATGTCTTGTTTTAGCCTTGATATGTGTGGGATTGAACATTTTTTCAAATTTCATGAATGCCGCATACATGACTAAAATTTGTATAGGACCTGTGACAGCAAATATTGCTGTCGTCATTATTACTATGGGATATTTACATGCTTTCTCCTACGACAAATACAATATATGTAAACAGGAACATTTACACGCAGATAGAAGCTTACGAAATCTTTTGAATATATAACTGATGCTGTTGTTTCAGTCGTTATTGTCGAGCCTGTTGAACCAGTTGTCACAGAAGCTTTTAAAAAACATATGATGTAGCCGTAAAAGATTAAATAAAATTCGATTATTTACTAGTCGTAGTCGAAGTTGTGCTAGTTGACGTTGTTGTCGTACTAGTAGCAGCAGTTGTAAGTACAATACCAGTTGTTGTTAACTAAATAATGATTATGTAGAACAGTTCACAACGAAGAATATGGGAGATTAATCGAACATACTAGAGTATTAATACTGGTAGTGGATGTTGGCCTTGTAGTAATTGTAACTGTCGTAAAAGGAGTTGTCGTAGTTGTTGTTGTGGATGACACTGCTGGGTCCCAAATATTGAATACCCAATATGTTGGATCTTTGATTGGTGCTGATTCGGGTCCTATGATATAATTTCATATTTCTCCTATTTTTGTTAAACAACAACACAAAAACTGACCACAAAATTCTGTTCCACTTACAACACCTAGAGATATAGAGAAAGGACTACTTCAGAGTTCAATGGATAATCTACAATGAAACATACCACCCTCCATTGTGACATAATAAAAGTGTGCTGGTTGCCATGGTGGTGTATTATTGAAACGAATAACGGTTGTATAGCCTGTAAATGTTACTTCGGGTGCCCAACCACAATCAAATTGCGCAACGATTGTACCATTGTTCGTTGCATCACGAAAGTAAATGTTTGTACCATTACGATTAGGACGACCAACGAATTTTGTTGCTAAAAATCGAAATTTCCTATCCAATGATCAAAATACTGTCAAATAAGTTTTACTTTGAAATGAAAAAAATGTCTGATTTTGAAAAATAGTACCAACCGGAGAAACAGAACCTTGCACAACTTTTGGTCGAATGACATCTGGTGAATCAAAACCAACTAAAAACGTCACACACCATTGATTGGATTGGAGATTATTGTTGTCAATGGCGCCTGCACAAAATGGTTCAGGACCATATTGAGTGGATAGTGGAATCCAACTGAGAATTAGATTATAAACACCTGTGAAAGGAAAAGAATGTATTATAGTTAGTCGGATGATTCAATCTTAACTGACCAGGACTTGGATTGAGAATTGCACTCTTTTCCATCCCAACTGGACTGCTCGTTATGAAATTGACAATTGTTTGTCCGGGACAATATGTTTCAACGATGACATATTCAGTAACATTAGAACCAATCGGTGTTCCAATACAAGCTACAAAAGAAATGCAGATAAGGAAAAAATATGCAGTAATATGTAAATTTACCGCGATTGGGTCGATTACCAACGATTTGTGGTGGCATTGAACAACCAACAGGCGTAGCATAACCATAAAAAAGAAATTGAAGTGGAACTGAACTCATTGGTGTGTTGGCTGCCAGTGTAGTAGCATTGTAAAAATCTTCTATTTGCAATGCTACTCCTGCATACAATCCAGCAGTTACTAAAGTAAACACGATTGTACAATTCGCTTGAATTAGTTGCGCACCAGGAACACCTTCACATATTCCACCACATTCATCATACTGATTTGTATTGTAAGAAGAATTCGCGTTGGCCCATCGACATCGTAAGATATCATTACTATCAAAATCAGACATTTGAATAACATGTACATGTTGTATATTGACTTCTTTATAGATAACTGGGAGTGTCACAGCAACAGGACTGGTATTTATATAACCATCTGGTCTAAGATTAGTGTTAATACGATTTGAAACCTGCCATGCTGTATTACCGCCTTTCACAAGATCAGCTAACCAATTACCGCTGTAATAATAAATGGTAAATGAAATATTCAATGGTAATGTGTACACTCGAGTTCGTTCACCCGAACTGACATCAAGAATAGTACTGTAATCTGTACAAAATGTTGTTGTGTTCAAAGGACTCCAATAAGAACAATAAATGCTAGGCGCACATTGTACTATATCATTCTCACCGATGGTACCGGCAGTTGAAATGGTCGTATCATCACAGTAACAAACGATTCCATAGGAAGGATAATTATAACTTCGACGCCATGAAAATCTTTCACGTACTAGAAGATTAACTGAACTACCAGATGGAGTTGCATTCAAAGGTCTCCTAGAAACGAGAGAAAATTTTCGAAAAGAACATTGTTTTCATACGACTCACCATGTTAGTGTTCCACCACGGAAATGTGACCCATATACAAGACAAATTTGGAAGATAACAAAAGAAGATAAATGTTTCGTATTCATTGTACGTTTTTTACTAATGCAAAGAAAGATTTGTTAAAAGCTTTTATACACAATTTTTCTCTTTTTATTGATTTTTGTACCGATAAATGCATTTAGAACCGAACATGTTCGAAATGAATGGCTTCGTTAAGCATACACATCTCTCCTAGGTTTCATTCCAAAGTAGAAAGAGAAAGAATTGTCAAAAGCAATTCGTCTATCAACAAGCATAGTGCGCATTTATTAAGTATATTTGTCGAAAGTGTTAAATCACCTTGTTGTCGTTTTGTTTACTCATAATTTTAACAGAAGACTAGAATTGATGTCCATTCAAAAAATTAACTAATTATCAAATCGATCAAAATGTTTCTATCCATATATAGAATGAAAGCAAAGAATCCGTTCTAATGACTTTAGAAATACAAATGCAATTATAAAGAATATTTCAGAAAGTGCGTACAATTCTCAATGGTAAATTGAGGATGAGAGTGAAGAAATTTGATTTATTACCATGTATACCCTCACTCTCAAAAATATAATCATTAGTTTTGACTTAAAAAGTGCATATTGATTGATGATAGATATGGACCTAAGCTATTTCAAATATTTACTTTCGTCATCTAAAAACTATTTGGAAAAAAAGATGAAGTTTTTCTTTTGCTCGATTGAATGACGTGCTCGAAAGAAGAACAGCTGTGCATACGATGATATCTTATATATAGCGCGGTATATTAATCGTTTTCACGAATCCAAATCAAAGCGAATATGGCAATGATAAATGTTTCTATTCTCTTCGTTGTTTTCAAGTAAATATACGATATCAAATTTTGCGATTTTTCGTTAAAACAAAGCTTTCTTTTCGTTTTAGTGTTTTAGGTTTGTTATTTATCTTCCGAATTGAACATTTTCCTAATGAAATATCTGTTCAGTAGTTCCAGTCTATTCACAGACATGTCAAGGAACAACAGCTTATGCTTCATGTTCTTCGAACAGTGCTTGTGGTTGCTTTCCGATGGTTACTGCTGATGATTTTGGTGTATGTGGTTTTCTTTGGTTAACTTGTGCTCGATTAGAACCCTGCAAAGGTACGAATGACTACTGTGACCAACCTGATCATGTCTGTGTTCGTCATACACGCTGTCGAAATCAACCAGTTTGTTATCCATTACAAATGATTGATCAACGAGTCTGCCCTCCACCAAATAGTAAGACCATCCTATCCCAACAATGAATACAATATTCATAGAATTTTTATTCAGACATTCCAGTGGATACCACAACGCCTATGGACATTACCCATCAGACAACTACCATTGAAACAACGACACCTTTCACTGAAACAACCACCGTTGAAACAACAACACCTTTTACTGAAACAACTATGACTACAACATTTCAGACTACAAGTACGCAAAGGACAATGACTTCTATTGAAACTTATTTAATATCTATTGTATTTTCAACAATTAGCTACGTCTTCCGCATCCGAAAAACCTGCGGATAATATTTGTGCTACTGCGACATGGTCTAAACAAGGTATTACTGTTGCCGGTAACGGAACGCAGGGAGCTGCATATAATCGATTATACTATCCCGACGGAATATTCATCGGTAAAAATCAAACAGTCTATGTCGCCGATACCGATAACAATCGAGTCATGAAATGGGTAAAAAATGCTTCGGTAGGTGAATTAGTCGCTGGTCATGGTGGCTCTGGATCCAATAGTTCACAATTGAAAAAACCAAAAGATATCGTTGTTGATGGAGATGAAACGGTCTATGTCGCTGATTATGGTAACAGTAGAATACAGAAATGGTTTCGAAATTCCTTTCGAGCGGCTACTGTGTTAAGTGTTGCATATCCAATTGGTATAGCACTAGATGATGAAGAAACTATGTATGTCTCTATGACCTCCGGTAGTTATTTGTTTCAACAACGTAAAGGAGCATCGAAATGGGAGTCAATTGGTAACAATGCGACTCAAATTCAATTTATAACGATTGATAAAAATGGAGCGGTTATTGGTGTTAATTTACAGTATAAACAAGTGTTGATAAAACATAAAAATCAAACGAAGTTTTATTATATTGCTGATGGATCAGAGGAATATTTTCTAACTCCATCGTTTGACCCATATTCTGCCATTGTTGACCAATCAGGTTATGTTTATGTTCTTGAAAGATCTAACAATCGTGTAACACGATGGGGTCCTAGTGCCAAAACAGGCACTATAATCATTGGTGGTCGTGGCTCTGGTTCTGCTGCTGATCAAGTCAATTCACCTTCAGATATATCATTTGATGATGAAGGAAATATTTATATTGCTGATACAAATAATCATCGTGTGCAAAAATTTTCTATTGATAAAAGTTCATGCAACTAATCGATGTAATTATCAATATTTGATCTTCGTATTAATTTATTTTGTGTTTTTTAGGACAATTTCAATCCAATATTAAGAACTTATCCAAATTTCGATGTAACTAAATGATCATCTTAATTAATAAAGTTACACAAATGATGTGATATTTAGTCTCTAAAATATCTCTCCGGAAGTAGTTGATGCTCATGACATATGTTTAATCACTTGGCTTAGAATGAGAAGATTTTCTACCTAAAAGTGCACATTATGTTAAATAATTTTTCACGAAGAGGACCATTCAAATGAGTTCCTCATTATCAAAAGGAACTTTTTGCTTAGCACGAATACTGTACACAATCATAATAGTTTCGAGCATCATCGCGAACTCATTAATTAGGCAAGTTCATCATGTAAAAGTACTACGAAATAACATAATAAAAAGCTCTATCAGGAGTAGCTGATCATTCCAATTCTGATGCACCTCTCATATCAAAATCAAATTTAATTGACAGAATTTACATATTTCTGTATTCTTTCATAGCACGAGGTTAAGAGTAGAAATAAAGTACCGATGAAATATTCATATTTCTTTTATTCTCTTTAACAACAGCAAACAACTCGCTCACGGCAAATCTGAGACAACAACACTGATGAATAAAGCACGATCGACATGTGTGCAAATTTGAACAAATAACGTAGCGTATGTAAAAGTACGAGAGAAACAAAAAAAACTAGATTAACATGAAAATATTGCTTGAGATATTCTATACACAGTCATGGATCTCTTTTCTGGAAAACCAATTGAAAAAGCTGCTAATAGAATATGCCAAACATGAGAATCATCCGTTACGTATTTTACCGATAGAATAAGTAAGTACGTCGAAACGGGTTGCAGGTACAATGACATACAAATCAGAACATCTTAGTCAAAATTTCATGCGTGGTACTGTTGCACATATTCTCAATCATCGGTTCGTTCAGTTTTTAATTGGATCGATAGGATGTTATTTCACAACAAAATGTTTCATATTACTAAAACCATATAATGAATATCTTATGTTCATATGTATAAATCAAACGTTGTGAGAACATGATCAATTTAATCATTTAAAATATATCACTCGTCATACTTTATTTATTCTTCTCGTTGCTATAACGATTCTGATTGGCTTGATCATTGGATCAAATGTTATTGAAAATACTATTCGCTGACAACTTATGATATTCGACATGTATTCAATTATCAAAATCGTATACTGTGCGATATATTTTCATACTCTACTCTATGATTTATTACTATGGTTGATCGTATTTTTTCTTTTGTTCTGATTATCAATTTAAGAGATTCTCAGCATACTAGTGAAGACAAACTCATGTTTCTTATAGGTATGTTATGCACTATCGATATTTTGGTAAATATAATTGTGTTAATATTTTCCTGCCTTTTATCAACCTATACAATCTGCGCGTTATTTACAATATGGATTACGTCAGCTTTGAGTATATTATTTGCTCTAATACTGCTTTGCCGGAAATGGAAATGTAAAAAAAAAGACAACAGCTAATATGTGCGCTCGTCGTTGAGTATAAGTTATGGATAAAACAGATTGGTTGGAAAAAATATAATTCTGATTCAGAATAATTAAAATTCATATATTTAGTTCACCGAAATTTGTTGTACTATTAGCTATTTTTCTTTTGCGAATGCGCATAAGTGTTTTTATAATAAAGAATGGAAATAAAAAAACATATTGTGAAAATGAAACTTACTTCGGTTATATAGAAATCATTGAAACAAATGTCAGCATCAACTATAATCGAGCGATTCTTTGAAGGTCTTCCTTTTCTAAATCATTGCATTCATTCAGTAACTATCTTCTAGGATATGCAACCTTCATCTAATGCATTCTACTAGAATATATCAAAAATAAGTTTTACTTCTACTTAACCTATATTATTGGGTGTGATCTAACGCCATCTATACATACACGCAAAACAACAACTCGTTCATCGTCTCTAACAGCACAAATGGAGGATCGTTTCGAGAACTATGTGATCGTCTTATCTGTCTCTATGATAAGGGAAAATTTTAACATAAAAACCAATCGCTAAACATATGGTACTCAATACATTTTACGTACCATTAAGATGAGTCACTCTCTGTGTTTCTTTTTCAAAATCACAAACGTGTTCTGACGTCATTCGTGTTTTTCTCCGATCATATTTTTTGTAGGAGATAGCACCAATTATCAGGAACGGTATTTGAAGTGACAGAAACATCGTCAGAACAGTCGATTGAAGCGTCAAATCAGTTAGAGATCTATGAAAACTGACGATGATCGAAAAGAATGGAAAAAGCCTCGTGTAGGCCAAACGTAAGTCGATTTCTTTTCTATATGGATCTTTTAAAAAGTTTTTCATTGATAGAATAAGAATGTACTGCGCTGCAAAATGGTTCCATATATCTTTTCGAAAATCTTCAGTATTCATAGGTATTATGATAACAATCGTTATTGTAATAATGAATTTAACCAATTCCAAGCAAAGTATGTGTTTCAAATTTACAGATTGTATATCGTTATAGAAAAATGGAATTCTTGTACGTTTTAGAAACACAAGATTTTCCGCAGATTATTTATTATATGCGTCATTTTCAAGCCAAACACAATGTTGATGGGAAATATCTTCAAGTACTTGATCCAGATTTGACAGAATTTGGATTTCAACAAGGTTTTCACATGACATTTAATGACGAACTAGACTTAATCATCTGTTCTCCGCTCTCACGCACAATTCAGACCTATTTATCGTTATTTCACGACGTCCAAAAGCGTCAACGAATACCATTCATGTTAGATGCTGATCTACAGGTAATTCATTCAGATCTTTCGTTATGATTTAATTTCGATCTGTTGTAGGAGATTGGTGAAATTCCAGCTGATACGGCTCGTTCAAAAGAACAATTGAAACAAAAGTTTCCTGAATTGTCATCAATCATCGATCGTGATTTAGTAGAAGGTTTCAACGATAAAAATAATTCATTGTATAAAAATTCATTGGAGAATGTGAAACAACGCATCAGCAGATTTCATCAACGCTTGTGGGAACAACGGAAAGAAAAACATATTTTGATCATAACACATGCTGGTTGGCTGACTAGAGCATTGAATCAGAGAGAGCCATCAAATGGAGAAATTATTAAAAAGATTTATACCAATTCCGTTGTGTAATGTGAAAGTTTTAAGGGCATTGTGGAAAAGTATTCTCATCCAAATGATACGATGTGTCACAATTCAGATAGAGAATTCATAGATTTGATCAAATTCTAATCAAATTGTTACTTTGACGAGGCTGTGGTTTAGAAAACATATACTTATATATCATGCCAAAACAATGTGAAAATACGTGTGCAATGCGACTTTAACATATAGCTAGTCATTCTGTGAAGCATGTACAAAGGCTTAGTGCAAGTTTGATTTGATTTTTAAAGTTTTATAGACATTAGACAGTCCTTCATTTGCTCTGTGTAACGCGATGTAAATCATTTTGGATAGTCAGTCAACGACAAAGAAATACAAGTAACATTGGGAAATAAAAAGAGGAAAATGACGCATCAAGCGCAGTTTTTACCATGAAAATACTATGCTTCGAAAGCATTTATAGAAGTAGTTTTGTAGAGTTGAATTTTATCGAGAAGACAGTGTCTGATTTTTCAATTGTTCATGAGAATATAGTGAGTAAAGATTCAAAAAACTAATTTATTTCTTAAAACGTGAAATTTCGTAAAAAAGAGCAGTAATGATCATTGTCATACTTCATAAATCTTTGAAAGCAAATCCAAAGAAGCTAACAATTTGGGTACATTGATTTTTGATGATGCTTTTTCATTCGCAAACATGAAAAAGGAGGTCAAACATTTCGAGAGTATGATCATGTTCTTAGACGGTGAAGCCGTTAGCCCTGAGTAAGCTTAAATCGAGCTGAATAAAAAATTGGATTGATTCCTTTTAATGCGAATATTTTGTGTTACTGTCAAGTTTGTTTTGTGCTCTTTGTATAAGTAGAAAAATAATGTGTATATATTCTTTTGATTACTTATTAGTTCAAAAGTTTTCATCATTCATCCATATTGAATTACTCGCGAATGTATTCAATTGATGTATGTTTATCTATTTTAAGTATTCTATTGAAAAATTTACTTTAATAAATCATCACTTCATACAATTATATATTCATGTATCGATCAAATCATTGAACAACGTTGAAAACTAAATCTATTGACTATTTATCATAAAGATGAAATATGCGTTAACATTAATAAAAAAATTCATGCAAAGTTATCTTACGAATCGTTCAATATGTTCAGAACAACGTGTTCGTTATTGAAAGTAAATATTATTATATTCATTTATTTCGATATTGATAATAAATTAGAAGAGAAAAAAGCTTATCAAAACAAGCCTTTCGAGAATTCAAAATGTGAAAAACACGATGAATTGAGTATTTTTGTCATGAGGATGTGTGTATATAGATTAAGGTTAAATATTCATGTTCACACCCACACTCTAATCGATCAATGTACAAATAATGTTTCAAATTAATAACGAGCACTATTGTCCGCTTTACTATAGGGAGAACCATAAGCATATTTGAGAAAACATCTGTTTCCTAGAGTTTCCATAGTAAATGCTTTGCAATTTACAACTGATAGACACCAGGTGCAACAGCTTGCGAAAGTCATCGATGGTTGAGACATTAGATCGTAACCAGGTAAATCATAACCAGGTAAAATAGTCATATTGGAGCAATTCAATGTATTGCCTACAAAACAAAAATATTTTCTGATATAGGAACTCGATATAATTGGCACATTGATCAAATTGTTCTTTGTACTTACTATCTAAATCAAATTTTTGTATTCGATTATTTCTTCGATCATTTACAAAAATATTTCCATACGGATCAAAATTTAGACTCCATGGTTGATTTAATTGATTTGATGCTGAACCTGTTGATACATTACATCCAATTAAACAATGGAAACCATTTTGATTTTCACCAATAATTCGACTATTATCAGAATCAACAATAAATAAATATGCATCAAAATCTAACACAATTGCAGTTGGACAATTTAAATTTATTGTTAGATTTATTGAATTATTTCCAACTTTGGTGATTGCAGTTAATTTTCCAGATGAGAATTTTTGTACTCGATTATTTCCACAATCAGCAACATATAAATCTGAATTTGCTTCATCAATAAATATTCCATATGGTCTTCGAAGTGTTGTTGGTGTTGAATCAGGTCGACCTGTTCCACCAACAACTGATAATGGATTCCAATCATTGACTAATGATTTTGCAATAATTTGATGTCGTTCACTCAATGAACAATAAATCATTTCATTTTGATCATTATAAAATAAATCAAAACATTGAGAACATATATTCATTCTTGATATTGGATAAATTGTTAAATTTGATGTAATTTGACTTATTCCACCATAAATTGAATAAAATGTATCAAGATAAATTGCATTAATATTGTTTACAAATATTGTCGATGAATTTGTTACATTAATTGAAACATTTTTTATTAAATTTCCTTGAAAAAACAGAAGAATTTGTCCAGTAGATCGGTTTGGTATATAAATTGTATTATTTTGATTAATAAAAAAATCTAAAGGATCTGATCCAATTAAAGTTTTATTGAGAATTGTTGTTCCATTTTCATTCCAAAATGCACCAAAAGGTAATCTTGGTCGATTATAAGAAATTCCTTAACGAAAATCTTCATAAAATGTTCTTATAATTAAAAGAAAACAAAATAATTACCTGATATTCCAATAATAATGAATAGTAAAAATATTAATAAATTCAACATTTTGTTTCTATGAATAAATGATCCTTTGAATTGAAATAAAAAGAAAAGATGTTTATTTAGAATTGCTACGAGTTTTTTTTGTTTTCTTAGATTAAATATTTAATTTTTATGATTTTCTTCAAAAAATTCTTATGATTTTTAGAAAAGAAAAGTAAAACTATGATTTTCGATAAATAGTTGAATAAAAATAGAAGAAACTCCAATTAAATAGTTTATGTCATGACTTACAAAAGCATCTGTTGTCACTAATGATGTGAGGAAATCCAAATTTCTTCCCTTAATCAGTTCAACAATACCTTTCAGATCGTGTTTCATAAAACGGGAAGTATATTATACTTTACTATCTGGTAAGGTATGAACGAATTAATTGTGTATCTACATAATAACAATTTCAATTTTTGAGAGATCTAATATATCGAATGTTTGAAAGAGAAATTTACGGTTGTTTCCAGTAACATTGCATACAAAAATTCATTAAAAAACCAGCAGATCTTGGAATTAGTGACGGAAGGAAAGAGTGACTAAATGATCTTCCATTTTTAACCCTCGGATACTTTTTGTGGGTTCGACTGGATCCACAGCTCTGTATTTCAGCTGTTTTCATGCCAAAGTTTTGGCCGTTCCGGTTGGTCTTTTTTCTAATTGCTAGCCCACTAAGCACAGAAAGACTCCACTGAAAAAATTCTTCTAACCTTTCGACAGGAAAAAGTTACGGACTGGGTCCGGCTGGACCCCAATACAGCTTTGATGGTATGTTGATGATTTGCACTAGTGTTGAAACTACCCTCTATTTTTCCATAAGTCTACTCTGAACCAGTTCTTTCTTTCGTTGCTTCCAATGGGAATTTTCGTTCATACCGAGTCCATCGCACAGAGGAATCGACAAAACTTCATTTACAGCGCTTGCCGACGGGGACGCCACTTCGAGTTTCAACATTTGATACTGTACGTGTGAGAAAACTCAAGAAGGTCTTTTTCTTGAGAGATTGACATTACCTCATCTTTCAGGTGCGATCTGACGCAGCTCTCGGTGGTCAAAAGAGAGCTCGTGAAATTGTTCGTGCAACTAGCGATACGGAGCAAAAAGGCAGCACATCCGAGGAAAACAGCACGTGTTCGGATGTTAGCTTTGTGGTGACGGAAACGGAATCCGACGACACGTCTACCGACGAACAGATCTCCACTGAAGACAATGCATCTAATTCTACTGGCTCTGAACAAGATGACTCGCAAATTTCTCGTCCTGATGCTCAGCCAGAGACAATAGAGAAAAATGGTGTTGTATGGACATCACAAAAGTCTATGCGAGGCGTCTAATCTGTCATATAGAACAAAACTTGCCCTGCGATCACTCAGGTATGAATTGAAAGGCCAGGGTTCGTCACTTCATCAACGTGATGATGAACCAATACGTGCAAAGAGACGATGTTACCTTTGTCTTACACGGCTTGGACGTAAGGTAAGACAAGTTGGTCACGCGTGTCGAAATCATTTCTGTACTTCTCATAGCACTAGTGAACGAAAAACTGTTTGTAAGTCGTGCATCTCGACCCTCTCTGACTGACGCAGGATACCTTCGGGCAGAATTCGACATTTTCTTGAGCGAATTCGTTTCAGCGTAGGTTCCAGTCAATCCAACACTGGCTCCAAGTACAACTCGATCAACTCTATCGGTTCCAATCATAGAAAATTTTCACACACACACCCTCAATAGCAGAAGAAATACCATACTAATTAAACTCAATCTTAATTAGTAATTGACACTGTCTTCAAGTTGCAATTAAGTGTTATTTTTAACGATCATCAAAAAGGAATATTGATCTGATATTATAATTACTTTTTATCGTCTCGTTATCTAATAAATGTTGAATGTGTGACGGAGCGCATTTTCAATATATATTGATGTTGGCATAGGCAAACAAGGAGCAAATTAATGATATAAGTTATCAAATTGCGATGTTTTGTTTCAATTTTGATTTATTTAATTCATGGAGGTTTACGAACTGAACGGTCAGATAAAAAATGTTGTATACTATCTTAGAGTGCTGTTGGAAAGTTGAGTATAGGTTGTTTGGAACTTATCTAGGATCGTACATATTTTTCTTTTGAAAAAAATAGTGACCTAATATAGTTTTAATAGCTACACATTGTGTAATTGATTCGAAAACAAATCAATTATATTCACAATCTATATATTTCTATCCACATATGATCAATAGAAATTCAAAACTATAAGTTCGTATAACGTACTTTTGGTGGAATACAAAAAATCCCAATGATGAACGAGCTTTAGGTGAAAAATTAGTTGCTACCCAAGGTTGATTATTCGAATAACTTCAGAAGTTGTCAGACGGCTGGAACAATTTCAAATTGTCGAATGATCAAAGAAGTATCAAGACTATTCTTACACAATTGTGACTGTTAGGATCTGATTATGAAGAAGACTCAAAGATAGAGAGTTTCAGTTTATCACGGTCTTCTTAACCACCTCTATTGCACGAAGAGAAAACAACAAGAAGAGAAGAGCCGTTCATCTTATGTAGATGGTGCTCCTGACAGAATCTATCGATAGAATATTGCTTTACAAATGTCATTTTTCGATGTTTAAAGTCTTTTATGTTTTAGTACTCCTTCACTTGGTAAGACAGAATATGTTATTAGTAAAATTTATAGAAAATCAAATTGAGTCGAAGAAAACGGAAGAACGTCATATCCTACTTAACTTGTTTCGTTATCTAATGAGAAGAAAAACATTTGATTTTCTGTAGAACAGCAACAACCAAGGGGGGGGGAGCGGATCCTGGATTCCGGAATCCTATGAGATCCCAAAAGATGCTCAGAGATCCTAGGATCCGAGAGAATCCGCTTCTCCTCCCTTGGATAAACTCTATCGAGTGCATTCATAAAATAGTTTATCACTTTCCCTCACACTCAATTTTGGATTATTCACGTGACAAACAATTCTCTTATTTGGAATTGGAATTTATTTTCATTTACGAAAGACAAACACACACACTGTTAGTTACTCGAGGGTAATGAAAAAAAAATCATCAAACTACTGGATTAAATGAGAAAAAAGTGTTTGGGTCAAGAGAGTTGGTTGTTTCTTTAAAGAATTCGCTTCATTCGTTGTTTATGTCGCGTTTTTGCTTGAATTTTCGATGGATTAAAGCTATTGTTCAGTTTAACGAATAATGCATACATGGCCACACCATGTGCAGGCATCAATACAATAAACATAATACTTGTCATTAACGCAATCGGTTCACGGCATAATTCTTCCTAAAAGTATCCACATCTCAACAATTGAAATATATTTAAGTTGAAATAAAAATGCTTACAAAATCTTTTGGATATGTCGCTCGTAGTATTGATTCAGTTGTTGTCGTTGTTGCAGTTGTGGCAGTTGTTGTTGTAGCTAAATCAAATAAAATTATTGGAAAAAGATCAAATAAAAATGAAACAATTCGATTTATTTACCGCTTGTAGTTGTTGAAGTAGTTACTGTGGTTGTAACAACTGTAGTTGTTGTTATAACAATACCAGTTGTTGTTAATAAAGTATTGATGCTAGTGGTTGATGTTGGTTTTGTTGTTACTGTTGCAGTTGTAAATGGTGTCGTTGTTGTCGTAGTTGTACTTGACACTGCTGGATCCCAAATATTAAATCGCCAGAATGTTTTATCATAAATTGGTGCTGACTCAGCATCTTTTTAATTTCAAATTATTTTATAAATTTCATTCTTACAGACAATAAGAAAACTCACGACAAAAAACACTTCCACTAGCAAATCCACTATCCATTGTTACATAGTAGAATGCACCAGGTGTCCATGTATAATTTACTACAACAACGATTACATATCCAGTATAAATAACATTTGGTGCATATCCGGCATCATAACACACAACTGATGCATTTGTAGTATCTAAGTGAAAACAAATGTTTGTACCATTACGAGACGGACGACCCACTAAACTATTTGCTAAAAAAAATCATATAAAAAATATTTTTAAATCAAAACATAGAAGAAAATATACCTTGAATTGAAAACATGGACTGATTTTGAAAAACGGTACCAACTGGACTAGCTGATCCTTGTACATACGTTGGCTGGATAAGATTAGGTGATGTATAACCAACTAAATATGTTATACACCATGGATCCGATTGTAAATTAGAATTATCGATCGCACCAGCACAAAAACCTTGAGGGCCAACTTGGTTTTGATTGGGTGTCCATGTTAATGTCATTGTCCAAATGTCTGTTCATTTTTTATGGTTCAAATACACAACGTTTTTCTTCTTGTTCTTACTTAAAGAAATCAACTACTTACTAGTGCTTGAATTACTGATAGGACTATGCATCACTCCAAGTGGTGAACTAGTAACAAAATCAACAATGTTTTGACCAGGACAATATGTTTGTACAATTATCGTTTCATTGAATTGAACGCCTAAGAGAGAAATTTATTGGAAGATTAAAAAGAAAAGTTTTATTAACTATACTTACCAACTGGAACTCCAATACAAGCTGAAAGAAATTAAATAAAAAACGAATTATTTAGTATTTGTATTTAATCAGAAGAATATTTTACCTCTATTCGGGCGATCGCCAATAATAGTAGGTCGTTGTGAACATGCACTGCCAGAAGCGATGTACCCATAAAACAGAAAAACTATTGGAATGGAACTCATTGGACTTGTAGCCGCAGTATTATAATAATCTTCAATTTGAATAGAACATGCATAATATATGTTAGCAGTGGGTAAAGTGAAAGATAATGTACAATTAGACCCAGTTAAGATAGTTCCAGGCGGTAAGCCACTACAAACACCTGCACATTCATCTACTCGATTATAATTTGTTCCACTGTTTGAATTTGACCAACGACACTGTAATATATCACTGTTATCATTGTCTGCCATTTGTATAACATGAGTAATTCGTTGACTTATGGGGTACAATATGACTGGTAATGTTGTTGTCACAGGACTTGTATTGATAAAACCATCAGGTCTTAAACCTAAGTTTAGTCGATTAACCACTGACCAAGATCCAGTAGTGTCAATATAAAGAGCAGTCAACCATGCTGATCCTGTGAATCCTATTGTAATTGATGTTGTCAACGGTAGTGACACTTGATCATAACGTTCACCTCCCCATGATGAAATAATGGGAATCGTATTACAATCTGTTGTATTTACGGCAATTGAAAGTCCAGAATAAGTGGAACTTGAACAATTTGCCATACAGGCCATAGTGCTGCTGACTGGAATTGTTCTTAGAGAAGTAACGTCTGCCTCTGTACAACGAGGAGGATTACTACTAAAAGCGGTCGCCATTCGATCAAAGAAATATCTTTGATGTATCAGAATATCTGCATTACTACCTGATGGTGTACTGTTCAGCGGCCGCCTAAAAATGAAAGATACAAGATTAAATTAGAAGTAAGATAGAAAGAGATCATACGCACCATGAAATAATGCCACCACGGAAATGTGATCCATCCATCATTTTATATAATGAACAAAAAACTAACAACAAAAGGCCAGTATTTTGTCCCATAGTTTCAGTATACAGGTATTGTTTCAACCAATACGTCGTATTATGAAATGAAAATCGACATTTTTCTTCACTTTTATACACAAAACGTAACGTGTTCGTGAACTTTTCATTAATAAAAGTACATTAGTAAAAACATTGCAAAACACTCAAATTGTGGATAGCGAAAACAAAACAAAAATGCCACTCTCTTGTTATTTCTATTGAGAACTATTAGAAAGAATTCTCGAACATCATCAACTTTGTTTGATCCTGTCTAAGTGTTTCTATGGTATACATTTCATGAAAAATAAATACTCAGAACTTTCGATGATTTTCGTTGTTTGTTATTCAGCTTTATTTCATACAGAAACTACCAAAAGGATGCAAAATATTCGATAACTATATGAAAACGATGAGGTACCATCAATTTTATGCGATCAAGTGTTTAAAATGATTGCCATGATTGTTTCGATCGAACTATATAGAAATCTCATAAAATTGGTATCTAAGTAAAGTTAGCACCATATTCGCGTATTTCTTGTCCGGATTCGCTTGTGAACGTGTAATGGCCTTTGAAAAGATTGTGTTAGATGCAAAATTAAATCTTCTATCGAACGATGTTATTTTCGAGGGGGTTATCGAGAAAAACGTTTTCGCTTCACCAACACACCCTCACCCCCGGTAATCCCCTGGAAAATAACATCGTTCGATAGAAAACTTAATTGTGAATGCAACACAAGTATTTTTAGAATCAGCACAAGTCAGGGTGTGGGTGACGGTGTGGGTGAGGATGGATAGATATAAGTGAAACTATATCTATTTCTATTCCTATCTAGTCATTTGTTATAAGTGTGATATAGACATCTATTTATATTCAAATTGGTACTAGCCTGTTGGGGGTCGACTTATAATATAAGTCGAATTAGGCATCTCATGTTTCTAATCCAGATTATGAGACTGTTCAGAATTTGATTCAATTGAATTACACGAATCTCCGTCAATGCGATGTTTTTCGTTCTCTTAATTGTATGAAATCGTTAAAAAAAAGCATTAAGTCTTTTTGATGAAACTCTTGCATTCGTAATTTATACACAAGTAGTCATTACTCTGTTATCCAATGAATTACCAATGCAAACGTATAAATTTAAAGATTTAGAAAGCGTTTCGTTGGAAAGAAAAGCAAATAGACATAAGTGTCATAAACAAAGCTGTTTCTAAGAGCTTTATTGACATTTTGTGTTTGATTGTTTCTTATTTGTTATCGCATGACACATGTAATCCTAAAATGAAGAAATGCATCTTTTTCCTTCTCTTCCTACTTTTTTTTCGGTGTCCTGATGTCATAGGACAAATATATAAACATAAAAAGCTTTCTTCTTCCTTTTATACAGCATTTTTTCCGTTGTATTTTTCGTTTGTCTAATTGGAAAAAATAACGTATATGCGATGACATTGGACAATCTACGTTTGAGCTGGATTGATTATGCTTTGCTAATTTTCTTTCTCGGTCAGTTGAACACTTTTTCGTTACTAATGAACTAGTGATTGTAAATAAAGGATTATCGGCAATCATTGGCATTTGGCATGGATGCATTAGAAATAAGCAAATAACAACTAAAAATTTTTTTATAGGTGGTGGCAAAATGAAAGTAAGTTTCTTTCAAAACAAATGTTCACATAAAGATTCCACTGACATATACAGATGTTACCCACTGCAATGAGTTTATTTGCTACTCTTTGTTCAGCATCAACGTTACTTGGTATTCCAGTAGAAATCTATTACTGTAAGTAAATCAATTGTTTGAATATACTATGAGAAAATAAACTTTGATTCGTATTTTTAGATGGCATTAGCTATCTTTATTTTAGTGCGTGATACCTTGAGTTTTCATGCAGGAATTTTGAGGATGATTATCGTTTTAGTTCTTTGTTGGTTAATTGCATCTTATGTCGCAAGTCATATTTTCATTCCTAAATTTCGAGAACTCGGCTATATAAGTTTATATACAGTATGATAATATCTATCCATCGTATGATTACTTGTTACTTTTACTGATTTTGTTTGGGAATATAGTATGTGGAAAAACGATTTTCATTAACACTACGTATCAGTGTGACGTTGACATTTATTATCAGTTTCGTGAGTAGTCAATCATTCGAAATGTTCAAGAAGTTTTTTTTTATGTATTAATTCAATAGATGCTTTTTATGGCTGTAATTTTATATGGGCCTAGTTTGGCTCTAAGTCAAGTTATCGGAATCGATCGTAAGTCTATCGGACCAATAAAACACATCATATAGTCGAACTTTTCTTGCCTTTAAGTTTGGCTTGCAATCGTTTCTTCCGGAATTATTTGTACATTCTATACAAGTATTGTAAGTTTTTTCTCAAATGTGTAGGAGAAAGAGTAGAAAGTATATCGAAAATAAGGCTGGATGGTATCGTTACCATACAAGTTCTACAAGGTCTAAATTCATCTAAATTCTCGGATGTTCCGCCCACCTCTGTGCTTTACTCTATTGAAAGTTTGTAATCGAATATTTTCGTGTACTCTAGGGTGGTATGAAAGCCGTCATTTGGACAGATGTAATACAAACTTTAATCATCTTTTCGGGCGTTCTTCTTTCAATTGTCTTCGGTAAAAAGAAGGACAAAATTAGTCATACATTAATGAATTGTCTATCTTTCGAAAGGTTTTATGGATACTGGTGGTGTTAAGAAAGTTTTCGAAACAGCATATCTGAATCAACGTATGAATCTATTCAAGTAAATCTGTTCATATTTCATATGGAAGATACTTGAGAGATGCTATTCAATTATATAGCATTAGTTTTGATCCAACTGTACGTTATACGGTTTGGTCGTTAATGATTGGTGGTACATTCTATGCTACATCGTGTTCTTGTATCTTACAAACACAAACACAACGATACATGTCTGTGAACAGTACACGAGACGCTCAGAAGTAACATGAAAGTATTTTACTAATTAGTGTCTATTAACAGGCTTTTATAGAGCTACATGGATCAATAATATTATGTTGGGAATACTTTTATTTTTATGTTGTATAGTAGGACTTTTGGTTCATGCAAAGTATCATGATTGTGATCCACTGGGAGCAAAATTGGTTTCTAAATCTGATCAAGTAGAAAGTTCTCAATTCCATATATGAACACATATTCGAATTTTGATAATTTACAGATTTATCCATTGTTTGTCATGGAAACATTCAAAAGATTTCCTGGTCTTACTGGTCTTTTCATGGCTTCGATTTTAAGTGGCTCTTTGAGGTGATGAGATGAATTCTCTCTCAATTATCTACTCTTATCTTATTTTCATTAATTTTAGTTCGATATCATCAGGCGTGAATAGTATTACTGCAGTGATAATTGAGGATATTTGGAAACGTTTAACACCGAATCAACCTCTATCCGATAAAACTCAAACAATTATTTCCAAATATACATGTCAGAGTCTGATTGATATGATGTGAATATTTTTGGTTTTTCTTCGTCTTGTAGCTTTTACCTTAGGTGTAATTACAGTTCTACTTGCTTTTATTGTTTCCTATTTACCAAGCATACTGGCAGTAAGTCTGATCAAAGATTATTGCGAAGAATATCACATAAAACGAATGTAAAAATATTTATTTAAGCTTGTATATTCCGTCATTGGTACATTGACTGCACCCATTTTTGGCATCTTTCTTCTTGGTTTCTATTTTCCTCGAGTTAACAATAGAGTAAGTTTGCACTATTGCGTTACTCTGTATCTATAGTACTATGTTTGGAGTAGAGCGCACTGATTGCATTTTTCATCAGTCTTGTGTTTCAACTTTGGGTTCTTATTGGTGCTAGTTTTACCGTTCATCAACAGCTACGACGAAGTTTGCCGACATCTGTCAATGGATGTACGTCACTTAATATCACATTAAAGACTCCATTAATAATAAGGTATTGAAAGATATTGGACACTTTTTAAATTCTAATTATTGATGAATTCTAGTCAAAATCTTAGTAGTCCCAATTTCTTTTTACCTTTGTATTCTATTTCATTCATTTGGTATGCATTTAATGGTGTTTCAATAACAGTTATTATGGGTCTCGCTTGTTCATTGCTATGGTGTACGTAAGAAGAGAAGTCTGTAATTGTGATTAGTTTTCTGTTCAAATTATAGATAATTCTAAATCGGATATTGAAAAAATCGATCAATCTCTATTAATGTCTTGTCGCCGAAACGCTTGCTGCGGTTCTTTGTCAACAAAAAGTTTAGACAATCCGGAGGTATGAGAACATAGAAAGTGAATGTTATTCCGTCTACTGAAAGGATGGTTATGCGTCAAGTAGATATCACCGAAAGAACTATTATAGAGGCCGAGAAAACCAACTATACTGTTAGAATTTGAGGAATGGTAGTCTGGAATAGAGCAATTCTTCTCTTTGTCCCAAGAGACATAAGCGATCTGATTATATGCCTTCAGCAGAGGGTCCGCGGCAATTCTAATGTGCTACATTGAATTGTTATGTTTATTTTAAAGGTAACAATGGCTGTTAATAGCCAAGGAACGAGAAATAAAGATGCTGAACATGAACATATGGATCCAACAGCTACGAATAAAAAGGAATTGGTGACGCTCCTTTCATCTGAAAACTGACTTTTTTAAAATGTTTTTTAATTTTGAATTGCATAAATCAAAGTCAAACAGTTTAAATCGTTGTCAAAATGAAATTATTCTTTCAAATAAAAATCGAATAATTTCACTTTATTTACAAAATATCAATATTGCTGAACAGTTCTTTCAATCTTGTGCTTTTGATTTCTCATTTAATAGTCTTGAATCACTTGAACTTTTTGAAATTTCACCATGGAAATGTTGCCAATTCTTCCTACTTTAAAATTCTTTCCTCATCTCTGGAAATTATTGATTGAGTTTACAGATTATATTTATATTTATCTTCGTTGAAATATGTTTTTCTCGCAGCTAATAAACAATGATTAAATATTGTGTTGGCCAAAAAGTTCTGCAACACTTGCGAAAAAGTTGATTTTTGTGATATAGTGGCTAAGCGGTCATGTGTCTGCCCATGTGACCATCTTTATCTGTCCCTTGTTCAGTATTTGCATGTACCTTCTAGAACGTTCTATGCACTTTTCTCGGACATATGACGTGTTTTTGTGAAATGTTCTTACGCAATGTTCATACTATATATGCAGGTGCTTCCTATCTATCATTATCATTTCCGCAGTCAGTCACTCAGTGTTTACTTGTTCTCAAAGTTTCAGATGACCTTGGACAAATCGAGCTTCGAGCCTTGATACGCTATTGTTGGAAGCGACTACTTTCGACAAGAGCTGCTGCGAAAGAGATTTGTGATACTGAAGGCGAAGGAACTGTCCACTACACAACTGGTTCTCGATGGTACAAACGATTCGGTTCCGGTAACCTTAGTGTCAAAGATCTGCGGGCAGCCTTGGACGATGAGCCTTCATCGAACAGTGGTGAATTGGCGTCGATTCCTGGAGCCTCGTCAGCATCCACACGAGTTGAATTCTGCCATGAATGGTTGGAAGCGTATTGTGACTTCGGACGAAAAATGGGTCTACTTGGTCAAGCACAACCGGCAGAAGCGGTGGGTTTCGAGTCAGGATTCTTTCGCAAAGAAGGTGATGATTTGCGTCTGGCGGAACTTTGGGGGAGTGCTTCACTTTGAACTGGTTCCGAATGGCCGTGCTGTGAACACCGAACTCTACTGCTAACAACTGAACCGTTTTTATGACAAGCTAAAGGAGAAGTACCCGACCCTCGTCCGTCGCAAATGCGCTTTGTTCCAGTAAGACAACGCTAAACCCCACACCCACCCTCAAGACTTTTCCTCAGCTATTTTATGTTTTTTTTTTCTGTAGGAAGACGTGAATGTGATTTCATTACGAGATTTCTATCTAGATTCAGTGACGAAATCTAACATTCATATTCTCGAGATACTTCAATTATTTATCATTGGATTTCATCAAACTATTTGTACAAGCAGTGTAGCTCAGTTGGAAGAGCACTGGATTCATAACTCAGAGGTCGATAGATCAAAACTATCCACTGCTATGATTTTATTCTTTTCTTTGTGTTATTGATGGACATTACATCATCATATTAAATAAGAAACATGAAACGTACTTTCGTAATAATTTGTCAATCGTTCTCTCGATGTCTTATAGATGTGTAGAAATATACAAAAGTGTTAAATTTTGTGTTCGTTTTTTCAAGGCTATGATCTATTGAATCAATAGAGAAATGTGATTGTGCACATTTGTACGCGAAAAAACTGACACAACTGCATGCGAAAGGCATGAAAACTTCTGTCTCTTTCCATCACTGGATAAAGTAATTATGAATGAAATGATATAGAATTAACAAGTTTGTACAAGAATATCTAAACTGTCACTGCCAGCATTTGCAATAGCAAAATCTAATTTATGGTCACCGTTAAAATCACCTTCAACAAGCGAAAATGGTTGTGAACCATATTCTAATGCAAAACTAATCATTTCTTCAAATGTTCCATCATTTCTTCCCAAAAAAATTCCTAAGGTATTACTTCGAGAATTACCAACTACAATATCTTGGTAAGTATCATTATTAAAATCATTAACAACGATTGAAGATGGAAAAGAATTCGAACCTGTTGAATATGTTCTTCGATCATTAAATAAACCATTTTCTTTACCGAGAAAAACATCAATAGTAGATGTATTATAATTTGCAATAACGAGATCTAAATAATAATCATTATTCAAATGACCATTTGTCAATGAATAAATAGATGAATAGATTTCAATTGGATAAGTTATTTCTTTATGAAATGAAAGATTACCATAACCAAGAAACACATTCATAGTATGTGTATTATCACTTAGTATGACAATATCTTGGTACTTATCATTGTTAAAGTCATTAATAATTAATGATTGAGGATGAGAATTATTGTCCATAATAAAGATTGTTTGTTTAACATAAACTTCTGTATCAATTCCAAAAAGAATACTTATATAATAACTAATTGATTGCTGAACAACAATATCAAGTTTTGAATCTTGATCAAAATCAATAATAGTCATATATGTTGAACTGATACCAATTGCATATCTTCTTTCATTTTCAAAATATCCTTGCCCATTTCCAAAAAGAACGCTAATATCATTACTAAAACGATTAGCAACAATAATATCCACAAAAGAATCTTGATTGATATCAATTGCTTGTATATCTGATGGTGTACTACCAATAAGATATTTTGATTGAATATTAAAAGATCCGTTGTTATATCCAACAAGAACAATTATTTCACTACTATAAAAACTGCTACCAATGATATCTGGTTTTGTATCATTATTTAAATCAACAGCAACTAAAAAATCCATCATAAAGCCAGTGACATATGTGATTTCATTAGTGAATGAACCATTTTTATAACCAAAAAACATCTTTAAATAAGTTTTTCCATCGAAAGTCGCAATAATATCCATTTGACTATCATTATCAATATCAACAATTTCCATTTCATTCAAGCCATTACCTATGAAATAATGTAATGGATTAGAAAAAAATCCATTTTTTAATCCGAAAAGAATATCTACATAACTATTTTGATAATGTAAAACGACGATATCCTTTATAAAATCATTGTTGATATCATTTATACGTACAAGTTGAATTTCAGCACTAGTTTTGCATTTTAATCCATCAGAAAATATACCATTTTTATTACCAAAAAGGACAAGAACAAAATCTTTATCCATGTCGTATATAGTAAGATCCATGATAGAATCTTTATTAAAATCATCAAAAATAGCTTGTGTGGGTGTTAAATTAAACGATGCAGATTTTATTTCATCACCAAAAGAGCCATTACCAAGACCAAAAAATGCGCTTATATCTTTTCTGCGGTGATTAATGGTAATAATATCATATATGGAATCTTTATTCATATCTTCGATTTTTGTAGTTAATATATTAGATTTCACTGAATATTTCATTGGATTTGAAAATGTTCCATCTTTATTTCTAAGAAGTACAGCAAGAATGCCGGTATTTTCATAAACAATTAACATATCTAAATAAGTATCATTATTAAAATCTTGAAAATATAAATCATATGTATCGTTATCAATAAGATATAGATGTTTGTTGATAAATGTTCGAATTTCTTTCAAATAAATGGTATCTAGGTTTGAAGTATTATCATATGTAACAAGAATATCAGAACGTTGATCATGATTCAAATCATTTGCAATAATAATTGATGGAATCGAATCAAAAATAACACTATTAATAGATGTATTCATTTCTTGTCCATCTTTATTTAACATATGGAAAATTTTCTGTTCATAATTAAAAAAGAGAATATCTAATTGATGATCACCATTATAATCATTAATAACAAGAGATGATGGACGAGAATTTAAACCAGTATCGATAAGTTTTTGTTCACTAAATGTATTATTTCCATATCCATATAAAATTCCAATATTATCTGAACCATAATTCGCAACAATAATATCTTGATAAGTATCATTATTCATATCATATGTGTTAATATATCGAAGATGAGCACCATCTGCAGATGTATAAGTTACTTTATTAACAAGAAATCCTCGATTATATTGAAGTAATATATTAATATCCATGTTAGTTGGAGTACATGTAACAGCAAGTAAATCCAATCTTGAATCTTTATTATAATCATAAGAAGCTATACAAAGTGGATAACTGCCGATATTTATTTTCAGTTGATTTGCAAATGTACTATCATTAGATCCGAAAAGGATGCTTATATCGGAACCATGTACATTAGCAGTTATAATATCTAATAGATTATCATTATTAAAATCAGCAATTATAGCAGAAAATGGTGCAGAACCGACTGAATATTTCGATTGACTTATAAAAGATTGATTTGTGAAATCCATGAGAACATCTATATCATTACTATCATAATTTATAACTACTAAATCTAATAGTTTGTTATTATTCAAATCTTGAATTATTAGCTTAGATGGACGTGAACCGACTGTATACGTTGCTATGTTTGTAAAAGAACAATTTCCAAGTCCAAGATAAATATTGATATAATTAATATTTAATGCAACCACAATATCTAACAATGAGTCTTTATTAAAATCAGCAACTGCCATCACAGTTGGATCTTTAAAAGATAAAGTAGTTATTGGATATGCTAGAGAACCATTTCCATAACCTAATAAAATACTCATATTATTACTAAACGTACTGATAACAACAATATCTAAATAATTGTCATTATTAATGTCAATAACGACTAGATCCGCTGGATATTTATCAACAGTATATCTTAGTTCAGACATAAAACTTCCATTTCCAAATCCGAAAAGTAGACTTATATCATTACCCAAACTATTAACTACAATAATATCAACAAATGTGTCGTTATTCAAATCACCAAAAGCTACATTTGATGGAGAATTACCAACAGTATATGTTGATCGATCAATAAAAGAATTATATTCATTTCCTAACGAAATTCTGATATAGTTCTGGAACATAGAAACAATAATGACATCTAAATAATTATCATTATTTAAATCATAAATAAATGCATAATTTGGAGATATTTCAATTAAATGTGAACTTAAACTATAAAATCCTTCGAATTGACCAAGGAAAATATCTAAAGATCCTATATCGTTATTAACTAAAACGATATCTAATCGATTATCTTTATTAATATCATGTGTAGCAAATGAAATTGAAGAAGTTGAACCAGTTGAATACATTTTTGATAATATAAATGAACTATTTCCTTCTCCTAACAAAACACCAAGATTATCAATGCCTTTATTTGAAACAATTAAATCTAGATAATTATCGTTATTAACAAAACCAGCTTCAATAGAATATGGAGAAGTATTATCATCAAAAGTATATGCTGTTGATTTTATAAAAGTTTTATTTCTATTATTTGTAAATATACTAATCAGATTTGTTCCAGAATTAGCAACAGTTATATCATAAAAATCATCATTATTAAAAAGACCAATAGCAATTGAAATTGGATGAGAACTATAACCAGTTGATATAATTATTTGATTGGAGAAATTCTTATTATTAATTCCATAAAATATTCCAATATTATTTGTACCATAATTAGCAACAATTATATCGAAATATAAATCATTATCAAGATCACAAACAGCTAATGCAGATGGATAAGAATCATAACCAGTTGAATAGAAAATTGGATTCATCAATTTTCCATCATCATCATCACCATATAGAACACTAATACTATGTGTACCATAATTAGCAGTAATTATATCCAGATATGTATCATTATTTAAATCTTTGATGAGAAGATAAATTGGACGAGATGAACCAATTGAATATTTTATTTGATTATCAAATAATCCATTACCCAAATTAAGAAAAATTCCAATATTATTACCAGCAAAATTCGCTACAGCAATATCAATATGTGAATCATGATTAAAATCACCTGTATCGACCATATAAGGTTCTGAATGGAGATCAGTTGAATATTCAATTTGTTTTATGAAATGTCCAGTTCCATCTCCTTTATAAATGGCAATATTATCAACAAGATGATTCACAACAACCATATCAATCAATGTATCACCATCAAAATCAGCAAGTGCATTTCCTCGTGGACCATAATTATATTCAAGTATTGGTTCAGGTAATCTTTTATAATTCATTTGACATGGAATACCTAAAGAATAAATTTTTATTGATATTTAGTTGTAATCCACAGATACCTTTTGATCTTGTTATATTATAATAGACAAGTAAAGTACCAACAATGATACTAATACTTGTAAATATTGCAAATAGGCAAGAAAATTGAATTGATCTTGATAGCAGGACTGCCATCTGGTCAGACCTAAAATGGGGTACACAATTTTATCGTGATCAACAAGAGAAATGCAATCAAGAAATGAATTTCATAAAGTAGTTTTTAACAAAGAAAACCTTTTTGACTGTTTTCCTCCGTTCTGAAATTAGTTTTCAAACTCTACTTTTTATATTCGAAACGATTGTTTCCAGAATACATATTCTTTTCACTCTATATTCGCTCAGAAAGATAAGAATGTTCCCTTGAAGTCAAGAGCATAGCCAGGAATTTATTTAGGGAAATCGACTACAGGAATATTTTGACAGCCGAAAAATATTGGAGGCACCGATAACTTTTCGAGCAGTTTTCGGAATTTTTTTGTAATCTTTAAACGGTTTTTCAATCTTTTGTTTCTTTTCAAAATTTTGCGAAAAAGTGCTGACAGATTCCTATAAACTTTTCGACTACTCGAAGAATAATTTCGAGATTTTCAAGTCAAGTATTATTGCTCTTCATGGTGAAACTTTAAAAAGAATTCTTGTGTGCTACATTTCAAAAGTCAATATTTCGATTCGAGTGGAGATCAATCCCTCTGATCTTTTCAAAAAGGGCTCTAACTAAAATATGTCTTCTATGGATGTTTTAACTAATAAACATATTTTACACAGTACTATTTCTAATTGTTCTTAGATTCAGACTATCTTACTTACTTATATGTCGATGTGAAGCTATTGTCATGATGTTAGTTTCACATCAATTGTATCTATTCAATGACGTCAGTTGGTTTTTTCCAAGTAATGTTTGTTTTTTTGTTTTCAATTGTTTTTGTTTACATAGATTAATCAAGCGTGCTATTGTAGTACATGGCTTGATAAGATACATATATATTTACATATATGAATATTTTTCGTACACAATGTTTTCATCGAGCAATAACATAACTGACATAAATTTTGAGAAAATATTAGTCGATTGGGAACCCAGAACCAAATGACCATAATTTGCTAATTTCTTTTGACCATACGGTCTGTCCAAGCATGACGGAATCACGTTTTCTCACATTACTTTTTCAATATCTAAATTCATAGAGGTTGATTAAGTCTATTGACGGATATCTGATAACAGTACAGATCGTTCTGAAGAAAACTTTGAAAACAAAAATTAGTCTAACAAAACATTTTGCTACAGTCAAAATTCATTTTAAACCGAGTTTTCGAGAATAAAATCGTCTACTCATTTTTCTTTATGTAAACTAGATCATTTGATGGTGATTCCGTCACGTAATTTGTAACCTCATAAGACGTTTCGAAAAGCTATTAATCATAGCAATATATAGAGTGTGGAAAAGTGTATTTATGGTACTAGTTTTGTAAAAAGAAAACAACTCAGATTTCACTAAAAATGAATTATTGATACATTTCGTGACGGAATCACCATTATCAATGTACCAGGTTTGCAAACATGGGTAATTTTAAAAAGAAATGACGAATTGTAGGTATCTTTTCATAATTACATACTCTGTTGAACGTAGTACTAGTTCATTTAAAAAGTTTCGAAAAGGAAATGTTCGCCCATAGTAAAATTTCAATATCATAATAGGTTAAAATTCGGACCATTCTTCACTTTTAAGACTCGTACTGTTTGCATGATTGACTTTTAACACAAAAATAAAAAACTGGACTTCTAGTTATTTCAACATTACTCTACACGATGGTAATGTTAGTTTCACTTAATGACGTTGTGGTCAAATTCGCCCACTGACGTACGCAGTTACGTGGACAGACCGCATAGAGATTCTAATAAGCTGTATTCAAAATTCTTAAAAACAAGGAAGGTTTTAACTTTTATCATAGTATTTAGTCGTATCTTAACTCACATCCGAAGCAACTGCTTCACTTGCATCGAGTTCGATGGAAGATAATGAGTGGTTTATTTGACTGAAGCGCACTCTTCACCTCTTTCTGCGAACGAATATGTTAATTACAGTCAACAGATTTATTGATTTTAACCAAAGATGATTTTAGTTCCGTGCAACCGCCTGCCGGTAATTATGTGGATTGCAGCGTATTGAACAGACCCATCCGATAATCTCGTGGGCATGTATTAAGTAAAACATCGAATTCTATCGACGTTTGCGCAAAATTACATATAATGAAGAAGTTCATCTGTACGAATGATAAAGAAGGATTCACAATGTTAACTTCTGTAGCGATGGCCTTTTACACAAAATATCATTTTGATTAATACATGAGAAGATATTCTTCATTTCTTCTCTCGATACAAATGGTGATATCCCAAAATTTATATGTAAACATCCTGTATTCGATATATACACATCTCCTAAGACTGTACAATCGATAAAACTAAGAATTTATAATTCTTCTGTATCTTGATAGAATATCTGAAGATATTTTAAATGCAGTTTGACAGGTTTTGAAGAACTTTTTCAGCAATAAAATACTCCCGCGACAATGCTTGCAACTTTGGCAAGGCTCTTGACAAACTTTCTTCAATACAAAACTTGACTAATTTGCGTTGATTACAAACAATTACACATTCGAACCAATATTTGACAAAAGATAATTAAATTATTCATGTGTCGTAGAATTGAGGCTCAAAGAATGATAAAAAAAAACTGTTGATTTTCATATTGAAACCAGTATTGAGATTCAACAATGAAAAAATAAAAAATACCACTGTGATATACAGATATGACCAAATGTGTCATATCACTTCATCAGCTGCAATGTTTCTTGTGTTTTTGTTCCAATTTTTACATAAATAATCACAAAATAATTTATTTGGGACGTTATGGGGTCGATTTCTCGGTTCTATTAATATTCAATGAAAGATAGTGTCATGTATTTCATAGGAAAACATGTGAATCAGATTATTCTCGTGCAGATAGAAACTGCTCCCTCCGTTGTACGTATCATACAGAGTGTATGTTATCATAATGAGTACCTGCAAATAAAAATTGAGATTTTTTGTTTGTCACACTAAATGTGAATATCTGATCTTTTTCTAACAACTCTGCTTTATTTAACAGAAGAACCAAAAAGGAATTTCTAAGATTAGTCAATCGGGAAACTTCAATTCTAAGTCTAAAATACAAGCCGTAGGACTCTTCAAATGATGAAATAACTTGATATGTTAGAGATGAACACGGACTATACGAGACTATTGAAATCTCGGAGTATCATTATCTTCGTGGTTATATAATGGTCAAGAGGTGTGTTTGTTTCAGCTTTCTCATCATTGACTCACGCGAGTTGTTGACGAAAGATTTCGAAGTCTGAATGAATTTTGTAAAGAAAGGAATAATAATACTTGTCGAAATTTATCTTGGAAACTTTCCAGTGATTGAAAACGAACTTGAATTTATCTTGGTTAATGTTTTAAATTTTGTCGAAAATGAAACAATCGAATGACGGATATTCATTTATTTATTGTTAAACAAAATATGAAGAAAATATTTATGTTGATGCGACTATAACAAACGAGGAACTTATTCTCATCGACATCCTTATGGTATATAACATCGTCATTTATTCATGATTTTTCAGAAGATTCTATTTTCGTTTGTTTTTTGTTCTTATCAACACTTTTTCTTCCGAGTAGAAATAATGATAAGAAAAATGCGTGAATATTTATTGTGTATATGACGCACAAACATAGAATATTTTTCATGTTTATCAAAGATGCAGCTTGTGCGAGTATGATCAGTTTTTCTTTTTCTGAAACGAAAGTGGTTTGCATTTATGGCAATGACGCGACTCGTCCAATCAGAATAGGTCCAGCAAAAACCGTGAACATAAGACTAGTCACATGAACTGTTATATGTACGAACCATACATAAAGACAAGTATGAATAATTTATTCTATTTCAGATAGACTTTAGAAAGCAAGAATAACTAATGACTACGAAGTATGAATATATAAACGAATCCTCCATATCACCAAACTTGATTTGTACAATTTGCGGTTCACCTTTTGAAGATCCATATTGTTGTTCACATGGTCACACATTCTGTCGTGAATGTATCACGCGTTGGATTTTAACGGAGAAACCAAGTTGTCCCCTATGTCAAGAACGTTTGACCATTAACAGTCTCATCAAGGCGCCACATGCTCTATGTGGTATACTAGACGATCTATTAGTGAAATGTAAAATTTGTGGAGAAATTGATTTGCACCGAGGCAATTTCGATGAGCACATACAGAAACGATGTCCTAAAACAGTCATAAGTTGTTCAGCAGCAGATCTGCAATGTCCTTGGACCGGACAACGTGCCCATTTTGATCGACACCTGCGTGGTTGTCATTATGAGCCAATGAGAGCAACGTTAAGCCAACTTCTAAGCGAAAATAAGACAATGAAAGATCGAATTCAACAAATGACGATTAGGTTAACTGAACAACAAAATGAAATTGGTCTACTTAACGAATATGCAAATCAAAGGAGGAATCAAATTCAGGGACAACAGAATAGCATTACACATCTAAATGAACAAATAAAACAAGAGAGAATAAAATTAGATGAACAACGACAGCAAAACCAACAGCTTATCAAACAAACAGAAGAAGTCAATAAATACAAAAACGAGAATCAAATACTTACTCGAAAATTAGCACAGGCAAATGATCGAATAAGTAGTCTTATAGAAGAATCAAGTAAGTAAAGAATTATCTACAAGTAGTTTTTTTTTTGTTAATAAGAGAGAGTAATTTGCCTAAATTTGATTTTAGTGATTGTACAGGATATCTCGATGAGCGATAAATTACTGTAGTTTTGAATCAGTCATAGAAATCATTTCATTTGATTGTTAAATTTACAGTTCTCCAATAAGCTAATTTACAACGCATTGAATTTCTAATTTAGAAAATAACAAAGTCAGAATGGTGAAATTAAAAGAAGATCATGGTGGATTAACATACAGTCTTTTATGTTGTATTGTTTGTCTTCTTATTATCGTTGGTATTTCTTTTACAGTTGTCGGTGCTCGTCACGGTCAAGTGAATACCGTTGCTCTTCTTGTTCTTGGAATTATTGCTCTTGTAATTGCATTGGCTCTGAGTGTGCGTATCATGTTAATGTGTGGAAGAGATCGTAACAACAATAACGCGTCTTGATTGAGTTAACTTAAGGAAATATTCTTGAAGAGTATGGACGCCTTTCCTCATCTTCAAGAATCGGTAAAAGTATATCAGAACTACAAAAAATTTTGACTATACTTGTATATCAATTTCAATTCCCATTTTTTAACTCGAAACATCACAAATAAAAGCCCATCAAAACGTGCAACGCTACTTATCTCTGGATATTTAATCATATTTTAAGAATCCATTATTTCAAAAGAATAATGGACGATAATCATCACAATTTTTCCTCCCATATGTGTTTGACAATCAGAAACTGCATTTGTCATCTACACGCGAACGATGAAAAGTTGCGCTTGAGGGTGTGGGTGTCATATCTATGCATCTGTCTCACTCACCATCGAGAAAACTAGGAAATAAGCTGAAGCAGAAATAAAAGAACGCAACATATAATCAAGAAAATGAGTTTATAATCTCGTCGGATTCGATTGCCTCTGAATTCATTATGTTTTTGTCTCGTCTTGCGCACAGTTGTTTGGATCGGAAGTGATACGATTTGATTCTTTTCAAACATTGTTCTTCGTGTTTTTATTCACAGTCTTGTCATTAGTTGTCCAAACTTTGATCCTAATTCTTGTTGATTCAAGAAAATTGTAAACACAATGAGCAACTGGTATAATACCGTGAGATACGCCATAAAAAGTTCTAACTCTTTTAGAATATCATTCGAGGTGTCCATGGCAGTTCGGTTAGAGCAAACAGAATTGCCAGTGATAAAATTTATATAAAAATTTCTTTGTCGGCTTTCATGTCTTCTGCATTTTTTTTTGTCGTTTGTGAGCATTAGTCAGACTTCCTGAAAGTATTTTCAGCACCTGCAATTGTTGATAAACGACGCGACCAATTAGGAGTAGATCGAAAACGATGATTATAAAAATTGATAATGCAGAATTAATAATTAGAGTAGCAGAGAGCAAATACGAACTGGTTGTTTGATAACGGCAAGGGAATTTGCAAGTTTTGTTAATAGGATCATAAGATTCCCACTCTCGCAAGGAAATAAAACATACAAATATAAAAAACAGAACAGAAAATACAGAAGAAATGGTTAAACTTTCAACATAAGAAGTTTTTGTGCTTGTGGAATTAAATTGAAAAGTAAATCTATGTCTGTAACAAAAATTGAGACGATTAAAAGGCACAGATAATGGTAAAAGTAGAGAAACAGCGTGTAGATCTGTTTCGTTAGTAAAGAAAATAGTGAATCAGACGGCCGACATTGAAATTGTTGCTTCAACAGTTACAATATGAGATGCTCTTTAATGGATTTTCCACGTGCAAGATTGCTATTTAATATTGTTAGACATCGCTTGAATAAAAATTCCCATTGCTTTTCGACGAAATGCTTTGGATAGAAAGTAAGACACGGAGGTATAAAGCCTATAGAATATAAATAGACGTTTGGATAAACTTTTCAATGATTGATTGACGACAACTCTTTGCTTGACATTATGTAATTTGCAGATAAAGCGTTAGAACCAATGTTAAAACAGCAAATATAGTTAGAGTAGATTGCTTACAATAATATTACTGTAAATAGAAAAATTATTCGAGATACTCGGTGAAAATTGACAAGTCCGAACTCCTGATGTATGTAAAACAATGGTAATACTCATTGGACGATAAATGTTAATAAGTAAGATAATTTTGCCTTCGTACTGATGCTTTTGGTGATGTAACCATATATCGATCAATCGAATCCATAATAAGATAATATTGATATAGGGCAAAACAACAATTATTGAAGTATTTATTTGTTTTACGATACGCTATACTAGTTAGGGTCAATGAAAATCTTCCGACACAAGATATTGTAATTGCTATCAAGATGAGGATTATGACTAAAAAATAGTACCACTAAATGACAGAAAATAGATTGATTCAGTATTTCATCGCATGGCTTTTTGACTAAATACAATGAAATTTAAGAGGATGTCAATGCTACCAAGTACGATTAGAGTAATTGGATATGTAGCAAACGAAAGTGTTCTATGAAAGAACGAGAATAGAATTTAACATTCCATAATTAAGAGATCTAGAAAGGATTACATTCTTTTCAAGAACGATAGAAAAAGGTAAGTAAAAAAATAAAATTCTAGCTTGTTATATTCACATTCATGAAAAGCAATGAGAAAGAAAGGTTGGTAAGAAACAAATATATCTTCTCATGGTTTTTTTTATACAGAAACATCGCTAAAAGTGTCTATTAACGTTTTCTTATGACATTCAAATAGCTAAACTACATGCGAATCTTCTTCTTCCATCATTCTAATATTCTCAATGTATATGAAGTGAAAAATATGAATTAGGCATGTTTCTTTGATAAATGAAAATAACTCATAAAAGAAGCAAAACAAACAGAAAAGAATGTTGTTGGTTTAAATAAAACAATTGGATTTTTATGTTGATTGATAACATATAGAAATTCAGTAGATAATTTTCCTGATTTTGATGCACAATGTAAAAGCCAATAATTATACCATTGCATAAATTTAATTAAGAACGGTGTTTTAAGTTGATACTCTTTTGAACTATTCGAAAAATTTTCATTTCGTCGAAATATTTTTGTTTCACCATATTGATTTGTTCGAATAACTTTTAGTGTTGATGTTTTCCAATTACTTGCAGTTGAAGCAATCCAACATTCATCACTAATTTTTGATGCACGAGAATTGTAAATATGAGAAATATCTTTTAATTCAGAAGAATTTTCTTCGAAAATCTTATTTAATTCTTTTGCTTGTCTACAAATATGAGTTATACCTTGACCAAATTGTGGATCAAATGCACACATTGAATCACCTAATAAAATGAAATTTTTCGGCCATTTTTTTCCTAAGATTTCAACATATTTTCTGTAATCCATTCCACGTTTATATGAAATTAATGGACTAAATACTTTTATTGATTTCAATATCATATAACATTCCACAGATATTTTGTCTTTAATCCATTCTAATAAATCTTCGAAAGAATCACTTGGTGGATGTTCATAATTATTTGAATTAATCCCAACTGAAGATAAGATTCCTAATGAATTTTCATTTGTCTTTTTAATCACACTAATTGGTGCAATATAACAACCAATATTATTTAAAGGAACATTTGCTGTATGAACAAATAAATATAACGAATCTAATGATGAATTATTCGTTGTAAATCTTTCACCAATAAATGAAAGATAACCACAACCAAAATGAATTTGTTCACTTGGAATATATAAATTAAACGAATTCTTTAACCATTTAATTGATGATGAATATTGACCAGTACAATCAATGATAAAATCACCATAAATATCAACAAATGTTTGTTTCAAACGATATTTAACACCTTGAACAAGATTTAATGATGAATCTGTTAAAAGTTGAATTACCTTCGAATTACATTTCCATTGAATTTGTTCTTCATATTTTGAACATAAATATTTTCTTAAAACAATTTCTAATATAAAACGATCAATTGCAAAATAGTGAATTTTCTCTGTTAAATTTTCATTTAATGTTACATTATTGATAACAAACTTTGCTCCATGATTTAGTGAATATTGACAAATATTATATTGATCTAATAAATCAGAAAATAAATTAGGAAATAATTCCTTCAAAATATTTTGTCCTTCAATTGGTAAAATATGTGGTTGATAAATATGAGGAACTCCTGTTCGTCCTAATGATGTTGGACTTTCTAAATAACAACGATTATTCATAATCTCTTCAGGTGTTGATTTCATTAATTTATCATTTAATACATCATCACTTTCAATTATTGTTATTTTTTTAAAATATTTTGTTAAATAAACAGCTGTAATTATTCCAGCAAAACTGCCACCAATAATAATTGCATGATCATATTGAGAAATATTTGATGACAATCTTTTCTTCTTGTTTTTATTATAAATGATATAAGAAAGAATTATAAATAGAGAAAATATTAGAAACAAAAGCATAATTTTGTAATATTTCTCACTTTTACACTCTTCCTTTGAATCGCAAATGAGATATATTGGATAAAGAACGAAAAACACAAAGTATTTACTTTTCTTTTCGTACTGTTTTCATCTCTATACTGTGATACATCGATGAAAAAAATGTACCTATCAAAAGTACATTCGACCTTTAGAGGATAAAACAGAATTCACTCTTTTTATACAGAGCTCAAAAAACCAAATCGTATCTCTAACAATTTTATACTAAAATCAAAGTCTATGAAAAATTGCATCTGAGGATTTATAGTCAAAGCGAATATAATTTGTAACATTATCGTGTCATACATATCTTTATCTCGAATACGTCAAAGACCTGTGACTAGTTCAATTTATTGAGAATATTAAATGATGAAAATATTCTAGACAGAAAAATTTAGAATTTCCTATGGCCTCCATGAGCGGCACCCAATCGTGAAGAAATAGAATCATATGTTGTCGAAAGATAATCTCACGGAAATAAATTCCATCCCATTACACGCAAATATTCTCAAGAGAACCGATGATACATATAGGGCCGCGACGACGATCAATACGAACAAAAATCGACTTTTGAAAAAATTCTTTTTTTTCGTTGAACAATGATAAAATCAGAAATCAACCTCAAAGTAGGCATGTCTGTTGAGGCTTTTTGAGTATTTTTACGTATGTGAATTCACTAAATTTCTACCCTTGTATGAAGGAAAAGCGACATCTTTTACTAGCCGGTTTTCTATTTTTATCCGTTCGATTAGTCAAGATTTCGACAAAATAGGAAAGAACCACGTCAGGATGATGAAATGGCGCACTTAGGTGTTTCTTTTCTATTCGTTTATTAACACACATACGCACACATGTATATATAGACATGTGAATGCATAAAAATTACATGTGAACAAATTTTCATTGAATTCTCTACGCTATGCGTCTAGTGACAAATTCGATATTACTTATCTGTTTTACAGCACTTTTCGCTCAATCGACTGCGAACTCTTCTTTTCCTGTTCAACTCTCGATTATTCAGGAAAAACAATTTTTACCCTATGAAATTTCTACTTACACACAGCATGTCAACATTGAAATCAAGACAGGAAACCATCCTGGAACTCAATCAAAACTACCGCGTGAATTATACATTGTGCTCGATTCATCGGGTAGTATGGCCAGTGCAGATAAATGGAACAATGCCATCTCAGCCATTGAACATATTATAAAAAGTATGAATACTAATGATAAGCTACACATGATCCATTATAATTCAATTTCATCTGTTGTATTCGAAAATGCTGATAATCAACAAACTATGTTAAACATTTTACATAATTTGCATCCTGGTGGTGGTACAAATTTACAAGCTGGTTTTGATCAATTGATGCCACTGTTGAAAAAGTATGCTGATCGATCGACGGTGAAACGAGTTTTTATTTTATCTGATGGTCAAATTAATGAAGGGGTAACTGATCATAACCTTCTGTTAAAAGAAATCACAACTATCAAGAACACTTATGGTGTAACTATTTGTTCATTTGGTATTGGATACGATTTCGATGAAAAATTAATGACGAATATTGCTGATTACGGTTCAGGTGATTATTTCTTTATCAAAGGTGCTGAAAGTATGGAAAGAGTTGTTGGTATAGCCTATCATGGCTTTCAAAATCTTATGGGTATTGATGCTTATGTGAAAGTCATAAGTAAATATGATACAAAGATTACTGATGTATATGGATATGAAATGACAGATAAGGAAGAACAGATAATTCCGATAGGAAATCTTCGTTACAACGATATGATGAACATTCTTCTGGAAACACAAGTGAAAATAACCGATGAATTACTGACGAAATCTGAAATTGATTACATTATTGTCGAACTATGGATGGTTGACGCTACCGATCGATTACTGAAACTAGTCTCTACAGAAAAACTACATTTATCGTTTAGTCGAGATGAAAAAGAATTCAATAAATTAAATGAAATTATACAATATTTAATTGAATTGCAAAAAATCCAACGGCAGCAAGAAGAAATAACAAGATTATTGCGTGAACGACGTGTCGATGATGCGCATCAACTATTACAATCACTTCTCATCACGATGAATACGCTGGAAGATAAAATAGCTCTGGATACGCAAACGATGCATGATGATGATGAACGAGTCTCATTAATGTTTGTTCAAAGTGTAGTATCAGCTATAAAAAGAAGAATTATGGATGTGGAAACTAGTATGACATCAGAATCAGAAAATATCGGCGACCTAGCGATGTTATCTGGTTATACTACAAAACTGAGCCAAAAATATACGAAATCTCACCTAGATTTGTAATTGTGCTTCTCTATACTATTTTAACTGACAATATTTATTCATGAAAAGATCAGTAAAGTCGAAATTAAAAGTTGTATTCAACTATTTCAATCATTCTCACATCTACTGCACATCCTCGCTTTGAGAGTGAGGAAAACGCCTGAATTCAGCTTTCGAATTTGACACTTCAGTTTCTTTATCAAATTAAATGGGTCAAAACGTAAAAATGTTCGATTTAATAAAAAAAAAAACTTCTGATACTCAGCTAAAATAGTAAAGTTCAAGATAGAAAAGAAAGAAACCTTTATCTAATCATAGATAAAAGAATAAGTTAGTATACTCTATTCTTCTCCCTATGTATATATATATCTCATTTTATTCCACAGCAAAATTTCATCATAATGACGATGATTCAGACAAGAATATTTGTTGTTATTTTGATTCTGTTATATACAACTATTTGTAAATGTGATCCATGTCGATTCGAATATCCTGGCAAAGGTGTAATAGATATCACTACTTTGGGTAGAACAGATGGAACAGCTGCATATGCAGATAGAGTATCACCAAGACAACCTGATTATAGTATGTTGATACTATTTTTTGTTCACATAATTACAGTATACTAAAAGTTCTGATCAGATTTATAGAAACTCGTCAGATAAGGAGAATAATTTAACATTGAAAAATCCGATATACCATTGTGTAGAGCAAGGCGAGACGCGTCAAATATATCGGATTTTTTAATTTCAAAGTATACTTTCCTTGTCTGACGAGTTTCTATAGATCTGATCAGAACTTTTGGTAAACTCTAAATACATAGATGTTACATGATGTCTTTCAATTATAGAATACAGCTATAATCCATGCAAACCATTCTCTAAAGGATATTACTGTACAAATGTGGCCGTTTGTCAAAGTGAGTAATGAGACAGTTCTACTCTTTCGTTTTCAGCTTCTATGACGATACTTAGTTTCGGCCGATGGGCAATATCAATATGATCTTGGTAATCAAGGAACTGCAACATGGAATCCAGGTAGTGAGACGGATAGTGTTCCGTCAATTACTTATACGCACGACGTGAGAACAGTCGTAATTCAACTTCAATGTTCAACACAGGGAAAAGAAGAATTTGAAGTTCTTGGGGAAGATCCAAAGAATTATTATGTTTTTCGTTTAACCCATAAGTGTGCTTGTTGGAATGGCTGTTCCAGTGAGTGAACAGCAAAGAATGCATTGGTTTGGATCCTATTTCATATATAGGTACAACTTCCACAACGACAACAACACTTGTACCACCATCATTCAGCCCATGTCGATTTGAATATCCTGGTAAAGGTGTCATCGATTTTAGTTTTATTGGTCGAACAGATGAAAAAGCGGCATATTCAGATGAAAACACTCGAACAGCATCAAATTTCAGTATGTCTATGCAATTTAAGATTCTGAACTTTAGTGTACGAAACAAAATACTTATTGCCTATAGAATATAGTTACAATCCATGTAGATCATTTTCCCAAGGAACTGATTGTATTGGTGTATCTGTTTGTCAAAGTCAGTAGCTTCCCATATTTTGTTTTCTTTATTTTTTGCAGTTTTATTTAGTATCGAATGAGGGAAAATATACATTTCCTCTTGGCACTCAAGAAAGTTCTTCATGGAATCCAGGCTCGGAATTAGATAGTATTCCTTCAATTAATTATTCATATAAGAATAAAAAAGTCACTGTATTATTGCAATGTTCTAATGACGGCAACAATGAATTTCAAGCTTTTGGTGAAGATCCAAAAAATAATTACAAATTTCAATTAACACATAAATGTGCTTGTTGGAACGGATGTTCAAGTAATAGAATGATAGAAAAATATCATCTTCATTCAGTTTTTTCTCTCGTAGATGCATCTTCAACAACCACAACAACAATAACATCAACGTCAAGTACAACTATGACTACGACTTATCAGTCGAGTAAGTTTTAGAATAATTCTTTTGTGCTTGTAGAATGCATAAATGTTTAAAAATGACTTTTAGAATGGTATGTCACTGGGAGTACGATGGAGGCACGGTTACATCCAACGTTAACTCTTTTAAATGATGGAAAAGTGCTACTTGCGGGAGGAGGCAACAGTCGATCTCTTCGCAGTGCTGAATTATATAATCCATCAACAGGCAATTGGACAGCGACCGGTAGCATGTACGAGGAACGATCACAACATACAGCATCTTTATTAGAAGATGGCAAGGTGTTAATTGCAGGTGGAAGTAATTCTAGACGTACTCTCATAGATAGTGCTGAATTGTATGATCTAGTAACAGGCAATTGGACGCCTACAGGCACTATGAATGTAGCACGACTGTCACACGTTGCTATCGTACTGTCCGATGGAAAAGTTTTGGTAATGGGCGGATATGGTCATGATCCCATCGAAACTCTAAATAGTGCTGAAGTGTATGATCCATCTTCAGGAGATTGGACACCTACTGGTAATATGAACAAGGCACGACTTGGGCATACAGCATCCCTTTTGTTAAATGGAAAAGTCTTAGTTGTTGGTGGAGATGAGGGTAAACATCAGGGTCCTTCAAATAGTGCTGAATTATATGACCCAGCAACTGGGAATTGGACGATGACTAAGAATATGAGTAATGGTCAAGAATATAGCACGGCCACCACTCTCGCAAATGGAAAAGTGTTAGTTGCAGGATATAATGCTGAACTATATGATCCATCAACAGGAAATTGGTTATCTGCTGGTAAAATGAATAGACCAAGGACATACCATGCTGCATCCGTATTAAGAAACGAGAAAGTTTTAATAACTGGGGGAGAATATTACAGTCCCGCTTTGGATAGTGCTGAATTGTATGATCCGTCTACAAATATTTGGGAAGCTACTAGCAGTATGAATGTCAAACGGCAACAGCATAATGCTTGCACATTAACTGATGGAAGAGTCTTGGTTGTTGACGGTGCTGGACCACTAGACTCTGCAGAGTTGTTTAGTTCATAACAGATTTTTCAGATATTATTCAAATAAAAAAAGAGTTCTATCTATTGCAAACTTTCAAATCATTCAACTTATCCCAACGATGAGTTTGAGTAAATAAGTTATCTGATACTCTTACTTTCAAGATGCCATTACACGTGAATTTTATTGTGTGGTAATCTCGGATATGATACTTCTGAAACCAAAAAATTATGCTTTTAATTATTGTCCTTTTACATAAAACTAAAATTGTCAATTAAGAAATTGATACGTTTTTAAGATTGGCTTGAAGAATCGCGACTTTAACAATATAAACGACGAATTGAGCATCTCCAATATCTAAAACGTTAAAAAAAAGCATTTTTCCGACAAAAATTCCTTCTCCCTTGTTTTTACCAGTTGCACAAGAGAAATGTGAATAGATATATCTATCACTATTTGTGTTGAGATCAACAAAAGTTCTGAGAAGAAATTCTCGTGCTGCTTGTGCATCACGTTTTGGTCCTAGAAGTAAAGATTGAACCTTTCTCATTGTTATGAAAATCATTACCGTCGAATTCGGGAAAATGATCAACTAAATGTGAATGCATAATTTTTTCTTCGAATAGATCTTTTTTATTCAACATAAGGATCACAGGTGAATTTTTAGACCATGGAGAAGTCATGGCCGAACAAAACAACGTCTTGCTTTCTTCCATCGCATCCTCAAGTTTTTCAAAATCTTTATGATAAAAAAATGAAAAGTTTCCCCTCTTACTTCGTTGTCATATTGATTTAATGCGAGAAGAAATATAATCGCAGTGACATTCTCGAAATGATGAATCCATTTTCGATATTCCGATCTTTGTCCACTCGTATCAATAATCCTATTGAAATCAATAGTTTTGTCTACAATAATCTTGGATATTGTTACCGTATCGGAACACCATCCAGATCAATTGGATATTCCACAATTCCATTCGTCGCTTCTCGAATATGTAGAACATCCTGTTTATTTACTAAATAATCTGGTGAAGAAATCCGATCAATGTCATCTAAAAAACTAATGGAGAGATTTTTTTTCGAGAGAGAGAAATTTGTCTTACTATTTCACTGAATCGATTACTTCATATTCATTTCGTCTTTGATAACATTCTTTTATTCCATAATCACTCCAAAGATTTTTCATCGCTTCAACATATTTCGGCTGAAGACTTGTCATAGTTTGATAATCAATCGATTGCAGAAGTGCAGCGTTTTTCTGTTGAAAACAAAATTAAAAAACGAAAATCGATACAGATATCTCACTAACCTCATTTATTTTATTTCTATATGATATTTTGAGAGTATCCATCGCACGGATCATTGATTGTACTGCCATGAAAATATTTTCATAAACAACTTTGACAAACGAATGTTTGTTCTTTTCCAAATAATCTTTGTCTAAAAACATGAGCATTTGTTTCGTTAATGTTGATTTTCCGGATCCTTCAATGCCTATTTTAATCGAGAAAGAACGTTATTGATTAGAAAACAAAAATGTTATATACCAAGAACGAGTAGTTTTTCCTCTTGCCGTTGATGTTTTTTCCGCTGACTACGTGCTTTAAAAGATGCACAACACATCATGTTGATAATTTTATAAAAGAGTCCAATATCAAATACAAAAATACGTTCGTCAATCTTTTTTTAACTTGCGTCTTGTGATATCAAAACATATTTCATATATGTTTACTCTCTTCATCTATATTCACCTTCGCGATTTTTGTGTTACGTCTACCATAAACGATACATTTCTTTTTCGAATGATTTATCTTTCGATACATATGTATTGTCACTTAATTTGACGTAGATAAAGCGAATAAGTGACAACTGAATTAATCGAAAAAAGGAAGTGCGTGTTATCTTGAGGGTGTGGGAGAAAGAAATTCAAACATTGTAATAACATAAAAACATCTTCTTCATCAACATGGATTAAGTAAACGGACGATTCTTTGATTTGACTCTACAGCTGGTTCTGCATTTTTTGTTTAATAATTCGATGACTAATACCACAATAGTGCAAAATAGATTTAATGAAAACCAGAACATTTTTTAGGCAGAAGATCAAGAAGGGATTCATCTAGCAGGAAAGAAACCCATCTTAATTCTATTTGATTCATCCTCATTTCGCGAGAACAAATAAGCTATATATCAATAATTTTTATTCCGAAATTTCCTTTTTTATTCACAAAAGAAAAAATCGATTCTAATGAGTTCCTTTGAACGATTGGTTTCTTTTATTTTCCAACTCGTTGAAGAGCTGCATTGTAAGTGCCCGAACGAGTATTAGCCGGACAACCACTTTCTGCCCATTTTTTTGAACCTCCTTTCCAAACTCCACCAATATGTCCTGTACGATCTTCAGTAATACATGTCAAAGCACTATTAGCCTTTGGATTGCAAAACACTGCCTTGCCCATACAAATCAGATTAGTTCTTGTATATCCTGCCGGCGGTGACGCTGCATGAGCTACAATGCAAAGATTGAAGTAATTTCAGTTGTAAATAGTTTATTGAAGAGAATAATTCTGACTTACTTGAAGTTAATAATGATAAGCATATCAAAGACACACAAAATAACATTCCAAACGTCTTCATATCTGGTATTTTCAGTTGATCAGTTGTGCTATTGGTTGTATTTCATTCTGTTCGATTATATATCCTTATATTTCCACGTTTTTGTGCAATAACGTATGTGGACTTAAACTATCGTTTTACGTCTTAATCCTCAAAAACAAATTCAGTGGAAAATGCTATATTGATCGAAGTAACAACTGATTAAATTACTATAACAACAGAATAAGATATTGACAAAATATTTTGTCGTCTACGTACTTAGAAAATCAATATATTGTGTCGAACTTTTTAAAAAAATTCTGTATCCTTCAATTCAATTTTGATCGGATTTTAAGTACTCATTTGAATTAATCTGAAATGCAATAGCTGAACTAAAGATTTAAACTTGATGAAGCAAAATTTTATCTATGAATTTTGCTACACGCTCTACCGGAATTGTTGCATAATACAACAAACGAATTATACTTCTTACTTTTCTTTATTATTATCTTGCAAAGCAAATAACAAGACGCATTACATGTAACAGACAATAATAGGCATGATTTTATAAAGCATAGAGTTTTCGTAACTGATCAAATGACAGTCACTATCGGTTTGCTGAAATGATAAAATAATTATTACTGAAGTATGTAATACATAAGACATAAGAAAAACGCTACCATGCAAAGACAAGTGCTCCGGAAAGTACTTGCATATAATTCAACACTCCATAACAGTAAACTGATGCACCGTTATCTGCTATGACATTGATCACTTGCGTTCCGCAGACATAATTTCTACTTCCTGTTGATGCGTGAACATTGGCTAACAAGGGGCAAAGCAATGCCGAATTCGAACGTATCATTGTTAAAGTAGAACCACTACTAGTATTTGCATTAATTAAATCAGTTGCACATATACCATGAGCTACTGCAGATGATTGAAGATTAACAGCAGCTACTCGTGGACATACTGAATTGTTTATTGAAATACTTGCGGCTCCACTTGCATCGATATTCAGCTGATCTGTAGAACACACATTGACAACCTTAGCTGAATTGGATACCGTTACACTCGCATTCGATGGACATGTTGCCAATGAATTATATACAATTGTAGATGCTGATGATGATTGAATGATTAGTGACTGAGTCGCACAAATATTATCAATATTAGGTGAACCTGATCCAACGAAAATGTACATTATACGTGCGCATATTGAAGTATTTATTGAAACATGTGCGACTCCACTTGCATCGATATTCAGCTGATCTGTAGCACAAAGATTACCAACCGTTGCTTGGTCCTTTGCTGTCACATTGATAGATGTGGGACAACCGTATTGGGCACTGGCATTAATTATATCAATGTTTGATGCTTGAATAATAATTAGTGTTACTGTTGTAGCTTCACACAAAAAATACAAGAGTGAATTTCAATACAATATTAAATAATGGAAATGATTAAAACTCCCTACGAGACACTCTTTCCTTACATCCATATACACTCTCTAACACAACATCTTCATCCACATCTTTATCAACCAAGTTCTCTCACATTAATTGCTCTCATTTATCGTAATTACAATACCACAACAAATTATTCCAGATGATTCAATATACATACTTGAATTATTGTTTATCGGTGCAGAAGGACAGTGCATGTTCGAATCTACAATTTAGCGACTAGAATCAGATGTTACAACAAAAAACATGCTTTACTTGGATTCTTTCGATAACAAATCACACTCGATCGATTACTTCCAGATGATTCAATACTTCCAGACTCGCACGATTCACCATACATCCAACAAATATTGTTATCATACGAGTAAACAGCCGTTTGACACTTCAATTCTTCTACACATTGCCAAATACAAGATTGAATCGATACACTCGAAGACAATGTAACATTTGCAAGCAGAGCACAAGATGAATTGGGTTTGTATTGTGCTAATCGATGAATTTGAACTGACACAATTGCATTAATCGAAGGAATGAAGAGATAAGCCAAGAAAAAGTACATTTCTATTCAGTGTTGTCCTTTTGTGTACTTAAACAAACGAGTAAAAGTAAAAAGTACAAGAAAGTGCAATGAGTGTCGGAAACTCAAATATTAGCAAATGAATTGATTGAACTTTGAAAGCATTGTTTGTTTTTCTCTCCTGAAAAGGTTTAAACAATGAATAAACCGGGTAAAAATTTCTTAACATCACGCACCGCTCTCAATCGTTTGTTTGTTACCTGATTTATTTAAGAAATCATGATATTACCATATTTACCATAGAGGTCTTCATGAGTTATCTACGTAGTACAAGTTCGGAACACCCATGACGACGAATTAAAAAAACAAAAACTAGAAGATCTCGTAAGACAAGATGTGGTTTTAATTCTATGGTCTATTTTGACGTTGCTTCGTTGTTACTGACATGTTTTCTTCAACAGTTAATTCCGTGCTTAGAACTATTTCAAACATCCATTTCTATTCATGTAACTACCAACAAAAAGACTCAATTTTCGGCATAAAAAAGAAAAACTTCGAATAATATTTCATAAAAGCTTTGACACGTGTGAGTACGCTTTTTCGTTCGTCATTCTTGCACCATCATCATCGTCATCGGTGAGTAAGACACGTTCTCTCTTCTACGTTTACCAAGCAACGTACATTATTCACCTTGTGATGTATTCATATACTAAAGAAGCGAATACCACATTCACAACGTTAAACAAATCTGTATTTTTCAGTTAGTTATATTCAAATCAGATCAAATGACCGAAGAAACTAAAAAAGCACAAATTTATCATGATGCATATGGCTCATACACATCATCTCCACCATTACCTCCAGTTCCTCCTTTTCCATGTCATACTGATCCTTCATGTACGGCAGCCAATCGTGTGTGCGACAAACATAAACGTGTTTTGTACGTAAAAACGATCGCTGGAGAGACCTTTGAAATTCCTTATGGCAATTGGGAAAACTGGTTATGGTATAAACAACACATTAGTGAACATAAAGGAATACCATTAGAAGACATACGATTGATTTTTGCTGGTACAGATCGCGAAGATTTGAAGCGACACAGCGGATTACAATATGGAAGCACAATTCACATGGTTCTACGCAAACGTGCAGATGATCCACCAGAAACTTCGTAAATGTACAACTCTGTACAATCTCTTTGAGGTCATCAAATACTTCATGTGTCATGCTTTGCATATCTTCTCTTCTGGCGCAGTACATATTATTCTCCACACATGAATTTTCATTCTGCGATTGTTCAATAAAATTCTGATTGTGTGAGAATACTCTTCTAGAATCAATTCGCTCAGAATCTTGAGGTTGTGAGGATGAGGGTGAAAATTTTTTACGATTGGAATCGATAGAACTCATCGAGTTCCACCTGGAACGAATGTGATCAGAGTTGGAATACATTCGAGTGCAAATCCGTTCGAGAAAAGGACGAATCCTTGTCCAAAATATCCTACATATATATAATCCTCTCACGACAAAGATTTCATCGCTCATAGTCGGCTAAGATCTCAAAATATGTCGCACTCCTTGCTGGTAGTCGGTTTACAACGAACCTCGTATGATGCTACTCGTTATATTCATTCCTTTTCAATGTGTAGACAGAATACGTGAAATACTTGACAGAAAGAAAAAAAAACCGTAAGCGCTATTCAGCTGTTGCAATGGTTACTTGGTAAAGAGTAAGAAAAAATTATATCGACATAACAACAACTCAGTTTCAACCTCGTGCATCACATTTTCTTATTTCTGAACCATTTTTTTAGTTTCATCACCACAGTGTAATAAATAGTTATAGACATGAGTTCACTCATAGATCAACATTGTGCTACAATCCAGGAGAAAGGTGCAACAATGACTGCTGATCAGATGAAGCCGTTGCTTGACGCATTCATTTCCGAACTACAAAAGAAAAACGCTACTATTACGATGATCAAGTCGACCGAACTAATTGTTGCTACACTGGTTAATCTTTCCAATAACAGTCAACAGGTTAGTGAAACTGGCCTTGTTGCACATCCTTTATTAAGTTTTTTACGTGATGACGTGCTTCTCAAGTTACTATATCAACGGCATGATAATAATCTTGCGAATGATCTATTAGTTAACCTCTCGATGTTCTACGCAAATATTTGTCGACACAATAACAAGAAGAATGATTTCGTACTGAATCAACTTTTAATGAATGAACCATTGATCAAGGAACTTACTTCTTGTTTGAATGAAATTAGTGAACATGGAAAACATTTACATAATACCGATTTTCTTAAAGTTCTTCGATATCTACTCTTTGCATTATGTCGTCTTGAGAAAAGACGTGAAACGACCGACCAACTCGTCATGACTGCACCGCTATTTTCAGCTAGTATACAGTGTCTGTGTTCTACATATACTATCGAAACACTGACAGAATTAGAACAAAATTTTTCGCAAAAATTGACAGATAGACAAATGCTACTATTATCGGATTGTTCTGCATTCGTTCGGCGTTTCTCAGGCGAACGTAATCAAAAGCAAATTATGGAAGTTCCGCAAGCCTTGTTGAATTCCTTTACCACATGGGCTATTCATTGTGATCCCAATTCAATCGGTCAATGTTCGGAAGAAATGGTTGAACTGCTTCGTCATCTCGATGCTATTCTCGTCCGTCCGATTGAATCGGAAACGATAGAAATATTGAATCAGGAATTTTACGACCGCTATTGTCAATTAGTTTCACATTGGTCATCCTTCTTATCACCATTATTTCAACACTCCTCGAATAAGTCGAATTTTACATCAATTACAAGATTTATTGTACGTGATTTGTATAATTTCACACTCTATCCTAGTATACTCGATTTCATGAGAACTATAGCTTGTTTAATACCAATGTTACTTAAATTAGGTGATGTTCAACAAGATGAAACTCAATTAAATGCTTATCGTTGTTTGGGAAAGGTCATGACCGAAGAAGATATCAGAAAAATGACTAATCCAGGTCAAATAGCGGTAATCTACGTTAAATTTATTATCGATGCCATTGATAACCCGAAGAAGAAAACTCGATTTTGTAGTTTATTGGAGAGTTTGAAAAGTATTTCATTTCAATTTCTACTGTCTTAAAATTCTAATTTATTTGATAGATTGGGTTCAACATGATCAAGTCAAAGTTGATCTTATCAATCAAAAGATTCTTCCTCTTCTCGTTCGTACCATCATGGAAACGAAATTTGATCTTATGGATGTACAAAAATCAGCTTTAGAAATTCTTCTTGCTCTTTGCTTCAATAAGAATGCAGTTTTATACTTGAAAGAAAACGAAAGCTTTATAAAACATATTCGAAAACTATCAACGGACACAAATTCAAGCCTCCAACGGGCTGCTGAGGGTCTTCTATGGAAATTAGAAAAAGAAACAGAAGCTGTGACAAAATCTTCAACAAAGCGTTCCTATCAATACGATATCATGATCAGTTATTCACATAGTGATAAACAATTATGTCATTCCATACATGAAAGACTTTCTCGAGATGGATTCCGTGTTTGGATCGATCGAGATCAAATGCACGGATCTACAATGATGGCAATGGCAGAGGCGATTGAAAATTCAGATATTATTCTTATTTGTATGTCCGATGCATACAAACAGAGTGTTTACTGTCAGTCTGAAGCTCATTATGCATTTGAAAAACAACGTTACCTCATTCCATTAGTTGTGAAATTACGCTATAAACCAGATGGCTGGTTAGGAATTATTGTTAGTGGCAAGCTGTACGTTGATTTTGCTAAAAGCGAATTTAATTTAGGGTACGAAAGATTAAAAACGGAAATTCAACAGTATCGTCAAAAAAATGCAACTTCATCGATGGAAAAAACGAAAGAGATCCAACACCATAACGAACTGTCATCAGTCGTCAAGATGGATCGGGAAATGTTACCAATGACTGAAAATATTCTTTGTATCAATCTACCACACTGTATCCTACAATGGACTAATGAACACGTCAAGTCATTTTTCATCTCTATCGGACTAAAAAATACTTTGTTTATAATCTGTATGAAACTCGATGGTTATCGTCTTCTTCAATTGTACGAAATGTGTATGATCAATCGTGAATCGATGTTTCAAACATTGAAAAGCGAACTGGGTGAACAACATCAGAAATCATTACCAATTGCTGATTATCTCACGTTTCTCCATGAAATTAAAAAATATGTACCATTGCATACAGTCAAAGCACGTCCGACAGCAACAACAATACAATCAGATACTGTTTCATCTGTCGCTTGCAATGTTATGTAATGCGTCGTATATAATATAAACGTTCATACTAACAATGTATGATTCTTTGAAATTTCGTTTTCTCGAAAAACAAATTGAACGAAACTAGCTCCTTTCGTCAAATTCTCTCGACTGAAAGAAGGGTCATATGAAAAAAAAATAGTTTGTGCGTCTGTGTCAAGGGTCAACAAAACCTTTTTTTTGAAAATGCTCAAAACTTCATAAAACATCGTCTGGTAGGGATCATGAGGCAAATAAAAAACCAATTGCCATCTCAATTGAAATAAACTTCTGTATAGTATTTTATACTTTTCTCTATAGACGCAGCGTCCTAGCATCCGTAATCAATCCACATACAACAAATAGTGCTCATCTGTTGGTGTAACGATAATGATATCGTTCATCTCTTTCTGTTCTTTATTCTCTCACCTCTATATCATACTATCTTCGGGTCATATCTCTCTTTCCTCTTCTCTATATAAGCGCGTGTCATATTGTGTAGTAGACACATTCTGGTCATGTAGAGTAGTCAATAAACATCTATACCGTGAGAAGCGGTCAGCTACTCAGTCAGTTTGTCATTACAGTTATCTCCTTAATTAAGAAGCTTAAAGGCCTACAAAAACTCTCAATGTATCGAAGCTCAGCATTTAAGATTGCTCTCCAGTATGTACCTTGTGAATGAATGTATTTTTGGGTTACTGGCCTTTGGTTTGTGACAGTCAACCGAGTGTGTTTTTACTTTTTCGTAATCAACTCTTCTATGTAGCCCTCCTCTTAGGCGCGGATGAAATTTTTTCTTCATTTCTGTCACATCCCTGCCCCTTCACCCAACCTCGAGCCTCAGCATTCCTCCAAAATCATGTTTTATGAAGTTTTGAGCCTTTTTCAAGAAAATGTTTTTTTGATCTTTGACCTTTGACCCTGCCATAATCAGACAAACATACAAACTATTTTTTTTCGTATGACCCCCCTTTCAGTCGAGGGAATTATAGTTTTAATTAGTTTGAATCTCTTATGTTATTTATTGTAAATTCAAACAGCTTTTCAAATATATTATGAACTATCTCATTATGATAAATATTAAACTAATTCTATATATGTTTGTTTTCATTCGTTACAAAGAAATCATAGGAATAAGGGTTAGTCATATACATCAGTAACTGAGTTTTAAAAACTTTGATTTCCTTTCCAAGAAAACTTCTGGACGTGTGTCTGACTAAATGATGTATTTTATTTTAAAGATATATATTTAAAATAATTTATAAATGTTCGGTTTTTTCATGAATAATCTTTTCGCTTAATTCCCATAATTCTCGTGCTTTTTTCGAATCACTAGCAATAGAACTTGGTTGGGCTACTTGACAATTAGAATGAAATTTTCCAGGTTGCGCTTCATCTGATAAAGCACAATATAAAGTTGTCATTGCTCCTTGCCGTATAGATTTAGAAATTATTTTTGAAAGAAGCGATATAATTAACATCTTATAAGATTTGTTGTCACGAGTTATTCCTGTTGTTCCAACTCTGCCGGGACTAAGTGAATAAGCTTTAATACCTTGATTACCATAACGTCTTTGTAATTCATTTGCATGTAGAATATTCGCTAATTTTGACTCAGATTCAGCTTGAAAAGGATCATATGAATTACTATGAATAAAATCAGTATTTTCTTTAACAAAAACATGTCCAAGACTGCTGACATTAACAATGCGTCCATTTGATTTGATTAATAATGGTAGAAGAAGTTGAGTTAAATAAAAATGACCAACTAAATAAAAACATACGAATGTAAATATGCCATTGAATGACATAACATACTATGATTTGTTCCAAAAGTACTTTCCAAACCATCTTTAGTAAATTCTTTATGTCCTTTCATAACACCAGCATTATTAATTAAAATATCAACTTTATCAATTTTTTCAGCGAACGCTTTTACACTTGCTAAATCACTTAAATCTAGATGATAACCAATAACATTTCCATTTGACTCTTTACTTAATTCTTGAGCAATACGTTCTGCTCGTGTTTGATTACGTATACCAACAATAACACGTGCATGAAGTGTAGCTAATTCAATTGCTGTAATTCGACCAATTCCAGAAGCAGCACCAGTAACAATAACAGTTTGATTATTTAAATTTTTTGTCGATGTATATGAATGACCAGATCTCAATCGTTCATTTATTAATCGAAAGATAACAATTTGAATAATTATATAAATGAGTGTATAAGTCCATGAATGAACAAAAGATATTATAAATATGAATAATAATACATTTCCGAAGAGAAACAGTAATGATTTAATCGCTGGATCTTTAAATGCAGTTTCCATTAGGAAAGCCATTTGACGTGTAATAGTTTTCTATTCAACACAAAAAAAGAATATGAACGGTAAATTAGTCATATCTTTGATGTTTCATTATATAACATCGATTGGTAAATAGAATACACCACTGAGCTGCGAGTGAAAATATAACAAACTTATTATAGAGGACGCTAATAAAACTTTTTAATATGACGTAGAATATCTTAACGTCCGATATACTTTTCAAATCTGATCTTACTGACTCCAAGTAGAACTTTACAAGTATAATCATCTTAGAAATTTATTTGAATTTGCAAGAACAATAGAATAATCAACTGAAAGCAAAATATTCGTATTTCCAAGATTAAGAGTCTTGTTGAAGAAGATGTATTTATCAATGAAGAATAGGTCCTCATTCACATTTTCTGTTCTCGAAATCTTCAAGATGAGTGTGGCTATTACTTCTCTTTCTACACTTACATTCATGCGTTCATACTTTCTATGATTTTATTATGATCAAATCAAGAGTGCTCTTGTAAATGTAGGATATCCTAGCACCGGACTCGAATATTTCCTTTCCCGATTCGCTTATGAAATCATTCCAACTAGAAATCGTAGTCTACGGTCTTTTAAGTTTCAAATTAAATTTTGAAAAAAAAACGATCATCGCATATGTATTCAGTACCAGGACTAATCGGACTAACAAATCAATACGCTTCTAATCAATCAATATATAGGAAATAATGAATTTCTTATGATTCAGATATATCACATAGATTTTATTGAGCTATCACCTTCACAAATCCTCAATAGATTGTTAGAAATGCATATTTTTTTCGAAGCCAGTGTGGATATAAATATCTCTTCATAGAATAAGCGCTTATTTAAACATTCAAAATAAAATATTACAGTAATAATGAATAAAAATCTAATTAGTTGTGCGATTCTACAAGAGTTTTATAAACTTGAAATGTCTTCTCATAGGAAACAAACTGGTTGGTCTATTTCTTTTTCGGTGCTGAATCACCATAGAGCGCAACAGCAAACGCTTCTGGATATCGATTACCAGCTATATCAGCTGATTCACATGCTTGACGAATTTCTGCTATGTCTTCTTTACTTAATTTGATTTGTGCTGCTGCTGCATTTTCTTCCAGATTTTTTATTTTCGTTGTACCAGGTATGGGAATAAAATCATTACCTTGAGCAAGAATCCAAGCCAATGTCAGTTGACCAGAAGTGCAACCTTTCTTCTGCGCAATGGATGCCAATTTGTTGACTAGCTGAATATTCTTAGGAAAATTTTCTTCAGAAAATCGAGGGAAATGTCTTCGGCGATCGTCTTTGTCGAGATCATTAGGACTTTTAATTTGTCCGGTGAGCATTCCACGGCCTAATGGTGAATAGCAGACAATTGCTACACCTAATTCGCGACACGTCTTCAAAAGACCAATATCTGCATGTTCAATTTCCAGGCTAAATGGCGAATATTCGACTTGGACCGCCGAAATAGGATGAACAGCATGAGCACGTCGAAGTGTATCACTGGAACATTCAGACAATCCGAGATACTTGACTTTACCTACTTGAACAAGTTCTTTGAGTACACTCATTGTTTCCTCGATCGGAATGTTCTTATCGATCCGATGGACGTAATAAAGATCGATCTGATCAAGTTCCAAACGTTTGAAACTTTTTGCACTAGCCTCGCGAACATATTGCGCATCACCACGAACAGAAATCTGATTATTAGCGAAGATATTGGCAAATTTCGTTGCGAAGAAAACCTGTAAATATAATTTACGTTTCAGTTTAGAAAGCATAGAATTCTAATAATGGAATAAACTCACTTTCTTTCGTTGATGTGGGTATTTCTTGAAATATCTTGCGAATAATTCTTCATTGTCACCATAGACATCCGCGCTATCGATATAGGTACAACCAAGTTCAATTGCTCGATCGATGATCTTAAATCGTTCGTCATCAGATGCACTGGACAAGGGTGGAAACGATAAAGTCATCGCTCCAAAACCAATAGCCGATACTTGAGGTCCATTCTTACCCAATTGACGAGTCGGTACTACAGCCATGTTGTGCTTTTCCAACAATTCGTGAGACAAAAGTCGAATTTAGAATCTGAAAAGCAATTTTAAACAATCAGTTATTGACAGTAACTTGAGGATGAGGGTAGTATATAATTGTGACACTGATGGTTTGAGAATAACCTTGATGAAGCAAAAAGACTCCGGTATTTAAACGCAAGGAAAGTAGTTTGTTTCTTTTTATTCTCTTCTTTTTTTTGCATTCAGAAAGAACGATTCCGTACGTTATTATCGAACATTTACACAATACACGTATGAAAAGTACGTTACGGTACGCACGTGTCAACATGCAATAGAACATCATATACGCATTTTACAAGTGTTATCGAACAAAAACCACTCGATTGTTGAATTTGTCGAACAAACAAAGCGATATTTGCTCAGTTCATATAAAATCAAGAGCAAAAAGCGTACTTCAAGATTTCTGACGTACCAAGAAATACAGCGAAAGATCTGAGTCTTATTCAGAAGAGAATGGCGAACGAGAAGGATCACTCGAGTGAGACAGTCAGTTAATAAATGGTTATTTCTATTGATTAATAGCCAATAGACAGATTATATATCAGTATTAAAATCTATATATTTTCAAATTAATAACAATTAATTCCATAGAAATAAAAACACAAGTAACGCTCGTCGAGGTAGACTCGCTTTGCCCTCGACTGAATGATCATATTGAATTACATTCTCTGTTTATGAGACCTTTCAAAATAATTTGAATGAGCTGTATTTTTCTCTACTTCTTCATTTTACTGTGAAGCTACTTTCGTTGCAATTGCAACAAAATATTGATTTGAGGTACGGCTAGAACGTTTATTTACAAAACTCTCCTAAACAGCTACATAACAGTAAAAAGCTTGCATTATATGTGATTAAAGTAAAGAAAATTTGCTATCGGCACGGCATCATGCATAGCATAGCCAAAAAAGAAAAAAAATCCAACTCAAAGAGCATCAAATTTTTACAAATTCACGATTATATCGATTACAAGGGAATCTATGGAAAAGACCAATTGTTTATAGTAAAACTAGAGGGAGTACCCGCTGCAAATAAGAAATATCTATGTCGAATATCTCACGTGTTGAAGAGTTATAACAGATAGAAAATCAATACAATTCAGATTTCTACGCTTCCAGTCCTTATATTTTCCACTCCAGCTATTCATTCATCGACCTCTTTCTCACTCTCACGTCATTTCATACCTTATATGCTTCGAATTCACCTGCCCTCAACATTTATCTTAATCTTTCGAGATCCTGTAACGCTATTGGTGAGTTTCGCAGATTATCTGTAGCATTCACCGAACTATCATAGGCGTAGAGAACACGTGGGCTGTTGTCTTTGAGCGCTCAGACGGGCTTCGGCCGCCTTCGCTATTAATTTTCTCAATTTTGGAAATCTCGTATTCCTATTGGCCTGTTTCATATATTGCCTGTAGCAAACGTCTGGTTCCTTTGTTCTCGGAACAAAGTAGATGTCGACCTTCTCTGGGTCTCAGGAAGCTTTGTGGAAAGTTTCACGCCGATAGCTACTACAGGGACTGAATGCATAGCGAACAGACGGACAGACAGACAGACAAACTTTCTTCTTTATATATATAGATATAGAAGATTAGTGATAAGTCCAATGATTATTACTATATTAACATTACCTCATTTGATTGTTACAGTTATATTAGATTGTAATAAATCATCTGGATTGCTTTGGCTTTTTCTTCTAAGTTATTTTTTATCATTCATTCCAGCGGCATCGATTTTTATTATATATGTTACTCCATCTCCACTTTATCGAGAACAATTTCAACAACGTGTTACACATATACACAAAAGATTGCAACGACGTCATGGACAAGCTGTTATGTAATTTCATTCTTGTTCAAAAATGCTTTGCAAAGAAAGTTAACACAAACTAAAACTATTTTAAATGAATGAAAAGAAAATATGTAAATTGCTTAATAAAATTGCTTTCATTGTTTGTCATCTCTCGTACTGAATGATTCTTTTAATCGGAAATCAGTTAATGAGTTTCGATCAGATGCATATTTTGTACTAGCGCGCGAGTGTCACATCGTAATTTAGAAGTAGCATCTGTATCGAGCGAACCATGCGTTGAAGAACTGTAGCGGATAGAGAGGGTGTGAGAGTGAGACTGAACGGCCTCATCCACACTCACATCCCTCTTCATACTCTCTGGACCGATTTGTGCATGACTCAAACACTCATTTATGATTGAGGGTCATGCAAGTGGGTAACAACACTATGGGATCCCAACACATCCGTGCTCCATGAAGGTGTCGATACATAAACTTTGCTCTGATCATATTCAACTGTACTGCACCATCTCAAGAATTTTAGATTTTGTGTTTCAAATATGGAGTTGACTACTACTTCTTGATTTGTTGAGAGCTTGATAGAGTAGAGCTATTAGGCATAAAGAGTGCTTTTTCTTGCGCTGAACACTTCTTCTTTTGTCTTTTTCCTTAATATCGAAAATATTTTCTGAATTACGAACACTTATCAAACTCTGAACAAAGAAAATGATTTTTAATTCCAATCAAACTAAGACATTTTTGGTTTTTTACGTGAAGAGAAGTTAAAATGCGAATACGTGGCTGTCGTAGTAATTCGAAGTTATTTCGCCTGTGTTGGGTTCAGGAAAGTTGATTCAGAGATCGGTGTTAAAAATCAGATAGCGATTATTATTAGTTAAGCAGATGTTTTTTAACCCTTAATATACTTTTGATCTTATAACAAGCGAGCAAATCGTTTTTTTTCGTATGATCCTCCCTTCAGTCGAGGTAATATCGTTCACATCTCTCAATGTTGAATGACTCGCGTTACCACTGCACATGTATGCCGATTGACTCTAAATGCACCGAAAAAATCCGCGCTGTACACTACTCTTTAGTCTTTACAGGTTCATTTCGTCATACTAGCAGTTTTCTCTCACTTTCAAGTAAAATACGTTTCCAACATCAATATTTTATTAAAATTCAAAATTGGGAAAAATATTAAGAGGAAAAATACTCAGGTATATGAGAGCTGGAAGCAAACAAATTAAGAATATGTTAGTAGAAGCAAATGGAGAATGGAGCACAAGGAAGCTAACTAGGGGACAATGTTCGTCAATATTGATGATGGCTGACGGCAGTGTTCGATCTTCACTGTAGACTTGTGTTTGTACCATATGTCCTGCAAAGAGAAAAAGTACTGAGATAGTTCATGACAATATAATTCAAGAAATAATGCGCATAAAGAAGAATACACGAGCGATACAATGTACCAAATCATATAAACTTTTATCTACTTTTCTAGCGAATTCCATTTAGTCACCAACCCTCACCATTAATTCTTATTGGACGTTTCTAAGGACACAACATACCTGACTCAATACCGACAGCCACAAGCGCCACTAAGACAATTGTTAATACAACGGCTACTGACATCAGTAAAACAGCCTAGACCCATACAAACATAACCACCAAGGCAAGAACGACAAAGAGCAATACAAGTATCAGCAGGACAAGCAGCACGTTTGCTGATTGGATGATAGAGAAAGTCATTGCCAGTCTCATTTTCAATTGGCGATGCTTTTGCCATGTAGATTGTTGCCACTAACATCAAGAGGGCGACCAAGAAAATCATTCGGCTGATCTTTTGCATTATCCTTTGTTGTTATTCGACGCTTAAAAGAGAGTGGTAGATGAATATGACGAAATTTGTAAATGATATCGTCCTTCAGTTATGCTTCGGTCTTATATATATATGTCGATCACCGAACACGGAGGGATGTACGACAGGAAACAGATGTCTTTTTATCCCACAAGGAGACAGCTCATGTTATCTGTTTCTTATTCAATTCGACGAAATCACGGGTAGTGAGCAAATTTTAATGGAATCTGGCATAGTTTCGTCGAAGTCATCAAAGTTCGGCGTAGTGTGATTGCTTTTCGCCGAATTTCGATAGCTTCAGCGAAGCTATGCGAAATTATCGCGTTAGAATCACTATGAAACCTTTTGTTGTCACAAGGTACATATTGTACAGCACTAGATAGCGAATGATAAACATTTTAAGGTGGCAACTATCTAGTAGCAGTAAAACTCTACTTCTTGTTCATTCCCTTTTTTTGCTTAAGCGTAATTACTTTTGGCTTAAAGAAATAATCGACTTCGGATTGATCCATGATTGTTATAGTTCGTCGATTGCTGTATGATTGACCTATTAAACCAGAAAATATTTTCTTTTGTGTCTTTGACTATCTGTCAGATGTCCACGTGAACTCAACATACATTGAAATGGTAAAAGGGTGTGGGTGAGGGTGAAAAATTTTGAGTAGCTGCCTAATTCGACTTATAATATAAGTGACCAATTCCTAGCACCCATAGGAATAGAAATAGATTTAGTTTCAGTTATACATATATACCCCCACACCCCTGTGAGTTTAGGAGTAGAAATAGATTCAGATTTAGTTTTACTTATACATATATATCCTCACCCTCAACCACACCCACACCCCACACCCACACCCTCACCCACACCCACACCCACACCCACACCCACCCTCAAGAAAACGTTGCTATAATATAGCTTAATCCGAATGCTGACCAACATTCTAATGTATCAACAACTTTGGAACGTCTACGCCAAGTGAACAATTTCGTATACTTCTCTAGAAACATCACCGAATGTATTACACACGTTACTACAGTACCGGAAGAAATTATTATCTTGATCACGTCGAACATATACTCTTGTGATATGTTGTCTCAAATAGGATCATCTGGAAAGGTTGATTCTATTGTTATCTTCTGTCTTGAAGAAGATATATCTACTAATTGTCTTGATCAATATCCAAAGATTATTGGTGTATGTTCACAACTAGATGACTTGTTGGCATTAGTCCGCAAACGACTGATCCAGATAAAGAGCCGCGAACAAATATTTAATTTCTACGCCGCCAATCAAAAAAACTTTCGTAATTTGTCTATCGAAACGGCTCGTTTTCTCTGGTTTCAAATACTTAAAAAGATGATTGAATATCTTCCAAACGATCGACGGGCCA